AAATTTCTTATGATATAGTTAAGGAAGAAAGGTCGCAAAAAGAGTAATTTACCGATGAAATGAAATCAACATGATCTATCTTGTAGCTTATTCTGGAAGCTTCTCTCTCTCACATAAAATATCGAGATAGAAATGCAGTTGATCTGTATTTTTTTAACATCATGAAGTTAGTATGGCCACTGGAAAAGCTTATTTTTCTTTCAGCTAATCTATTTTACCAAATCAAAAGAGACAAATTTGTGCACATTCTTTTCAAAGGATATTAGCCGAAGACGTGACTACATTTAATAAAACATTGATTTACGAGTAAATTATGCTTTAGGTTATTGGAAAATTCTTTAATCTAGAATAAATGAAAGGCGAAAATATGATTCAATTTGTTATTTAGTTCACAATCAGGTCGCTATCCTGTTGGCTTTGGAGATCAAACTCAAATTTACAATTCTGGTCAAGTATGACTTTCACTTCAAAAGCGCGGATAAACATGTCAAGCCCATGGGAGCTTAAAAAACTCTACAACAAACGCTGGCGGCAGAAATGTTACAATTTCATTTCATTCAAAGGCTGACGGAGTCAACCTTTTTGTATACTGCCCAGGATCTTGCTAACTCAATGCAATACCTACGTTGTGAGGAACAGTATAGATGAAAATGAAAGACAGCTCTGAAATATTCTTTAAGTCCTGTGCTTCAGGATTCAGTGCCGATAATCAGCTAGATGTGCGCTGATGATAATACTTGCCTGCCCTCATTTCCGTTTGCACAAGCAATTAAGTTCTTGTCAAATGGAACATTTTGCATACACAATATTTGGATTCGGCAGAAACCTGAATGTTTATTGTTGTAACGAATTTGTGGCAGGATTTCATCTACGACCTGCCTTTGTTTTTTACTTCCATAGAAATTCTAAAAATTAGTCTTTTTCCGTAGTTATTCTGGCACGGTGTTTTATTAAAAGTTACCTTCCATGGTTTTACTCACTGACCATGCATGAGATTCGGAGATATCAAATTTTAATCATACTGGCATATTCTGTACTGATGTATATAATCATGATCACAGACATAATGTCGGTTTTCAAAGAGATTTCAATCTCACGTTTTATGCAGAAATCCTTGAACGCAAGAGCCTAATTTGTGAAGGATATGACGCATATTTTAAAGCAAATCTCACGAGAGGTTTACCATTACGCTGTGAAATTGCTTAACTGCCTTGAGGGGATTGTTTCAGAGTTAATTCTAAGCTTCCTTTTACGCTATTTTTTTCAGTAGTTAAATCGCGAATAAAGAGTCTTTCTAATTCAGTCTGAAAACCGGTAATAATTTGAAGATTTGCATTTAAAACTAATCAAGTTCTAGAGAGGAAAGCATTTCACATTCGACTGTTAACTGAGAAGCTTTGAATAGGACAATTCGTTTACAAACAATTTTCAAGACCGGCTCAGTGATCAGAGCCTCTTTTAGAGTTTAGTGCGTATAATTTCATGAGCATTTTGAATATATGAACACCAACAGAGCCATCTAATAAATATTTTTCGTCAGTTTGATGCTTTTGAGAGGAAAGATGGTAAACTAAAATTAAAAATAAACGCACGATAAAATGAAACAGCTGCCATATTTATTGAAATTTAAACGTTTCCTGACGACACGTAACAAAGATGGAATCTTGTAGATAATAATTTTTTGTAATATGGATTTGTGATAAACGTTTAGGAAAAAAGTTAAGAATCATTGAAGTGTCGATGACAGAAAAAGTCTCGCAAAAGGGTGCCAATAGTTTATTTCCCGTGACACGACAAAGGCAATATAGAGTCAAATTAGCTTTGAACAATACAGAACAAGGAATGTTTGCAGAGATTCAATTTAGCTATTATCTTTGTATAACCAAATTTTCGCTTTATGCAGGCGTTGTAAAATAATACTTCCTCGGCAAAAGAAAAGAAAAAATTATTCGTCCTTTTTTCGGTGTGAAACTGATCGCATGATAGTTTTGACGCCTTTAATAAATTCAAGATTTAATCTCAACATAAAACGAATGCAATTAAATAACTCAAACCGCAACGCATCTAGAGGTAAATTTATTTTCCTTTTACGAATTTAGGCTTTTAAATTGGCCTATTGTCAACACAAGCTTAGGACATGTTGTCTTATCAGTAACACTACCTCTGACACGATATTTACTTGACAGGCAAGGTGAATTCCGAAGCCTTTTTCGCTGTCAAAAATTCTGCATAATCATTGTTCGCACTACGGATGTTATCAAAGCAAATTACGTAGTACCATTTGGGGGCAATTTTCACCCTTTTAAACTGTCTAATGTGCTTAGACGAACCACATTACTAGTAGCACTGGCCATATAAACAGCTCAATAGGATTGCGGAGTTGCATTCAGATCAACGTGATTTAACAAGAACACAATTTATCAGACATATTTCCCGGTAAGAAATTTTCCTTTTTATGATGATTTGAATAGCGTCGGTTTGTTAGAGGCTGACCGCCTAGGCAAAGTGTTTTTTTTCCTGTATTTTTTCACTTCTTCTCTTAACCGTTTTACAATCAATTCAAGGCATGTTCATGTTCAGCTTTAAGTGTTTCAACGACAGGAACCAAGGTGTCATCTCGCTAGAATTTCAAACGCTTGCTTACAATTTTTCTTTTTCAAGAATCGTATAGTCCACATACGAATATTTCATCATTAACCCTGTATTCAAGAAATCTTTCACTGAAAATAAACAAAGGACTGATATCGAAGAGAGCCTCTAAAATAGTTTATACATCCATTTACTATGAAATGTCTCAATCGAAAGTGTCTTAAATTTTTGATTTGTAAAAGTACCATTTGCTTAAAAGGACAAATTATTGGTGAAATATTTCTCGTGCTCTTAAGATTTTAGTAGAATTTTCCCTTTCCTGTTCATCTTTTCTATTTCAGCCAACTAAAAGATGGAAACCAAGAGCCTCGTAGTCTTGTTTCTTGTTTCGTGCATTTTTGTCTCTGTCTGTTTTCAACCCGCCGCCTCTCAAGGTCTTCGATGGGGAAGAGAATATGAAGAGGAAGAAGAAAACCATCGAGTGAATCCAGTGAAAGCCGATTATCTCAGGCGCAAAGAGATGCACAGAACATTTGAAGATGCCGCAGATGAGGGTAAGAAATTACAAAAAAAAAGACTGAAGAAAGTGAAAGAAAAAAACTAGCGCCGAACACATTGGTAGTGGGAATGAAACGTCTGGTTCCTTAAAATATAAAACGCAAGAGTGTGTTAACTAAAATTCCTCAGTCGCCTCTTCATGGTTTGATCATCGCCATCGTTAACCACTCACTCACCCACTCACCCTAAACCATCTTCATCGATCCCCCTCCCTCGTTCTCTTGTGGTTTGTTTTTATCTCCTTTGCGTTTCTCTTTCCAAGGAAACTGTTATGTTAAGTTGTCATTTTATATGAAGGAAATTATCTATAACTCTAAATATAGTGACGTTGAAATATTCAAAGAAAAAGAGAAAAAGCAAAAAGTAAAAAAAACTGAAAAGCTTCGCCTACTCTGACATTTGCTGGGCGTTCACTTCGGTTGAACGATGAACGGACTGATAGTCGATCATTGCAGTTTAGCACTGATATATGTATCATAACACAATACTAAGAGAAAATCGGCCTTATAGTGTTGTTTTCAAACAGTTCGTTTGATGTCGTGTTTGACTTACTACGATAATAATGGTGCTGACGATAACAAAAAGGTTCAGTAAATTTTAGTAATCTCATAAAGAATTATTTTTGCATTGCAGCCAACTTTGATTATAACAGACGCTGAGTTCTATTGGAATATCCTACACACCCAAACGGACTGGACTGGACATTTGATTGAATCACTGAGCTTTCGTAGCCCGTTACTATGGGAAAATTTACTTTTAATTGATGCATGATTATTATTTAGTGGAGGAGATAAGTTAAGCTTGTAAAATGAAATCATACAGCAATAAAACGCAATCTGAACGATGTCAGAATAAAAAGGAACCAGACTTTTATGTAATGATAGCTAAAACCCGTGCACAAAGAAGGGAGAGAACCACGGTTATTTGGTCAATAAACGTCTGAAATCTTCGAAGCTTTCGAGAGAAACATTTTGTTTAAGCCATAACCGTTAAATCACAACTATTGTCCCTTACCTCACATTATATGAAGCTCGTTAAGTGGGTGACCGCAGTGGGTCATTTCGGGAAATTTGATAACAACTCACGTGTGGTGTGCCTATTTACACCTCTCGGCAAAAAGACACCGTGGGAGTAAACTATTTGACAACGGGTGTTAGCCACAAAACACACTGAGATAACAAATTATATGATGAGGTTCTGGTGCCTTGAGGCTATTAAATCTCTCAGAGTGAGTAGCGGTGCTTAAGGGTACAACTCGGCACTTTGCTTCTGATTGTGGTGTTTTGGCATTAAGTATGCAAATTATACATAGACCTGGCCGATTGCATCTCATCCTGCTTTCATCGACAGAGATCTGCTTGCAGAGAGTTTTGATTGTTAATCAGTGGCGCAAACATGAAAATGACAGCAGTGCTAATTTGCCAAAGCAACTGTACATGGTTTCGCAATAAGCATTTTTTATTTAACTCTTGATTGAAGCAATCACTAGCGAAAAAAAGCTATAAGGTACCGACTAACGAAAAATTGGACAATTAAACACAAAGATAAAGATAGGTAGAGAGACAGAAAAAAAAATGTTTAAACCGTCAAAGATGATGCGAGCATCAGATTTCAAGCGTAGACACCAGTTGACAAAAACTCAAACGAAAGAAAAGCTGAGTATTTAATAAATACGAGATCAATTTTCAAAACACCCAAAGCAAGTATGTCTCTTAAAAATTCTATTTGTTGCGCAAAGCAAAAATAGAGTCATCAATTCTTAACTAAATTTCAGTTCAACTAGCTCAATTTTCATCAAATAGTTCAAACTCAGCTAACTTGGTTCCCGGGGTCAAGTCAGTTTCATATTAGCATCATATTAATAAGCTTTGAGTAAAGAAGCTCAGGTGCATTATTTCCAAATAAAAAGTCAGCATGATTCCAGCCTTGAATCTCTTAAGATCTCTCTCTCTGAAGTATTTCAAGTTAGTTATCCGGTCTTTTAGAAGTCGTACATCTGTCGGGCAGGCAAGTTTGTCATTTGAACCCGAGAAGAGAGAGGTTGGAGTCTTCATGTCTTCTTCATGGTACTCTGGAGCTTCAAGCTGAATTAAAAGACAAATGGCATGAAATTGAGTAAGGAACAGAAGGTAACAAACGAGTGCCCGACTGCAGGTGACTACCGAGCCGGTCAACCGACTCATTGACCAAGAGATCAATCGACTCATTGACCGATTTACCACCTGGATAGAAAGTATTGAATGGTGGTTTTCTGACGAATTGACTAATTCACTGATTTCCAAGCAAAACTCTTAATAGAATGAACAATCTTCTAGGTGTATGGGCTTCCTAGCAGACCCTCCTCTCCCCCTCACCCACTTGTGCTCTCCCCCCCCCCCCCCCCTCCATGAATCGAATGCTTGGGTAGGCCGGCTCTCCAGCTTGCTAACTAACTGACGGTCTGGTGGACCCAGGCATACGATTACAACTGACAATGCCTCAAAACGAGCCTCTCATGAGCTACTGAAATAGTGGTGATAAATACCTGGCCGTAAGTTCTATAATTGGAGAAGAATCCATAATCATACTGGGCACATTTCTTTGACAACACCATCTGAAATAAAACATAGATAACGGTATTTCCATAAATAGGAAACAACTATCCACATCGGCCATAGAAGCTGTTATAAACAAAGATCTAAATAGTAATTTGGAAACAGTTTTTATTATTTTATAATAAAAGCTACATTATTTCCGTCGAGTTAGCTATTTAGTAACACCAAGAGTCACCGTTTGAAACAGTGTCTGCAGCACATTGTGAATATTACAGCGCAAAGTCGAAGTGTATGAAGCGTCACCGTATTAAGCAGTCACTCAAGCCGTTGGTTGCCAAAGTCCCGAATGTGTTTCCCCTTATTCACTGTAATTTTCACCTCTATTAAGCGGTCACGGTCACCTTTTACTAAGTCCTAATGGCCTTGTTTTCATTTTCCACCGCATTTATTGAAAGGTCACTTAAAGCTGGACCACTCAAATAAAACTAAGAATAATCTTTCAGTTTATTTTCATTCCACAGCTCCGACTGGAGACCCTTTGGAGCACGAAACGCGGGAGAAAAAAAATTAATACTGAATCTTTTACACCCTAACATCAGTATGCATATTCTTCATACTGTTCTCATGGCATTTCCTAAGGCTCTGACGAGGAGAATTTGTTAAAGAAACAATAATATCTTTAATTAGTGATTATTTTTGTGACGTGTCTGATGTGTTTAGACGAGCCACATTACTAGTAGCACTGGCCATATAAGCAGCTCAATAGGATTGCGAAGTTGCATTCAGATCAACGGGATTTAACAAGAACACAACTTATCAGACATATTTCCCGGTAAGAAATTTTCCTTTTTATAATGACTTTGAGTAGCATCGGTTTGTTAGAGGCTGACCGCCTAAGCAAAGTGTTTTTTTTTCTGTAATTTTTCCACTTCTTCTCTTAACCGTTTTACAATCAATCCAATGCACGTTCATGTTCAGCTTTAAGTGTTTCAACGGGAGGAACCAAGGTATTATCTCGCTAGAATATCAAACGCTTGCTCACAACTTTTCTTTTTCAAGAATCGTATAGTCCACAAACGAATATTTCATCATTAACCCTGGATTCAAGAAATCTATTACCGAAGATAAACAAAGGACTGATATCGAAGACAGCCTCTAAAATAGTTCATGCATCTATTTACTGCGAAATATCTCAATAGAAAGTGTCTTATATTTTTCATTTGTAAAAGCACCATTTGCTTAAAAGGGCAAATTATTGGTGAAATATTTCTCGTGCTTTTATATTAGGATTTAGTAGACTTTTATCTTTCCTTTTCATCTTCTCTCTTTCAGCCAACCAAAAGATGGAAACTAAGAGCCTCGTAGCTTTGTTTCTTGTTTCGTGCATTTTTGTCTCCATCTGTTTTCAACCCGCCGCCTCTCAAGGTCTTCGATGGGGAAGAGAATATGAAGAGGAAGAAGAAAAGCATCGAGTGAATCCAGTGAAAGCCGATTATCTCAGGCGCAAAGAGATGCACAGAACATTTGAAGATGCCGCAGATGAGGGTAAGAAATTACAAAAAAAAAGACTGAAGAAAGTGAACGAAAAAAACTAGCGCCGAACAACATTGTTAATGGGAATGAAACGTCTGGTTCCTTAAAATATAAAACGCAGGAATATGACAACAAATATTCTGCAGTCGCCTCTTCATGGTTTGATCATCGCCATCGTTAACCACTCACCCACCCACCCTAAACCATTTTCGCCCATCCCCCTCCCTCGTTCTCTTGTGGTTTGTTTTTATCTCCTTTGTGTTTTTCTTTTCAAGGAAACTGCTATGTTAAGTTGTCATTTTATTTGAAGGAAATTATCTATGACTCAAAATATAGTGATGTTGAAATATTCAAAGAAGAACAGAGAAAGTAAAAGAAAAACAAACAAACTGAAAAACTTCGCCTACTCTGGCATTTGCTTGGCATTCACTTCGGTTATACAATTAACTGACTGATGGTCGATCATTGCAGTTTAGCACTGATCTAGGCATTAAAAACACAATCCTAAGAAAAAGAAATCGGTCTTCTAGTTTTGTTTTGATGCCGTGTTTGACTTACTACGATAATAATGGTGCTGACGATTACAAAAAGGTCCTGTCAATTTTAGAAATCTCATAAAGAATTATATTTGCATTGTAGCCGACTTTGATTATAGCAGACAATGAGTTCTACTGGAATATTCTACACACCAAAACGGACTGGACTGGACATTTGATTGAATCACTGAGCTTTCATAGCCCGTTACTATGGGAAAAATTAACTTTTAATTGATGCATGATTATTATTTAGTAGAGGAGATAAGTTAAGCTTGTAAATGAGTTAAAAAATCATACGGAAATAAAACGCAGTCTGAACGATGTCAGATTAAAAGGAACCAGACTTTTGTGTAGTGACAGCTAAAACCCGTGCACAAAGAAGGGAGAGAACCACGGTTACCAGGTCAATAAACGTCTGAAATCTTCAAAACTTTCGAGAGAAACATTTTTTTTAAACCATAACCGTTAAATCACAGCTATTGTCCCTTACCTGAGAGTATGTTAAGCTCGCTTAGTAGGTGACCGCAGTGGGTCATTTAGGGAAATTTGATAACAACTCACGTGTGGTGTGCCTATTTACATCTCTCGGCAAAAAGACACCGTGGGAGTAAACTATTTGACAACGGGTGTTAGCCACAAAACACACTGAGATAACAAATTATACGATGAGGTTCTGGTGCCTTGAGGCTATTAAATCTCTCAGAGCGAGTAGCGGTGCTTAAGGGTACAACGTCGGCACTTTGCTTCTGATTGCGGTGTTTTCGCATTAAGTATGTAAATTAAACATAGATCTGGCCGATTGCATCCCATCCTGCTTTCATCGACAGAGATCTGCTTGCAGAGAGTTTTGATTGTTAATCAGTGGCGCAAACATGAAGCGCCAATTTGCCAAAGCAACTGTAAATGGTTTCGCAATAAACATTTACATTTAAGTCTTGATTAAAGCAATCACCAGCGAAGAAAAGCTATAGTGTACTGACAATCGAAAAATTGGACAATTAAACACAAAGATAAAGATAGGTAGAGAGACAGAAAAAAAATGTTTTAACTATCAAAGATGATGCGAGCTTCAGATTTCAAGCGTAGACACCAGTTGAAAGAAAACTAAAACGAAAAAAAAAGCTAAATATTTAATAAATACAAGATCAATTTTCAAAAAACCCAAAGCAAGTATACCCCTTAAAAATTATATTTGTTGCGTAAAGCAAAAATGGAGTCAGCAATTCTGAACTAAATTTCAGTTAACCGACTAAATTTTCTTCAAATATATAGTTCAAACTCAGCTCACTCAGTTCCCAGGGTCAAGTCAGTTTCCATCATATTAATAGGCTTTGAGTAAAGAAGCTCAGGTGCATTATTGCCGAATAAAAAGTCAGCATGATTCGAGCCTTGAATCTCTTTGAAGTATTTCAAGTTGGTTATCCGGTCTTTTAGAAGTCGTACATCTGTCGGGCTGGCAAGTTTGTCATTTGAACCCGAGAAGAGAGCGGTTGGAGTCTTCATGTCTTCTACATGGTACTCTGGAGCTTCAAGCTGATTTAAAAGACAAATGGCATGAAATTGGGGTAACGAACGAATGCCTGACTGTTAGTGACCAGCGAGCCGGTCAACCGACTCATTGACCGACATACCAATCGACTCATTGACCAATTTGCCACCTGGATAGAAAGTATGGAGTAGTGGTTCTCTGATGGATTGACTAATTCACTGATTTCCCACCAAAACTCTTAATAGAATGGACAATCTTCTCGGTGTATGGGCTTTCTGGCTGACCTTCCTCTCGCCCTCACCAACTTGCCCCCCACCCCCATCCCCTCCCCCATCAATGCCCGGGTAGGCCGGCTCTCCGGCTTTCCAACTAACTGACGGTCTAGTGGAGCTTTGATTACAACTGACAATGCTTTAAAACGAGTCTCTCATAAATTACTGAAACAGTGGTAATAAGTACCTGGCCGTAAGTTCTATAATTGGAGAAGAATCCATAATCATACTGGGCACATTTCTTTGACAACACCATCTGAAATAAAACATGAACAACGGTATTTCCATAAATAGGAAACAACTATCCACATCAGCCATAGCAGCTGTTATAAACAAAGATCCAAATAGCAATTTGGAAACAGTTTTCAATATTTTATAATAACAGCTACATTATTTCCGTCTAGTTAGTTAGCTATTTAATAACACCAAACGTCACTGTTTGAAACAGCTGTGTCTGCAGCACATTGTGAATATTACGGCGCATATTATTTTTTTTCATTACTTTTCTTAACCATTTTAAAATCAATCCGAGACATGTTCATGTTCAGCTTTAAGTGTTTCAACGGCAGGAACCAAGGTGTCATCTCGCTAGAATTTCAAACACTTGCTCACAACTTTTCTTTTTCAAGAATTGTATAGTCCACAAACGAATATTTCATCATTAACCCTGGATTCAAGAAATCTTTCACTGAAAATGAACAAAGGACTGATGTCGAAAGCAGCCTCTAAAATGGTTTATACATCTATTTACTGTGAAATATCTCAATCGAAAGAGTATTAAATTTTTGATTTGTCAAGCACCATTTGCTTTAAAAGGGCAAATTATAGATGAAATATTTCTCGTGCTCTTAGGATTTAGTAGACTTTTATCTTTCCTTTTCATCTTTTCTCTTTCAGCCAACTAAAAGATGGAAACCAAGAGCCTTGTAGCTTTGTTTCTTGTTTCGTGCATTTTTGTCTCCATCTGTTTTCAACCCGCCGCCTCTCAAGGTCTTCGATGGGGAAGAGAATATGAAGAGGAAGAAGAAAAGCATCGAGTGAATCCAGTGAAAGACGATTATCTCAGGCGCAAGGAGATGCACAGAACATTCGAAGACGCCGCAGATGAGGGTAAGAAATTACAAAAAAAAAGACTGAAGAAAGTGAAAGAAAAAAACTAGCGCCGAACAAGATTGCCAATGGGAATGAAACGCCTAGTTCCTTAAGATATAAAACGCAACATTGTGTTAACTAAAATTCTCCAGTCGCCTCTTCGTGGTTTGATCATCGCCATCGTTAACCACTCACCCTAAACCATTTTCATCCATCCCCATTCCTCGTTCTCTTGTGGTTCGTTTTTACCTCTTTTGTGTTTCTCTTTCCAAGGAAACTGTTATGTTAAGTTGTCATTTTATATGAAGGAAATTATCTATGACTCAAAATATAGTGACGTTAAAATATTCAAAGAAAAAGAGAAAAAATAAAAGAAAAACTGAAAACGTCGCCTACTCTGACATTTGCTGAGCATTCACTTCGGTTATACGATTAACAGACTGATGGTCGATCAGTGCAGTTTAGCACTGATACAGGAATTAAAACACAATTCTAAGAGAAAATCGGCCTTTTAGTGTTGTTTTCATGCAGTTCGTTTGATGTCGTGTTTCACATACTAAGATAATAATGGGCTGACGACTACAAAAAGGTCTAGTCAGATTTAGTAATCTCATGAAAATTTACTTTTTGCATTGTAGCCGACTTTGATTATAACAGACGCTGAGTTCTACTGGAATATCCTACACACCAAAACGGACTGGACTGGACATTTGATTGAGCTTTCGTAACCCGTTACCATGGGAAAAATTTACTTTTAATTGATGCATGATTATTATTTAGTAGAGGAGATGAGTTAAGCTTGTAAATGAGTTCAAAAATCATACAGCAAAAAACGCAGTCTGAACGATGTCAGAATATAAAGGAACCAGACTTTTGTCTAGTGATAGCTAAAACCCGTGCACAAAGAAGGGAGAGAACCACGGTTACCAGGTCTGAAAACGTCTGAAATATTCAAAGCTTTCGAGAGAAACATTTTTTTTAAGCCATAACCGTTAAATCACATCTATTGTCCCTTACTTCACAGTATATGAAGCTCGTTAAGTAGGTGACCGCAGTGGGTCATTTATGAAAATTTGATAACAACTCACGTGTGCCTAATTACACCTCTCGGAAAAAAAGACACCGTGGGAGTAAACTATTTGACAACGGGTGTTAGCCACAAAACACACTGAGATAACAAATTAGATGATGAGGTTCTGGTGCCTTGAGGCTATTACATCTCTCAGAGTGAGCAGCAGTGCTTAAGGGTACAACGTCGGCTCGGTGTTTTTGCATTAAGTATGCAAATTAAACATAGATCTGGCCGATTGCCTCCCATCCTGCTCTCATCGACAGAGATCTGCTTGCAGAGAGTTTTGATTGTTAGTATGGCGCCAACATGAAAATGACAGCAGCGCTAATTTGCCAAAGCAACTGTATATGATTTGGCAATAAACATTTTTATTTAACTCTTGATTAAAGCAATCACTAGCGAAGAAAAGCTATAATGTCCTGACAACCGAAAAATTGGACAATTAAACACAAAGATGAAGATAGGTAGAGAGACAGAAGAAAAAATGTTTAAACTATCAAAGATGATGCGAGCTTCAGATTTCAAGCGTAGACACCATTTGATAAAAACTCAAAGGAAAAAAAAGCTGAATATTTAATAAATACAAGATCAATTTTCAAAACACCCATAGCAAGTATACCCCTTAAAAATTCTATTTGTTGCGCAAAGCAAAAATAGAGTCATCAATTCTGAACTAAATTTCAGTTCAACCAGCTCAATTTTCATCAAATAGTTCAAACTCAGCTAACTCGGTTCCCAGGGTCAAGTCAGTTTCCATCATATTAATAAGCTTTGAGTAAAGAAGCTCAGGTGCATTATTTCCAAATAAAAAGTCAGCATGATTCCAGCCTTGAATCTCTTTGAAGTATTTCAAGTTAGTTATCCGGTCTTTTAGAAGTCGTACATCTGTCGGGCTGGCAAGTTTGTCATTTGACCCCGAGAAGAGAGCGGTTGGAGTCTTCATGTCTTCTACATGGTACTCTGGAGCTTCAAGCTGATTTAAAAGACAAATGGCATGAAATTGAGTAAGGAACAGGTGGTAACGAACGAGTGCCTGACTGCAGGTGACTACCGAGCCGGTCAACCGACTCATTGACCGATTTGCCACCTAGATAGAAAGTATGGAGTGGTGGTGTTCTGACGGATTGACTAATTCACTGATTTCCAACCATAACTCTTAATAGAATGAACAATATCCTTGGTGCATGGGCTTCCTGGCTGATCTTTCTCTCCCCCTCCCCATTTGTGCTCTCCCCCCCCTCCATGAATGCTTGGGTAGGCCGGCTTGCCAACTAACTGACGGTCTGGTGGACCTATGCATACGATTACAACTGACAATGCCTCAAAACGAGCCTCTCATGAGTTACTGAAATAGTGGTGATAAATACCTGGCCGTAAGTTCTATAATTGGAGAAGAATCCATAATCATACTGGGCACATTTCTTTGACAACACCATCTGAAATAAAACATAGATAACGGTATTTCCATAAATAGGAAACAACTATCCACATCGGCCATAGTAGCTGTTATAAACAAAGATCTAAATAGTAATTTGGAAACAGTTTTTACAATTTTATAATAAAAGCTACATTATTTCCGTCGAGTTAGCTATTTAGTAACACCAAGAGTCACCGTTTGAAACAGTATCTGCAGCACATTGTGAATATTACGGCGCACAATCAAACTGTATGAAGCGTCACCGTATTAAGCAGTCACTCTGTATCAAGCGGTTGGTTGCCAAAGTCCCGAATGTGTTTCCCCTTATTCACTGTAATTTTCACCTCTATTAAGCGGTCACAGCCATATTTTACTTAGTGCTAAGGGCCTTGTTTTCATTGTCCTTTAAATTTATTGAAAGGTCACTATGAGCTGGACCACTCAAATAAAACTAAGAATAATCTTTCAGGTAATTGTTATTCCACAGCTCCGACTGGAGACCCTTTGGGGCACGAAACGCGGGAGAAAAAATTAATTCTGAATCTTTTACACCCTAACATCAGTATGCATATTCTTCATACTTTTCACATGGCATTTCCTATGGCTCTGACGAGGAGAATTTGTCAAAGAATCGATAATATCTTTAGTTGGTGATTATTTCTATTATTCTCGTGACCTTACTGTGTGATTCAGGGGTGATATTGTGAGGATAAATTTGATGCTATCACTCCTAGGGGTTCAAGGTTAAGAGCGACCAGGATTGCGTGAAAGACGTCGCTAATATTAACAACAAATTAGCAAAAAGAACTGAGATCATCAAGTATTAGTTAGATTTAGGCGGAAACATCACTGACGATGGAGAGCTGCGAGGCAAAAGCTGAGCGTACCTGACCAAAGTGAATGAAGTTCTTAAAAGACGTTCCTGATCCCCAATGAGACAAAATAACAGGCACTCTGGACTGAAAAGCAAGCACAAGACTCCTCTTATCACCCAGTTATAAATAAAAAAAATCAAAACACTTCAGAATTCCCCTCTCACGAACTCGACACCATAAGTAGCTTCATACCATGTTTATGTTGGCACTGTCAAATCCAAACAGCTCTTCTCCCACGTCATAACAAATCTTTTCTGAAAATTCTCCGCCGCACACCGACTTCTCGGTCAACATATGGATCAGGCTATTCGTCAACATCTTCCCACTGTGATAGCTCTGGTATACATGCTGTTAACGAATAGTAAGCGACTCAAGACGGTGTACTGCTACTCTGGCTATTTAAAGCAGAAGAGGCTGTCCATTGGTTAAGAGTAGATTCAGGGAAGGGAAAACGATCCAAGTAATACGTTTCCCGTTGCTAAAGGAATTGGAGCCCTAATAAGCTTTTTCGATGAGATGTCAATGCCCTCAAGCACTTCACAGCCTTAGCCGATTACTTGAATTTAAGCGTTTTGCGAGGCGTACCTTGTACTACAGTGGCAAACAGGAGACGCGGCAGATCTACTGGTTAGGGTTGGAATTCTGTATCGAAGCGCTCAGGTTCAGAGCTGGAGGTTCATTGATGTCGTCCCGCAATTGAACCACATTATGGGTTTTATGCAGGAGCCCCTTTTTAAGTAATGGGCTCCTGGTTTTATGGCATTAGCAAGTGTGGCTTGCACAGTGGGGGGAGGGGCAGTCTGTGATTAGTATTTACACAACTTACCAGAACTGGATACAAGGCGTAAGCAGCTGTGCGAATAATCTCAGAGACGTAACCAACAGTATAGACTGGAGCCAGGGCGAAGAACATCTTCACTTTACTCGCCAACTGGGGATTACTCGAGAAGCCTGTGAAGCCAATCAGAGTTCCTTGGGAATGACCCACATAAAACAGCTGAGCCTGCCCACTCACATTTAGCGCACGGTTTATCATGGCAGGAAGGTCGTATTTAGCCATCTCTTGCCAGCTATAGAATGAAGGGAATTTAGAGTACATTTTAACGAACACTATTCCAAAACCAGTCACAAGAAAGAAAAAAGATGACAAAAGAAAAAAAAAAAACCGAGGAAACAGAGTTAAGGTATCTCAGGATCCCTCCATCAAATGACTGTGAATTTCTCTGAAAATAAAGCACGCATGCTATTGATGTGTATTTATTTCTCAGTCATTTAGGAAAATCAGCAATGTAGGGCTCCAGACCATATTACCTCCAATCCCAGAATTCCTCGTCACTCGGATCTAGTTTTATATGCTTCTGTGAATATCTGTTACCCCGGATGTTTCCAAGCCATACGTCAAAGCCCCTGTCTGCAAGGATGTAGGCCAGACTCTCTGAGCGTCCGTTTAGTATCCAGTTGGTGCTATCCATTGTCAGTCCATGTTGAAGAAAGACAACTGGTTTGGGAGATGGACTCTGAGTCTTATTCCATCCATGCGGAATCCGTTGCATGTTTAGAATGAAACCATCTTGAGTTGTAACAAAATGATTTTCCACCGGGTAACCTCTGTCCATGATCAGCTCGTTCTAAGGAAAAAAGTAACCTAAACTTCCATAAATGTCGCTAAAAATTTATTCAATCAAACATTTCGGACTTGTGAATGATAAACGTGAATTGGTAGCTTTTATTCAATCGCTATTTCGGGCACACAAAGGCATCGTCTTCGATACGTTTTGAAACCTCTCAGCAACATGCTGCCTGAACCATAAATCCAAGTGTTATGAAACTTGAATTTGGACCCAAGTTGGACTTAATGTCAATGTTGTTCCCTACGACCATGGGCGCACATTCTATGCTCTACGGCACGAGCGTTTCTTCGCCGCGAGAAAGCTTTAGGCCTTGAGGAAAAGATCTGCAAGGGCTCTAACACTAATAATGCCAGACCCCTTACTGACCTCTCGCTAATTCCCTTTGATCAACCTTCCTCACGGGGGAAGAAAACGTTCGAGTCGCAGCGCATATAATGAAGGCCTAATCTCTAGTTTTCCAAAGAAAAAGAGGTATCCAATGTGACATCGATGTGAGATGTTTTACACATTTGCATGAAGAGCAAGGTAGGTAGGGTGATTTCCTCGCCGCATCAAATTAACCTAGCCTTATCGATGCGTCTGCACTGTAAATTTACAACGCAGCTATATTTGCATTTATTATTCGGTACATTGTTCGCCTATCTATACGAATTAGAACCAAGAATAACCTAAAACGCAAACATCGATAACAGTTTGTATTTATAATAGTGAAGCGCAATAATGTTATAACAAGGTCTCTGTGGTAAAAATTGTGAAACACGGCGCGCGTTCATTGGCTGAGATTTGAGGAGGGTGGACTCCGGAATTGATGTAAAGACACACCACGCACGTGCATAGAAAATAAACTTTGGTCACTAAAATAACAAATTTCGACCTTTTGATTTGTTTGGAGAAAATGGACGCCGTGCTCTTACACGTACGATGTTTTTCAACGCTTCAATAATATCCTGTTGAAAAGAAAAATTCCAGGCTTCTTAATGGAGAGCCTGTTTGGAAATCGCTCTGACATAACAGTGAAGTTCATGTCGAGGTGCAATTGCTGTTAACGCACCACAGGAAATTTTCCGATGGTCCCGCTTACAATGAAGAGTGCGTATGTGAAATAAACCAAATCGGAATGGATTGTTTAGAGGTTACAGCACATGAACTGAAAGCGAACCAAATGGCCCTAAATCATCCCAGAAAATCCGCACCTTACAAAGGAAAAACCATTGAGGCGATGTTAGATTGTCTTCATTCAAAACTAATTTCCATTTAAAACCTTATATTTCGCCCATTGCGTAATGTAAACATACAATACAGAGGGTTACCTGTTGCAAACTAATACGGTGTCAGCTTTCGAATTACTGACAAACAAGTGTATGCATGTGAGCGAGGGAGTCTCCTGTACTCTTCACGGATCAGAGATCTATCCAACCAATCTTTACGATTATCTATTCGTGTACGGAATTAGCACCAATTATTCCATCGGAAAAAAAAAAAAAAAAAAAAAAAAAAAAAGGCTTATGAACCCTGTTAACAGGGAGCAATGGCTTTTCCCCTTCAGCCAAACGATACTCACAACTGCGAAATGACATATGCTTCGAAAGCTGTCATCAAGAGAAAACCTTTTCCCATAGAAGAGTATTGGCACGAAGCCCATTCAGCAAGAAAGTTTATTGGATGGCGCTGGAGGATGGGAAAAGGGAATGAACAAGGCGTTTTAGAGGCTGACCTGATAAATGTTGTGGATAGAAAGGGCGAGTGCGTTCAGCATAGCAGTCGAGCATAAGCCAACAAAAATAGGTACGTCTTTTTAAACAAACGCAATTGTAAGCAAGCTAAGTCGATCCGTAGATTAACATCAGTTGCCGAACACCAAGAGTAGGAAATCCCTTTCTTTAGAGGCAATCATTCCGGTTTACACACGTATCCAAGAGAATGAAATTCGCAGATATAACTTTATGATAGGTTCATTGAGGAGAGAGAGAACCTTTTTCTTAGACAATATTCCAGAATTAGATATCAGTTACAAGCGAAGATTAACTAATGAAGAACGGGAGAAGAACAAACACTGTTTCGTTAATAAGCTAACAATTAATTTCCGTTTGCTCAAAATTCTTTTCAATCTAGTGAAAGCCTCTTATCATCAATGAACATATCTCACTAGGAATAAAATGAACATACATTGAATGAAAATAGTGACGGTACTCGAAAAAGTTCAAGATCGCATTCATAACATTAAAATTTTTGGTTCCTTAAATTTTGAGTGCGTCATATAACCATGAAATAGTCAATGGTGACATAGCAAAAAACCTCCTACCGCAGTTCTGTAAAGATCTGAGTCTTCCACATCATTTTCTTGAGTCTCTAAAGGCGCACATATCAGCAATGGGAAAAGCACTGATATTAGAAGGATAAAGATTGTCATGATACGCACGGCCATCGTTGACAAATTGTGATTATTACAGGACAAAAGCCACACGAATGATGAACTCTGAGGACGAAATCTGTAAATAAATTGTAGTCAGTGAGTTTTTACTGGTTAAAAGGAGAGAGGACTCAGGAAAAGTTTGCAATTTTACGAAACAGGAAAAACGTCCAAACCTCTTCAAGAACGACGCTGCCTTTCAGTCTTGACAGATTTCGATCCAGGTTGTCTGTGAAGAGAAGGTTCAGGGAGAGCGTATAAGTAACACAAGTCACAAGACCTTTAACCACCCCTGCTGAGGGGAGTCGAGTTTCGAAGACGCGTGCTTAGGGAAACCGCACGAAAGGAAAACATGCGAAAATCGATCTGCTTTCTAAGCCGGAAAGGGTCGGGGCGTTTTGAAATAAAAACATTCAGATGAAAGATCCAATGCTAAATTATGTAGTTGCTCTGAGCTCTCTGAATTATTTTTATTTTTAATGGCAATTTTTTAACATATTCGTCAGCCTTAGAACTTTATTCATTCCAGGACAAGAAAAAAAATCTGTCTGGGAACTCATTAGATGAGCAGGTCACGTGCCGATGTATAATAACGAAGCAAATACCACTTATTAGCCGGACTGCAATGTACAGTTAGGATGTCTTAGGATAGGAAGTCAAAGAAAGAAAGTCATTTTAAGATACCAGAAAAGGTAAAGCTTGAGCTTGCTGTGGTCACCTCTCCAGAAACGTGACTAATGGTCACTGATAGTATGATAATGTGACAAACTCTGCTCTTAACCAGTGTACAAAGAGGGTGTTAGTAGACTGCAACGAAACTCATGACGTAACTCTAAGTTCTTGGGTGATCTACCGAGTTTGGGGTACGATGCCTGAGTAATTGCTGAACAGGTGATACAAATAACAAGAAACTAACGCATTAATTGAAAAAAAGACCGCCTTTAAGGAAACATATCAAAAAGAGAAACAAACAAACAAACAAGAGACGTAGAAGCATATAAAGCCATAACTGTCTTCGTATGGTGATTTCAACATTACTTATTTCAACAAAAGATCATTCAGTCTCTTCGAACTACAATGAGAAGGAAAGATTTTTTCAGATGGGAAGAATGAGGTTTCTCGGTTTATGATATCCTCTTCTTGCAGGAGCCCATTATTGCTAAGTAAAGGCTCCTGCTTCTCGTCATTCTTACTTAAACATTTATTTTTCCGCTGTTATCTGACTCATACACTGTCTCCTTTTACGTTTTGGGGAAAATTATTAACGAGTGAAGCGCGTGACAGGTGCGCGGGAGAGGATGAGAAGGGGGAAAAACTTTCCATCGTCCGCTTTGAAGTGCTAGTCTCTCGTGACCCCGCGGCTTCGTATTAAAAGTTAGGAGACAACTGGGGACAAGTCAGATGTTGTAAGTTCCAGTCTATTCCTGGTTCACGACCAGTGCGGACGAGCTTACTTGGCTAAGCTCGGTTGTCAAGGGAAACAGAAACGAAGAACGTAATGCTGGTTCGATCGATTCGAGATAGCAGGTGCTGTGACAAAATAATAAATGAAAAATACTACGTTTTAATTAACATATGATTAGAATTTTCGTCCCCTTTCGACCCCTCTCGTGTAACAGTCAGACGAAGCAGTAAATTTGATAGGCCTTTTGCGATCAGTTTATTGCTTTAATCAGATATAAAAATTTGAGCAATTTGGACATCTTTGGGGAGATTAGTATTGTGATAAACTGACGCTAGAAAATGAGCCATGGTCCATGAACGCGATGATTAAAAACAAGCACGTTAGCTTCAAGAAAAATAATCGTTCATCGAATCACATGCTTCCGATTTGTCTTTTTTCGGTAGTCCTTGGTAACACCAAGTAATATTTTAAATAATTCTTACATTTTCAATAAATCCGCGCTAAAATGAATTTCCTCTTCTGAAATTATAAAACATCTTTTCCCTGGATTGCACAGTGATCCAACATCAATTTGGACTTTATTTTTCACGTGAACAGGCCCAGTGCTGACTTCCACAATGCCATTGCTTCTCCACTCACGAGAGATCATGCAAAATTTTGACAAGGTTGCTGTATAAAACTTTGGCAGCATCCTCTCCAAACACAAAATCAACGTGATTCCATCTAGGCAAGAACTGAGTGAGTACAAGATTGCTAATTTTGGGTATAAGAGCTTCCACGTCAGTCGCGTTAGACAGTGAATCCTGGCCGCCGTAGAAAAATGCTGTGGGTGTTATCATCTTACTAACATCATACACTGGTGGTGAGTCCTAGGAAGGAAAAAACCAAACAAAAAACTCACGAAAATTTGTCATTTGACTGAGGCCTAGTATTAAAATTATAACAATTTTCAATTGAGTGACGAAAGAAATCCTGTACTGCTTTGGTTTTGGTTTACTTCGTTCAGTGTTTGGTCGACAAAACCCGCGACACTCTCTTAACAAATCAGATTCCAAACTAAAACCAATAACGACTTGGTCACCCGCGTTTTCCTGCGCTTTAGTTAGTTGTTTCTACTTTGAATTCTCGTTGGCTCTTAAAGGATTTTTTCCTTCCTTTTGATTAGCCGTTGTAATTATTTTGATTTTGGTTTTACGAAACTAAATCGACATTCAAAACTATTGTCTTTGTTGTTTTGACCAAAGCAAGCAAATAATTCCTTGTTTTTCAGGTTGAACATTCCCGAATTTGTTATGATATTTTTTGGTCCATTTGTACAAAACGAAACCACCAATATAAAAGTTTATTCTGCAGCTCAACTCAAGTTTTCTATTGTACCCGACACAAATTCTTGATACAAAACGACACAGAGTCAATTAAACTACCTGATGGTAATGTTTTTGATTTCCTTTCCTGCCATAGTTAAACTTCTGACATCTTCCCGATAATATAAGCTGCAATTGGGAATAACAGTTAAAACATATTGAGAAACCTGGGACAAAGCTAAATTTTGAAGTCACCAGGTAGCCCCTCTTGTACATTCTATTACTTACTAGTAAGGGACCAGTTATCAGTTGGCTCCTGGGAGGGTGGGAGGGATTTTTAAGAGGATCGCATGGTTTATCAAGGGAGGAAGGGGGGCGGAGGTGGGATAAGTCGTCGCTAACGGTGTATCGAGTGGGGACTACAGAAAAATAACTGCGAATTGACTGCCAATGAAGGGGGATCATGAGAATTTTACTGATCAAAATCCTCCAGCCCCCTACTCAAAGGATAAATAATGACAGCTTCATAATCAGTGTAGTTCACTTTTTATTCATGCTAACCATACGCAGTTTATCCTTTCAATTTACGCATTTTTCCCTTTATGGAGCTTGCGATTTCGCCGACAGGGACCCTTGCATTGAAAACAGTACTAAAATCAGAATTGAAGCGCCTAAACAAACGCTTGACATGCTTGAGAAGTCACCTTTCGAATTTCTACATTTGCATCAGCGGTTAAATACCCCCAGTAGACTATACGTCAATAAACAAGTTTTATACACAGTTCGACCGACTTTTCAAACGCCAATCATATTGCCTTTACATACCTGGCCGAAGTGGATGATATTCTTCAGGGAAGTACCCGCTGGCCAGTTTGAAAGGTAGACCGGAACCCGACTCTGGTGAAAGGAAAACAGAGAATACACAGCACAGTCCATTATAACCATTTATATGCCAGCACCAGTTTTTCATTAAACACCAGTTTTTCATTAAACATAATTTTACTTACCATATTGTTGTTACTGTCATCAAAGCCAAAAATGTACTCTCCAAGATCATAACAAGCCTGTTCTGACCACTTGCCGCCACAAAAACCGATATCTATAAGCTTCTGAAGCAGTCGACCAGGCAAGAACTCGATTTCGCCCAGGGGACGAAGAAGTTCCTGACAGAAAAAAAAAAATAGGAGCTTCTGTCAATCCTGGTCAAAATTATTCGGCATGGATGCCCACGATTAAGACACAAAACATCCACACAAAGACACACGACAACAGACCGCTCAGGGGACACGTCATCAACATGTGGCAATCACAGCTGCTGGAAAACGGCCAAAAAATGACGCTTCATAAGGTAACGATTAAGCAGTCCACCCCACCCCTAGAGAAAAATTAACAATAAAAAGTTCATACGTCGCGATCCGCATCAGAAGTGCATCACATAAGCCAAATATAAATTTTTACACTTAATTCATACCTCAATTGGGTCAAGAGTGAAAGCCAAGTCCCTCAGTATTGCGGCAGTGTGGTCCAATTGGTAAATGGGCGCCAAGGCCATGAACAGTTTGACTTTCTTTGCAAGCTCGGGATTGGATGAAAAACTCGTGAAACCGACCAGAGTTCCTTGCGAGTGGCCGATGTAAAATAGCTGGTGTTGGCCGCTGACCTCTAGAGCGTGCTTAAGCATGGCTGGGATGTCATATTGAGCCATTTCTTGAAAGCTGCAACCAAACACATACCACTGTCAGGAGGACGACAATAGTGAAAACCATCATATCAATGTATGACACAAGAAACTACACAGTTTAACCTTTTAACTCCCAGAAGTGATTGACACGCAACTTCTCCCTATAATATCCATACATTATCTTGATCTAACACCAAATTCTCGTGACTAATTTACAAGGAAGCGTGTAGCAGCTAGAGAAGAGAATTAACAATCAGATCTAGGGAGTTAACGAGTTAATGACTTAACTTCCTTCTGTCTCATATGGGTTTCTGAGTCATCGTAGTACCTAAAGTGCCGTAAATAGGGTAATGGTTTATCTCTCATTAAAACAGCAGGCCCGTGTCATTTATCGAGGGGAAAAATAGAACCTTCTTTCCTGTTTTAAAATCAGAAAGGTCATTAGCACTGTCAATTTTCTTTTATCTGTCAAAAATTATCAGCCTTCTTTCCACGGAACACTCACCTCCAATCCCAGAATTTTTTTTGACTCGGCTTTAAGACACTATTACGTCTCGAGTATCTGTTTCCCCGGACGTTACCAAGCCAAACATCAAACCCACTGTCGGCCAAGATGTACCCCAAGCTGTTATCCGGATAATTTTGGACCCAATTTGACGAGTCCGCCAAGAGCCCATGCTGTAGAAACACTACAGGTTTAGTGCCATTGGTTCCACCTGCTCGCCCATGTGGGATACGTTGAACACCGAGTGTGAAGTTATCTGTGGTGTTCACACAGTATTCTTCAACTGGATATCCACGATTCACAATAAGCTGACTCTAAGATGATAAAAGGAAGGGAGGAGAGAAGAGATACGGACAGTGTTCAGAGCCATTTCAACAACCGTTTAAATCCAAAAATACACAAATACATGTCGTCTCCTCATTGCTTCCACACATTTCTATCAATGTGCTTCCATGAAGTTTTGTCAAAGCAAGCAAAGTGCTAAATGGTTCGTGTCTTTCCCAAATCTCTTTCTGAGTGCCTTATAGTGCAACATATCACATTTTCTAACATGAATACAGTAGGCGAACCAGCCCGATCACTGAAGCAAAAATCGTACTAAATATTACAGAGACGATTCGGCGGAAAAACATCCAATTTTCAGATACAGATACCCATACAGCTGTTTTTAATTCAATTCCGTATGTGGCTCGAGACTAAAGAGCGCATGTCATGGAGACAAAAACCATACATGTATTTGTTTAAAACGATTCCTAAGTTTACATGATTGAAGGTAGCCTCGTATTTCTCTTTGCAAGGTGCGTTTGGCATGTCTTAGTTCAATGGAAAACTTGGAACAAAGCAAAAGGACTTTTCAGTCCAACAATGACGTCACTGTCATCATCTGCTGTAATGCTTCCTACAATAAGACTGGGAACGAGTTTGGAACTAACCGAATTGACTTTTTCTGTTTTTCTTTTCTATTGCAGTCGTGCCTAGGTCCTTAGCGAGAAAGTAGCAGATTGCACGCTTGTTATCCATTGCATAATTTATCTACTGTGTCTCGGATAACTTCAAACAACTACAGTTGATGATTATTTCAATAGCTTATTCAATTTAAGGTGTAGTGGAGGCACAGTGAAAGTGAAACGATCGACCTCCAGTCACTGAGTGTTGTTCCAACTACGATGTCGAAGCAAATAGCACATTCAGTGCAGTAAAAACTTGTATAACAAACTTACGACAATTATTTCAGTTCAATCGGCCGAGCCGTTACCTTTTCACCAAAACTGCGACCATATGAGTCCTTTGAGGAGCTACAGTTATCCCAAACAGAAAGCAACCTTCAAAGTCTTCAAGGAACAAATTGAAAAATGAGAATACTCACAACATTACGAAATGCGTCAGGATCCACTTTTGGACAACAGCTAGGCTTAGTCGATCGACCCTTGACAAACAACAACAGACTCAGTAAAGTGGCGACGAATGCGTCAAATATCATCTCTTTCTTCCAAGCCTCGCTTCACTATCATCGATAAGAGCAGGAGCAGGAGACACCTTCAAGAACGCCTTCTTAGAACTGAATCACAAACGCGAAATTTGAGTTCGCTAAATAGATCTTACTTTGCATGACAAGTCACGTGCTCTTGCAGACTGTCTGTGGGAATTCGACGGGGCAGTTTGGTGTAAAACAATTAATCGTAAACAAGAATTAAAAAAACGCAATCATCATTCCCGCATAAAGATTTCTATTTATAGCAGAATGCGTGTTACACGGGAACAGGTCATGCCTTGGCGTATTTTGCCTTTCGTTTTTCCTTTCTGGGAATTGACGATGGTTTTGTTTACAATGTAAATTCTTTCGTCACACAACGATTCTGTCTCTTGCTCCAGTCCGAGTGTAGGAATACATTTGACCAGCGGCTTTCATTCGTTACCAAGGTAACCGCGTTGTTGTACTAAGGAATGGCTGAAAGAATCTGACTCGCCAAGTGAACAGCAATTTACCAATTTTCTCACAAATACAAGGCAAAAGAAAGTTTTCTACATCTTCGGTAGGTAGATAAATCTCTTCAATTTAATATTTGCGCGATTTACCCATCAAATCTTGCAAAGAACTACTTCAATCGTGGACATAAGATTGGTAGTTCTGGGTTTCGCCTTTCAGTTGGAAACTCTTGGAAAGGTTTACATATTGAGGAATTATTAAAAGATGTGTCCTGTAAAAGGTGGATTTCGATGCTCACAAAATTATTATCCCCTCAACATAAGCTACATGTGATAGTCGAGTCGCGGTACATGTGGAGTTAATCGATATTTATTTAGTGCACTTCGCGCTGTCAGTGTAGAAATATAATTTTAAAAAAACTCTAATTCAGAAAAAAACCCTTCAATTACGGATATCTTTGATGATCTCCAACACAGTGATATCGAAAGTGGTATAAATTACATTTACAGAAAAATTAAGCTTTGTTTTATTCAGAACTGAAGATGACAGAAGAACTGTCGAAACATGTTTTTAAAAAGTGTCGTTCATTTTCTTTAAAATTGAAATTCATATGCGAGTACACAAGCAAATCAACGGGTGAACATGATAACTCTTATCTTAAGATGGTTCAAGTGTCATTGATTCTTTCTAGAAATTGTGCAGAGGAAAACTTTAGAAAATTCCCTAAAAGTTAAAGTTAAGTCATTGTGAAACCGCATATTTTTTTAAACTCAAAGGGATTATACATCTGGGTTTGAGATGGAATGAAACTAGATGTAAACTGAATTTTCCAATTTTGAATTTTAGGTCTACTTACCCAGAGGAGATTAAAATGTAACTAAAATATCCAAATTATCCAGCAAACAGGTTGTGAGAATACCCAAACATATCAAATTAAAGCTGTTATCTTGATCTAACACCAAATTTTTGTAACTAATTTACAAGGAAATGTGTAGCAGCTAGAGGGGAGAATTAACAATCAGATCTTGGAAGTTAAAGGGTGAATGACTCACAGTGAATGAAAAATACTATACAGACAATCAGAAATTAGAATTTACATGTATAATGATAACTTCATTGGCAGAAGCACAGAAATATGGGACGTCTTCCTTATGGACCAGGAAATGCCCACATTTTACAAAGTAAGGGTGCTGATGTTGGGGTCATGAAATTCTACTGTACAGAATATTCAACCCATTATGGTAAAGAAGGTTTCATTCCCCGGACTGGTCGTCATTCAGGCACTGGATATCAGTCTAATTTTAGACCAGGAGTGTATTACAGTCGGCGCCTTGATGAACTTGATAACCCAGCCATGGGGTAAGTTGAACATGATACATGCAGGATTTTATTTATATTAGCTAGCCAGAGCTTTCTAAATGAAGTTTTATGAAAGTTCAACAAACCAACAATTCCACTGTGTAATACTTGGTTCAGATGAACAGGCCCATTTTAGAAATAAGAACTAGACCAGCTTAGCAGACAGAACCTTCTTTTCAAAGGAAAGATTGCACTGTATGATTCAAGGTGAATTAATTTTAAAAATAAAAATATGTACATGTCCATAAAGGCTCAATAATCAATTTAACAAATAAATTCCATGTTCCCATGTGTCTCTTCAGTAACAGAGAGTAACAGTTAAGACAAAAAAAGAGGCACACATGGTGCAGCCAAGTGTGCCACTGAGTTTGTTGTGACATTTTCTGTGGTCTACTACAGTACAGACCCACAGCAAAATGAACTGTACATGTACATGTATTTTTTATCTGATAAAATAGCATTGTTGTTTAACCCTTTAACTCCTGGAAGTGATTAACAAGTAACCTCTCCCTACAATATCCATGCACTATCCAGAAAACAGGTAATGAGAATACTCAAATGTATCAAGTAGAAGTTGTTATCTTGACCTAACTCCAAAGTATCGTAACTTATTTGCAAGGAAATGTGTAGCAGCCAAAGGGAAGAATTAACACTCAGATCTTGGGAGTTAAAGGTTAATGGTGATGTCATCTAGAAGTATGCATCTGTCGTTCAATAGAACATCAATGAGAACCAATCAAAATGCATGCATAATGGAGCTTATCATATAATGTCACAGAGACCATCCAGCTACAAAATGTACATGTATACAACATCACTGCAATATTTGTCATTATTTGAATTGATTAATAATTTTTTTCCATGACAGACGTCTCCTGACAGACAACTATACATCCATAACCAAGAAACACTTTTTGCCGTCCAAAGGATCAGGTGGCTCTGATCCTTTTTCCAGAGGGCTCTACATGACAGCAACAAGTGGATTTGTGAAGGATATTCCTGTCACTATTCCAAGATCAAGACAGGTCAGCTAGTGTTGCAATTCAGTCTTGCTGTTAATTACAGCATAGGTTTAGTGACAGTTCCCATTGTCCCATCCTCCCCTCTACCCAAGAGGCCCTTTGGTGAGAAGGAGACGCTGTTTCCTCTTTCTCACTACACGTAAGTGGGTACCAATCAGGGAGTTTAGGTGGAGAGACATCTGCATGTCTAAATTATTATGTCACAAAAAAAATTTCTCACTGAGGCCCCTGATAAAAGAAAGTAATACCTAGAGAAATGGTAAAAAATAGCCCCCAGTACCCTTTTCTGCTAGTTACAAGGTACATGAACACTTCTTACTTCTTCTTTTACTCGCTTATCTACATTTCCTAACTCAGTTACTTCACTCCTTTTGGCTCTTCTTTCTATGTTGAAGTTTATAAATGGTTGATGACTAACTGCTGTTAAAACCTACATATGAATATTTTGGAAATAGAAAAGTGACTTCAGGCATGAAAACTTGGATCTACACACTCTTTCCTTGTAAATGGCTGAACAATGAAGGTTACTTTTAACAGACATCTTTAAGAATGGCCTTTGATTTTTCATAAATTCATGCAATAGGTGAGTGATGTACACATTGACACCAGGGCAAAAGGAACAGTTTATCCATTTCACCGTCCCCTGCTGCACACTCTGAAACAAAAGGATCCTATCTCCAGAGAAAATGCTTTCCATGTAAGTTGATAATTAAAATGTATACCAACTAGGCCTACATTGCTACACATAACAAGAACAGCTTGGCAAATTTTACAAAAAAAAAAAAGGGTTTTGAGATCATATTTTGACGTTAAATAGTAAACTTGTCCTAACCTCTTCATCAATTTCTTTTCTTCAGGGACCAAGCTACATGTCAACTGAAAGCCATACAAGTTTCCTTGGAAAACCCAGTCAGAGAAGTGTGTACCACTTTTCTTCTAGGAGCAAAGTTTTAATCTTACTTAAAATCTTCACAAAGCTAGCATCTTCAACAAACTTTTGTTGAGACATTTTGCATCATTATTGCTACTTATTTACAATGTACTGGTATAAAATGTATCTTTTGTTGCTTCTCCTCCTCCACCTACATGTACAATGTACCTTTTTCCTTCCAGTCAGTGTTCATGATTTGGTCTGTATTATGATCATGTTTATGTGATATGTAGTTACCACAAGGTACAATTTGGCATTATTTTCTATTAAGAGACTCCTAGCATCTTAGCATAATTATGTAAAGTTCATATAGGGTTACATGAAGACCAGGCTGTGTCATTATGAAATGTTACTTTTTCAGGGCACAAAGGGTATTCACGTACTTACAGCAAGAGATTTGGTATTGTCTCTTCAAAACTGCACTTGGAGCTATATTAATTCTTTAGCAATGCAAGTAGAATTCAGCATTTGATATAATTCTTTTGCTGGTTTTAACTGCGTGACTTCCTGTGGAGGACTTGTTAAGATGTACACTGTACATGTATCATAAACCTCTTCTGCATACACTGCATGTCAATTGATTTTCTTTTTAAACTTTAAAATAATGATTCTTTTCTTTGATTACCCCTCAGTGGACACTTCAACCAAGAGTGTGGGATACAAAGAAGGATCAGGCTTTACGCATGCTTATAATGACGAGCCAATCACTTTCAACCCAATGGAGGCTCATGAAGGAATAAGAGATGTTAGGCATTTCATATAAAATACTATCACTAATAGTACTAGAAATGACAAAATTACCTACATGTTATTGTACAATTGTCTTTGATCCAATGACTAAACTAATTGTCCCATTTGCCAAAAAAAACATTCATTTAATAATAACTACATTGTATAGTTAAAATGCATGCTTGACCATAGTCTGATAGGGATTATTTAAAAAAATGAACTTCAATAAATGTTGAGACCATAAAACTCCATTAAGGATGAAAAGATCAATAACTAGACTGCTTTCCTTAGGATTTTAGTCAAAATTATTACAGTTTGAAGTGACTAGTGTACAGTTATTCTATTTTCTCCTTTCTTTACAAAATAGGATCTTATGCACAGCCTGCTAATTTGACTTGACCATCTTTACCTACTGTACATTATAGTTGTGCCTGATCATTTGGCTTAATACCTGGTTCAATAATGGAAAATACCTGTGGACCCAGGACCAGAAATAAAGTGATGTGTTTGGGTGATTTTAAATAGCTGCCCTGTGCCAACCTTGGTTGAAATCAAAAAATCTTATTGCTCAGCATGGTAATTGGTTTAACATTTATTTCAGCCGCGATGGACACACAGGCCAACAGGCTTCAGTATTATGAAGAAAGATTTTCTTCCAGTTGAATATCTTCATGTGAGTTAACTTTCATGTATTACTTAACGCATTTGTGCATGATGAAAACACTAACTTCATTCTCTAATAGCCACCTGAGATAATGCTTATCAATTTAAAACCGTTAAAATTCAACATGCAGCCATCAAGTTAGCAAAGTCCATGCACTTCACTAGATCTGAGTGATAAGTTTACATGAAAATCCATTTAGGATATTTTTTCCTCACATTTAAGTTGCAAACATTAAACTTCAGTCTACAAAAACAATACTTGTGAACACGAATGACCCCCATATTTCTTCCAAGCTCATTACAGTTTGTTTGGTCATTCTAGCCACTAATCACCTATTTTTATTTCTTATACTTTTCCTTAAACATTGTACTTTCAAAATAACATTATGGTTCTTTTCATTACACAACTGTCCAGGGCAATGAGAGTTTACCAGTTTTGTCTCATGGATCAGAACGAGGCACTGGGTTTACTCATGGCACAAAAGCAAGGCCAGTTTTTTATTCAAAGGTGGGACAGGTAAGAAATTAATCAGAAAACAAATAAATGCCATTCTGGGTTGGGTAATGTCTTTGCATAATTCTTCCACCAATAAATACGGCAATGAATGAATAAATACATTTTTATCATAAGTGAAAAAAGTAGCAATCAAATGGAATTCCCATAAGGGGAAGGGTGACTATCAGAAAACCATGGGGGGGGGTTGGATATTAGTCCCTTACATTGTTAATCTGCAATTCTCTTCATAATTCTTGAAAAACACTCCCAAATTTGAACTTTATATTCCATCTCCCCCCTACCTCCTTTCAATTTTAGAAACTTCTAGCACTTGCACGTGATATAATTCAACATAAAGCAAAGTGGGTTTTGTCAAGATTTATAAATTGATGAGGGTCAGGGGTTTCACTAGCAGCCAGGTACTTACAATGCTGGCCACGCCAGGTACACAAATGTCATGATCATACATCCTAAGTAATACACAAGTTATTCTCTTCAAATTGAATCAAATAAGCAAACTTCGAGGCACGATATGAATTGGAATAGAACTCAAAATTTCGGAAAATGCCACTTCCAAATTCCTCAGGGTAGCCGGAATGAAAGGCTCTCTTGGTCTTCAAACCTTCCTACATGTACGGCCGCCCTGGCCTACTTTTGACCACCCATTTAAACCATATGTTATTGAAACAACTGAAGGAGGTAGCTCGGACCATTTCTACTCAACAAATTTCTCCTTTGGAGGTGGTTGTAATGTATTTTTTTTATGAAAAAATCCATCTTACAGCAAAAATTCACATCAAGTCCACATCCATTAGCAAGATCAGAGGGTTTTAGACACTTTAAGGGTTAAATCATGTCACTAACATCCATATACATGTATTCAAACTAAAATGACCTCAGTGTACTCACAATAGTTGTTCACTGATCCATTCTACGTCCTCCTTTTCAGGATTACACAAAGCTTGGCGACCTTCACCCTCGGGACCAAGAGCGAGTGAAGAAGATGGATCCAGCTGAGTATTCTAACATGGTTAACCCTCATGCTTTCGCCAGGTATCAAATATTTTAAAATTTCTTCGGATATTCTTGGTTTATCATCGAAATGTCTGTGCACCAAAAGAAAAATCGCAGATATACAGCTGACGTATTTTTCGGCCGCGTCCGCCATGTTATACCTTTCTGAGGAGATTGGGGACTAAAATTTGGTTTACGCGCTTTGGCGCGAATAAAAAAAGCGCAAAGGGTTTCCCACTTGTAGCCCATTCGCACCAATATACAAAGTTAAAACATGTTTTAAAGGTATTTTGTCAAACACGGTTTAACCTTTTTTTCTTCAGAGAAGCTACTTAAACTTTTTTTTTTGTCTTCAAATGTAGCACATTGAAACTACATGCAAGTGGTTACTTGAGTCCTTGAGTCCTCGAGAAAATTCAGTTTTCCAGGCTTTTATTCATTCAAACCCGGTTTACTAAACATGTTTTGCTGGTGTGAGTGGGCTGTGAGAGTTTGTTTTCAAACAGAAAAAGTATGGAATACATGTTGTTCCAAACTTAGAATTTCCCTTGCAATTCCAAACTTAGAATCATCCCTCCAATAGGATATTGGAGAGATGGAAATTGAAAACTTTTTTTGTAGCTACGGTAAATTGTATACCTACGGTAAATTGTATACCTACGGTAAATTGTATACCTAAAAAACAACTAAATAAATGTTACACATGAACACTAAATGGGCTGCTGACATGATATATCTTGGAAAAAAAAGTGCTTGCCATAATTCTTTTCAAAGCTTAGAATTTCCCTGGGAGAGTAAAATTAATTTCTACTTTGTCTTTGTAGTCACATCAGACATACTATTAGGGAAAAGGATCATTGAGGCACCTGAAGAAGTGAAAATTCTGTTTTGCCAACATTCAGTTGCAAACACATGGTTGCCTTATAGTTTATAAGTACCTCAGGGTTACTTTTAAAAATTTAGTAAAGCTTATTGAAAAGAGATTTTCCAATTGGTTCCAAAAACTAAACCCACTTTTTGTCTTTTCCTTCTTTCCCATAGCACTGCCAAGATTTCATTCAAAGGCAAACAGAGAAATGATCCTACGGAAGCAGAGAGACTGGGTAATACATCCACAGGAACAAAGGTTGGTTGAAAAATTCAAAATTTTACTGAAAGAGAATGGGGAGAATTTTAACAGCGTGGATGGTGATAACCTTCAAATTTTATTTTGTAGCAAAAAAAATTTTCATTTAGGATCCCAGTGCATATACAGAGTACTGTTTATGTTTAAATTACATGAAACTCTAGCCATACCTAAACTTGACATGACCTCAGGATGGACCCTTATTTTCTCAAACTTAAAGACTTGAATGTGTGTGGCACCAGTTTCATTTTGAAGGAAAATTGTGATACTCATAATTTTCGGTCCAGGTGATATTTTGAAATTTTATAGTAAAAAGGACATATGGGATGACTACAGTACTGCACTAGGTCCAAGGTACAGGATATTGGGTACCGAGGTACCCAGGGTACAGGATATTGGGTACCGGATACCTAGGGTACAGGATATTGGGTACCGGATACCTAGGGTACAGGATATTGGGTAGTGACTACCCAGAGTACAGGATACCCAGGGCCCAGGAATACCCTAGGGTACAGGATATTGGTTATATATTGGTGAACACAGGATTTTGGGTACTATGCACTCAGGGTACAGGATATTGGGGTACCGGCACCCAGGGCACAGGAAACCTAGGGTACAGGATATTGGATACTGGGTACCCAGGGTATAAGATTTTGGGTACAAAGGTACCTGGAGTCAAGGATATTAAGTAGCAGGTACCCAGGGTACCAGGGTATGGGATATTGGGTACTCGGTACCCGGGGTATAGCTGGATATTGGATACCAGGTACCCAGACTAGAGGATATTAGGTACCAGGTATCCAGGGTACAGGATATTGGGTACAGTACTGGGCCATTTTGTTTCTGTTGGAGAATGAAATGTCATAATGAGAATTTTGTTCAAATAAATATGTTCACTGGGAACAAAATTCCTTCCTCGTTACTTTGCTCTAAATGTAACACTGAATATGCTAAAAAGACTGATTTGCAAGTGGATAACCATGCTGAAAAAATAGTCAACATGGATAAAAATTACAGAGAATGTTTACTAATTTACTTATCCCAGGAGCTGACAGGATACAGCGAAAATAATGACCAGTATTTTGAGACAGCTGAGACTACAGACTCTCTTAAGAGATTTGAAACTCATTATAATGCCAAGTAAGTATACATTTGACTCACGTGAACCGACAACTTTTGCGTATATGGGAAGATTTTACACCTTAAGGTCTCACCCTCTAACTCCCACGCTTGTCCTTACTCTCGACCACACATTTATGATTTTAGTTCGCAGAACTGATTCAGTAGCGGATCAACTTTGAAGACCCTATAAGTTCTCATCACTTGTCTGCTTGGTATTGTATTGAGGGAATTTCTGTTCTGGTCACTCGTGGGAGTTAAAGGGTTAAGGGTATACCAGAGAGGGTGACGAATTTTAGGAATGTATGCATGTATAACCCATAGGTTAAAAAATAAAAGGAAAAATAGAAGAGAAAAGAAAAAAGGTTCTCATAAAAGAACAAATACACGTAAACCTATAACTTGAATGCAAGTAAAATACATAAATTTCACTCCACGTCTGATGATAAGTCCTTCTTTTGCAAACGTTTAGGCCAAGTTTACAATGAAGGGGCCTTATCACAAGCTTTTAACTGAGATCTAAGGACTTGTCAGATTATTTTATCGCATGGAATTACATGTAATCTATTTTTACCAAAGGTCTGTGGTACACATGCACCAAGGCACATCCCTCTCTTCGCCACGCCCTGTTTAAGTTGCTTTCACTTCAGCTATATTCTTCATACTTAGCACGGATTTTCGAGTATAACTTTCGTTCATTTTATCTTTAGACATGACATTTTTTTAAGCCTCGGACCCATTTTTTTTACCGCTTTCTCTCAGGCATTATGACATGAATCCACGGGGCGAGGACCGCTTGGGGACAACTGACGGCAACGTGATGATTCAGCTACCAAATGGCTTCACCAAAGGAACCAGCGTCCACACACTGGGACCTGATGTTAACACTACAGCTGAGCTCCGCTGGCACAAGCCCTATGTTTCTAGGTATTTTCCTCTTAAAGTATTTTATTTTATAGTCCTGCTGTTACTTGTACTCGTAGCTACGCAGCGCAAGGAGGTCTTCACTCAAGATAACCTTCTAATGGCTTTTGCCTCATTACTCGACTATTTACAGTGGGTTTGCTTCCTTTTATCTTAAAAACCCGCTTTATTTCCCCTGCCGAGACCTTTATGAGAGAAAGAGAGATGTGACCAGAGGAAGTTTGTGTTAATGGCTCTGTTCTAGTTTTGACACGTCATACTAAGAAACGTATTTGATTGCCATTTTGTTGAATCCTATTTTTTTTAGGAGTATAAAGGCCAGAGATCCCTATTACGACGACCATACGCATGACGCAAAATTGCGTACCGCTGTGCCAATAACTGCTTGATGGGTTGAAACGATCGTTCGTCCAGACTTTATCACCGATAAGAATGAAGTTACGAAGTAGTCGTACCCAACTTTTTTTCCTTTTCAGTTTAACTTTAATAATGTTTGCCATTTCATACATTCTGTAGGTCGAAAATCAGTGTTCTTTAGGTCGAAAATCAGTGTTTGGTGATAGTAAATTGAAGAAATATTCGTTCAGAGATGTTCGTTCTAGTTCTACACCCCCACTTATCGAAAACATGCATTATTTTAGACAAAAAGTCTGAAATCCATTTCCGTTTACAAAATTGCGTCATGATAAAAGGGTAAGGAGCGAACATCTTTCAAAGCTACCCTCCCTTGTACAAGGTCGTGTATAGAACTAAAACGCTGCATCATTTTTCACTTTTTATTTTCCTTTTTTTATTGAAAAATAAATCTAAAACGATTGGATGGGAACGTAGCCAAAGCCACTGAATACATGAGAGCACAAACTTTAATCATCAACAACAACCAAGTGTATCAAAAATATTTTGTCTTATTTGTCAAAAGTAGCAAATTTACTAATCCTTAAACTAAGAATAAAGAGAACATAAATTTAACTCCTTTCTTTATCGTGGATTCTTCAGACTGATCTCTCTGTCCTATCACAGGACAGTAAATACCCTTTCATTTCATCCCGAGAATAATCTTACGAGGTGCCAAAAGCCGCCACCGTTGGTTTCAACGAGAGAGGAGATACCCGAATACATCAATTGTAGCTTAATTTTTTGTTGTTTCTGTCATTGTTGTGGTTTGACTTAAAAATGTCCTAATAAATGAATTGCTTTTGCGGAATGAAGTTAGTCACAGAAGCAATTTCCGTGTTTTATCTTTTTTCAAGTCATCATCCTTCTTATTCTTCAGGCAAAACAGAGTCAGCGGCACTAGACCAGCCACATGTGTCACAATACCAGCCGTAAAAAACGCCCAGGTGTAGCAACCAGTTGTATCAATAATGAATCCTGAAATAATAAGATAAACGGGGCTATTCACAGAAAAAATTCTACTCGTGTAAAATTTAACTTGAACAAATGTTAGAAGTCAGCCTTGATTGTCTTCCAACAAACTGGTGAAAGAAAAATCGTAAGCATGTCAACTGCACAGTGAACCGTTTTAACTTAGAAGGGAATGTTTTGTCCTTATTAAAAAACAAACAAACATTTGATGCCAGTGAGTGTCGCTTCAACAATCTAACAGAGTGATAAGCCTGGGTCACGAAAAAGTTCCTAGTTGATTGAATTAATATTATCAGGACTACCCATACATAAAAGTGGCTGACAGATACAGTGTAAGTTTCTTAACTGATTTTGACAATCGCAAAAATTAGAAATGATCAAAGAGACCCAGTGTCGACAGCAAGTAACCCTAACATGTGCTCACCTGCAAAGGGAGATCCCGACGCTATTACCAATGAGATTAGAGCATTTCCCAGACCAAACCCGGCCGCTCTGCGCTTTTCGTCCACGCTGAACATGAGAAGTGAGTTCATTGTCGTAATAAAGATGCCATCACCAATGCCATAAATCACAGCAAAAACTTGAATTCCTACGTAATTTCTCACTACTGGAAGCACAACGATAGCAAATCCGTCGAGTAAAGCCCCAAACTGGTAAATATACATGGTATTAACCCAGATGACGTCACAGATCCTCCCTGTTACAAAACGAGCTAGGGAGGATGATAAACCAAAAGGTATGAAAAACCAGGATGCTGAGTCAGCAGAAATACCGAGTTCGAGGCAATAGTTCACCTGCGTATGAAGAAGACAAACAATATACTGAGGATGCGTGCTATAAAATTATAATTCCCAAGGAAACAATAAATTTCCTTGTTCCCGTGCGGGGATTAAATATACTGTAGTAGTGTAGCCCATTCGCGACTCAAAACGCCCCTTGGCCTAATGTAAAACGTTTCAACACGAGAACTGACTTACCATATGTATTTGTGGGATGAAATGTCCAAAGTTCATTAAACAAAGACTTATAACCGCCAAGGTATAAGATGGAATTTTAAATACGGAGAAGTCTAACAGTTTATTCAATTTTCCAGTCGAGTTTGATACCATAGTGCCTTCAGTATTGGCTGCCACCTCGAAAGATCTCACTTGATTAGTTTCTTGGGTTTCTGTTGGACAATTATCGTCAGTAATTTTTATAAGTTTTCTTTTCCCAGTCAGTCCCATTCGCTCCCCACGGATCAAGCCCATTTCTGGACATTCTGCTCTCAAAGAAGGGAACTCTGGGTCACTTTGTTTCTCTACAGGACTATGCGAAGTAGTCTCTAAAGCATCCTGAATAGGTTCTACAAAAGCTACTCCAGAAACAATCGCCATTAGGAAGAACGGTACACTAATGATCCTGTAAGTTACTCTCCAACCAAATATGTCAATCAGGAGCTGTAGTGAAGGGCCCATAATAAGAAGTCCACTGCTGCCCCCGACTGTGACGATTCCCACGGCGAGAGATTGCCATCTACGAAAGTTCTTTGCTGTTATGAGAAAGTATGACGAAAGCATCAATGCTGACCCTGTGCCAAACACACAGCCGTAAGTTAAAAACATCCACTCAAGACCTGAAGAATACGAAGTTATTAGCAAGCTCACGGCACAAACTATACAACCAAGAAAAGAGGTGAAGCGACATCCGACGGTTTGGCACAAAAGTGATCCCAGAGGGCCAAGGAAGAAGGTTAGACCAATCGCCAGTGAACCTACCCACACTGAAATTTTAAAGCAGAAGACTTATGAGTACGTAATCACTGAGAGACAAACAAAAGTATTCAACTGAGTTTTCATCAGTTTTGCATATGTGCAAATTCTACGTCTTAGCGACCGATTCAATCTCGTTCTTTGGGTAATCTCCCTTGGAACGAGGTTGCAACTAATTGACAAATATATCATTGCGTATGGCATTCTGGGTATGCTATAGGAAAAGAAGCATTAAAAAGGGTTTCAATAGAGCGGATGACTGTGAAGAGTACCGGTTAAATATTTCGGCCATTTTACGACTAAAAGTTCATTTCTTAATGGTTGAAAGAATATTTTCATGATTAACTTTTTTTACGACTAAAGGCTATTTTTTTTGCCGTTTTACGGCCAACGCTTCAACTCATCGAGAAGGCTAAATATTGCAAGAGATTTTAATATTGTACAAGAGGCTCGCTTGATCCAACTTCTTACTTCATTAGGCTCCAATTTTAAAATGCGTGGCACATTATCCCTAGAGAATTCGACCGATCAACCTAACACCAGAAGTAAAACTTAAATGGGGACATTTTTTTCTCTAATTCTTTTTTGTACTTTCTGTTGCTTGTTGATATATTGCAAAGATTACGGAAAGCTTTTAGACGGCAAAAAGTTTTATTAAATGACACAATTACAGATGCAAACAAAACTCGTTTATGGACTAGTTATAAACGGAGGGTAAAAAATAACATAAAACAAGTCAAAGTTAATAAACACTTCACAAAAATGATATATGAAATAAATACGTTTTTTAATTTCCGTACCGGCTATACTCAAACTTATTGGCTTCTTATTAAAGAATCTTCCACAGTTAAATATCCCGTGTTATTTTTCTCTCATTTTCCATTCTTCCACCATATATGGTACATCTTTCGGTCTAACACTCATCTTCATTTGCGGCATATGTTTGTCCAGTACACTTTCAAATGCGTCATATTGATGGCATCGAATGTTTCTCCAATAGTCCAGGGAGCATTTGCCAAGTCCTCATTAAGGTGATCCGTATCCACGTTTTTCAGGTTTCTAAATGTGATGGTCTTTCGTCTATGCTGTAATGCAGATTGCTTTAAAAGGTCATAAATGAGGTGGTGATCACTTATCTCTGGTTTAAAAGGGCCTCCTGTCTTGAGAAGGTTGAGTTTGTTGATTTAAATAACGTCCAGCAGTGTCTCTGATATTGGCTTAATCCTCGTCGGCTTGGTAATTTAACATTGCATTCCATGCACTTTTTTTTAGGTCGGCAAGTATTTTCCCTTCACTGCTTTCTGGTTTTCGCCTGTCCAGGTTCAGATCACCTGTAATAATAAAAATCTGTTTCTTGAGGGAAGCCCACACTGAAACGTCATTCAGTTCCTCCTCAACACGTTCTAAGTAATGTGGGTGTTGTTAGTGATCCGACTGCTTTAGGGTCGGTATATCCCAAGAAAAATGACTTCGTTGTTGCCAAGGCTAGCTTCCACTGCAAGAATCTCGAGTGTTTTGTATCTCTTCGTTACTTTCAGATCCTCCGAGGGTAGACTAGAATCAAAATAGGCTATCATCCCACCGCCTCCTTTCTCTCTGTCTTTTCGATACATGTTGTAACCCGTTAAGGTGAACTGGCTGTTCGGGTAGGAAATGTCGATCTTTTTCTCTGAGAGAAAAATAATTTGCGACTTCATCTTATCATTCAGGAGTTTCAGTTCATCAAATTTATTTTGGAGGCTGCTCATGTTCAGATGGAACATTCATGACGTCCGATTGGAATGTTCCTGCCTTTCTTGCAAGAGCAGATCAAATTCCTGTTGGCCGCAGTTGTTAATTGCAATATATTCTCGGGAGTGAAATTGTGTGTTATTCATCTCATTTGCATTAGGTTGTAGAAGAAGCTGATTTGCATAATTTCCTTTAGTAGTAATTATTTTTTCATCCTCAAGTAAAAAAAATTAGTCCCCCAATCTCGGTAGACAAGTCTATTCGATTGCTGGTCGTTCAAGAAAAAATTTAAAAGTCGATGTCGACGTGTTGAAGCTCTTTGCGTGAATCCACAGGCCACATTCAGCGCACAACTTCGCATTCTGATTATTTCGAACGCTCTTCTTACATTAGAAATTGCTTTCTACGGCAACGTCGTCTTTGCCTCTGGGTATTTTTAGCTTGAGATCCAAATTTCGTCTTATAACTGGTTATATTAAATAAAAACGCGATACATGGAGCCATCAAAGTCGCAGAGTAGCAGGAGCTTTTCGAAGCGTGACCAATCGCTGCCGTTGTCACGCACAAATTTACAAGCCATCCAAGCCAAGATAAATCCCTACTGTGCTTCATTCAGATGTTATACATTCTAAGTTTCTTAGTTGCAAGTTTGGTATTTCCAATAGGACACACTTGCGATTGCATGTCTTACGCGATTTATGAAATATGGAGTAAACGACGCTTACATTTGTCAGTTGCGGTATAATATCACAAAGTTATTTACATTGAAATTTACATGCATTGGGTCGGTAAAATCGTTAAGATATCTCACAAACCGTAAAAATAACAACAAACAAATAGATAAATATATAAAATGAGTAAATGAATAAAATACAGGTATATCAATATATAAAATAATGATATAAAAGTTAAGTAAAGTATAAAATAATTATATACAACTGTTATTTAAGAAAAGCCGATAACCTATATTTAAAAGTTTCTAAGGAAGTTGATGAAACAATGGTCTAAGGAAAGCAATTCCAGTCCGCTATAGTTTTTGGAAAAAACGAGAATTTAAAAACGTCTTTATTTGCATATGTCACACGAAATTTAAGTTGATGGCTTCCCCTCGTGCGACTCTCGGAGTGTTGAATTGAATACTCTCGACTATCTATATCAATAAGACCATGAGTTAGTTGATATAGATAGCCGAGGATTTACTAGCTATTGAAATCTTGAAAGACTGCACCTACACGATATTTGTTTGAATGGATCGGTCAAAGATCGCTGTAATTAGCTCCGGCTTTGAGCTTAGCTGTTTTGTTTAAACGGTCCATCACTATATCTCATCGATGAGATGTGAGTTGAAATGCAGCAGTCGCTTGTTGTAAGAGTAAACAGCACGGGTAAATAATTCAAGGTGAGAAACTTACCAGTTTTCTGACGGCTTTCGCCGAACTCTTTCATCAGCTCTGGAAGCAATACTCCAAAACTCAATGCAAAACCAAGATTCAACGCTTGACACACCGAGGAACAAACACTAATGAACCACGAAAAAAAACTGTCCGATCGGTGCTTTGGGCCCTTGCATGTCTTCGACATTTTGTTACTTTGCTTCAAGAACAGAAAATTCAAAGACAAAAATTCACCACTTCGAAACTTCCTTCTTAAGTTTTATCGCACTGCCTTGCTTCCAAGATTTTGGAAAATGAAAATCAGCTGTGCTGTCGGCAAGGGACCGGAGGAAGAATAGTCCCTTTTAGGGTCACTCGGAACATCCGCTGACTAAGACCGTGAAGGCTCACGCTGGTGCACGAAAGTGAGGCTTATCCTGAGTCGCATCTCGTCTGTTCACCACACAATCGCTAATATAATCGAAAATGGAGCACAAAACTACTAGAAAGAAGCAAGCGAGACGAGGAAAGGAGTGTGCGGCCTCTGAATGTACGAATACAGAATATTTACGCACTGGAAAATCGTCTGGCTTGCGATTTTTTCACTTCCCGAAAAAGCGTTCATTAATACAGCGATGGTGCAACCTTATCAAGAGACACAACGGTCGAGATGGGTTCGTAGTTACTTCAAATACTGTTATTTGCGAACAGCATTTTCCTGCTAGTGACATCTTCAAACGTCCAGGAGGAAGTAGAAGTAGATTACGTGATGGTAAGAGTTTATATAAGTTGATTCAGCTAAGTTGTAGCTGCTTTACGTAAACGAGTCCATTCTCAAATTATAAACACAATGAACTGATAAAATATATTCATTTCAGGAGCTGAACCATCGATATTTCGGTGGACGTCTGGTATCTGTAAACAGAAAAGAGCGTCACCAAAACTACGAATCCCAATGTCAGTCAATTCGACAGACACCACAACTTCAAAAGTGACAACAACCGAACCAACAACCACCACAACTTCAAAAGGGACAACAACCGAACCAACAACCACCACATCAACATGTAATACGACTGTAAATATGGGCTACGAAACCTTTCAGAATTCGAATGAACCGGAGGACCAGGAAGTGTTTCATGTTGAAGCAATTCATTCAGAATGCTTGCCTTCACTTATGGTAACATAAACCATAATTAATTAACCATAGTTAATTATGCATAAACTTTAGAAAGTTGTCCTAAAATAACCATAAAGCTTGCATCTTTGTGCTGCAATGTTCTTTAATGTACATGGCAAACAACCTACGTTATCACATGAAAAAAGCTAGTTTGTGTAAATAGGTTGAAACCAGTTTAATTTTGATTTCATATTTTTTTTTTTTTGTGATGTGTCAACCCAAACTGATATCTCATGGCCTCTGCTGTCCAACTGTGCACCTATTTCTCATGACCATAACTATGCATTTGAACTGAATAAGTCACCAAACAACAGCACTGAGTACATATTGACTATGGAAGAAAGGTTACAAGTACAGACTGAGATGGTTGATAATCTACAAAAGAAAGTTGGCAACCTACAACAAGAACTAGAGGAGTACAAAGATCGTGAATTTAAACTGGATAATTTTAAAGATGACAATGATGCAATTACATTTTACACTGGCTTTCCAAGCTATGAGACTTTAATAGGATTTTATGAATATTTCAAAGAAAAACTTGCAAAGCTGCAATACTGGAATAAATGCAATGCACCAGATTCATATCATTATCAAGAAGAGGGAAGAAGAAAGCCTGGGCCAAAGCGAAAACTTTCACCACTTACTGAATTTTTTATGGTTTTGGTAAGATTGAAAGTTGGTCTCTTTGTTAAGGATATTGCAAGTAGGTTTGGAATATCTCCTGGACAATTTTCCAGAATATTTTGTACCTGGGTGAACTTTCTAAAGCTAGAATTGCAGTTGGTATTTCCCTTTCCTTCACAGTATCTTGTAAGGAAGAACATGCCTGATCAGTTTAGATTGTATCCAACTACTCGTATCATTCTTGATTGCACTGAGCTTTATGTTGAAGTTCCATCTTCAATGCTTGCACAGTCACAGACATGGTCCAACTACAAGCATCATAACACTTTCAAAGTATTAGTAGGAATATCACCAAATGGTCAAGTGACATTTGTGTCAAAGCTATGGGGTGGCCGTGTTTCTGACAAGGAAATCACACAACAATCAGGAGTGATGCACTTATTAGAACCTGGGGACAATGTAATGGCTGACAGAGGATTTGATATTGGTGGTATTTTGCCACCAGGCTGTCACCTGAATATCCCACCTTTTAAGGGCATCAGAGACCAGCTGACAGCTGATGAAGTCCAGGAAACAGCCCGCATTGCATCAGTGAGGATACATGTTGAGCGTGCTATTGGTCGCATAAAGAACTATCATATTCTAGAAGGTACTTTACCTTTGAGTTTAGCACACGTAGCCGATCAAATATTTTTTGTATGTGCTTATCTTACTAACTTTTTAACTCCTCTTCTTGAGCCTCAAATGTGAAGTTGATTTACATCTACTGTCAAAAATATACAATATATGCTTATGCAAATGATTAATTGAATTAAATGATGTCATCAATGACAACTGAATACTGAAATAATAAACATGTGAGGCAATAACATTTACAATGATACTGTTACTACTACTTTGCAGTTAATAATATTCCAATTTGAAGTTGTGTTAACTAACTCCAGCATAAAAGAAATAGTTTTTTTAAATTCTCTTGGTTAATGCAATATTGTAGTTGTGTACATTTTTACATACCATGAACTGTGATAAAGAATATATTACATAATACTGAGGCTGAAGTTGCTGTCAATGGAACTGTAAAATGGAATGTCCCCCTGATTATGAAAATCCATCTGTCCAATAATAGTTTGAAAGGTTATATCACAAGCATGTCTGATACACTCCAATAACTTAATATTCTAACACAACAGTAGAATTGATTCAAGAAGTAAACTCAAACAAAAAGCATGCTAAGCTATTAATATTTTACTTTTACTCTCAGTTTTTATGGTAGAGGCACTTGAACTTGCCATTAAGCAAAAACTACAAAGTAAAAACTAATAACAAACCTATGCCACTTGTGGATTCTTGGTATATGGCTTTGACATAACTTATGATCTATGTCTATTCCTTTTTGTTGCATACAAAATGTCTGTCCTGGTGCAGGGAAAGTATCTAGGAACCCACAGTACCTATTCATTCTTAGTTAATATAAAATGAAGAAGACTAAGAACTTCTTGTCGTGTAAGGCTGCCACCCTCCATGGTTATAAAGACGGACCCCTCTTTTAACCCTTCTTGTCAGAACTTCGGGTAAAAATGCCCGACGATAGAAGTAATCCAGCTTTGGTAGAGCTTCCTTGTGCCACCACTGTTTGTCAAATACTATCCTTTGTATGTAGAGGTTGTCTGCTCCAAACCATACAACAAAATCTACCCATTGCAAACATGAAACATACATCTGCCCTTGGACTTGATAGTAATACTGGTGTCCTATCTTCAATGTAGGCATCCCAGGCTTCAAAGTCATACAAAAATTCTTGTCTTGACAAGCCTCTTCAATTGTCATACCTTGTTTAGAGTATGGACATTTGATTTCGAGGCCACCTTTCTTACAGTGTGCCAAAGGATCATAAACCATTCTGTCCAAGCTAGCCCCCAATCCTGGTCTAATCTTTGATATGTAAGTCCCAACTTTCCAAACTGTCAAGCCTGTGTTTCCTTGGGAGTGTTTGTATTTAATATAATCATTGATAGCATTATCTTCATGCATGTGACCATACTGTAATGCTGAAACATTAGTGGTTTCTTCAATTTTGTACATGATTTGCTTTAAAAGTTTATCAGGTTCAACTTTTCTCTTAGCAGCAGCTTTGAAATTTGACGCAGTTAGTTTCTCCTGTTTTAGTTCCCTCCAAAAAGTATTGTCCTGGCCCCGTGACAACCTTTCTATTCTTTCAACATCATTGTCAGTTATTCTCTCTTCATATATATCAATCATTGACTTGAATTTCTTTGTTGCAATGTCATAATCGTCATTGAATGGCAAGTCCATGTCATCATGTTCTGAGGTAAGTTCTACCATTTCTATACAATTAAGTGGTACACATTCACATGTACTGTCAACAATAACATTTTGACTGTCCAGGCTTGGCTTGATATCATGAAATAGAAAAAGAGAGCTACTTGGTAAGTGCTGGCTAAGTTTCACAAGCATAGAGTTTAATTTTGCTTTATTGAGCACTCTATCACATGGGGCTCTTGGATCATACACACTTGATTTAACAGAAGTTCTGTTGTCCTTTCCATATCTGTACTTCACAATGTTGATGTCATCAACAGGTTTTGCAGCCACTTTACTATTTCTTGGCACATTCCATGCACACAGCCTTGAAGTACATGTAACTGGTTCACTGCGATTTTGTAGTCCCTGTCTGTTGAAGTCTTCGATGGCAAAGAGAATACCACCAACATGGTTGCATTGGCCATGGCCACCAGAACCTAACCTGTCAAAAAATACATTTATAATAAAAATAATGAAGTGGTATTTGAGACAAGACATGAAATTACAGGTTCGATAAAATAATATAAACATGCTAAAAGACCTTTATATTCATTGAATTACATTGATTCAATATTTTACCGTCTACAATCGGATTCACACATTCATACATCACTGTATGGAAAGAGGTTTGCATAGTTTTGCACTAGTATTTCTACTCGTAAACATGTACAGTAGGTATAAACAATTCATAAAATAAGCAACTGAAAATATATCATATAATCTTACCCTGCAGGGCACTTACAAGCAGCCCTCAGTACTTCGCCTTTGTTTGAAAATACTATTGCGACTGAGTATTTTGTTTGCTTCATAGAAGCCAAAACTTCTCCTTTGATGTAGACAAGTCCTCCAACTTCTGCAAGCTCCAAATCTTTGATATGACCTTCGGCAAAAAACTGGAAAGCTTTCAATTTCTTATAGCCACTAGTCTTCAGAGCGATGTGATCATACTTGTTTGTTTGTATGACCAAGTAGTCGTATAGACGGACAAAGTCAAACGCTGGCAAATTTCTCAAGTCCTTCTGCCACAGATTGTTCCCTTTGACATCTCTAATTAGAGTATCATAGCTTAAGTCATTGTCTTTGCTCTTGTGTGGAGCAGATAGTTCTAAAAACTGCGCTTCTGCTGTCTTTGAAGTCGATGGAGTGTCACATGTGCTCGACGCCAAGACGCCACAAATTCTTTCTACCAGATCGCTCTTTTTCCCGCTAACTTTTTGACCAGAATGTTTTAGAATTTCCTTCAACTCATATAAAGTTTTCTTTTGAAGTTCCTGTCGATTAATATCTCCCAATGTGAAGTGTTCGCTTGAATTTTCGCGGTCTTCTGCCGTTACGAACTTGGCAACATTAGCCGATTCAGGATAAGCCTCAATTCCATGTTATCGCGCGACTGCGATAATTAGAGTCAGCCGCGATTCTAAATAACTCCCAACTGGACTATTGACACTCGTGGTCATCGTATGGCCAATATGATTATGTAATTATTCACAATGATTAAATATTCTCTCACACGGTGTCTTTCATTCACATTGTCTTCTCCTGACTGCCAATTAATTCTCCCACCCCATTTGTTGAAGGAGATCGTTACTTTACTGTTCAGTGATGATTCCCGATAATTTTAAGGCGGCTAAGTGGGTTTCCTTTAGGCAAAACCTCTTCCTTTATGTTATGTCACAGAGGGGCGGTAAAGAAAAGTGATGTCACTCTTCGTGAGTTGAGCCTGGTGTTGCGCACCGGTGAGAAGCCTTCGAAGGATCACATTTTTCGTGCATGACAAGCTACCCGTGGACTTCGAAAGCCATGAGATACTCGTGAACCAGCATCTCTGAAAGCTTGGTCACAGATCATTAAAATACTTAGTCTCCTTCGTAGCTGTTCACTGAGATGTCACATAAGGGTCCCCAGGGGGAGTGGGTTGGTGGGGGCGGGAATGTTTCCTGACCTCCGGTTTAACTGTGCAGAGAATAGGGAGAAATCTTCTGATAGAAATAAATCAAGTCCGTGTGACAGCTCAAGGATGTTTCAAAGAGTTCTTCACCCATCAGAAGTTTTTGGCCCTTTGTTTTTCTTTGTGCAATTACAGTTCCTTCCCGTTCAGTTAAAGAGGCTGGTAGACTGTAATTTCGCAGTCGGCTGAATTATATACCCAGTTTGATTGATTTTTTTTCATGATTCTTATTTATGATCCATTGGAGGACAGACACATAAGTATCGTTTGACCTGATCCGTGATCTCTCACTATTTATATAATAAGCTCAGTTATGCACGCATTCTGATTGGTTCTCACTTATGATCTATTGGAGGACAGACGTATAGATGACTTCATCATTAACAAATTTTTTAGTTCTTTATTATATAAAAAAATAGATTCCAAGTTGCCATGCTTCTGTTCAGTAATAGATCACAGAGGACGTCAAATGTGGTAAGAACATCAGTGACACACTCGGCTGCGCCTCGTGTGCCACTTTTTTGTTCTTATCACATTTTGACGTCCTCTGTGATCTATTACTGAACAGACGCACGGCAACTTGGAATCTATTTGTTAAACGGACGCACGACAACAGAGATTAGATAATGGCTCAGAAATTTGTTAATGTAATTCTTTACCCCTCTATCGATTTCTTGGGAACAGAAGGGATTTGGTTTGAAATGCTTGAGATGAAGACTTGCGAAATCAATATTGTTTCGTTTTTTAAGAGAAAAAGTCTTGTTGGCCGCAAAAGCAAGTAAAATATACAACGCTATGTATAATCTTTGTAGGCATCATCATTTTTGTTTTTATCTAAAATATTTAGTCTTAAATGAAGCCGCTTCACTTCAGAGTAATAATTTAAGATAAAAGGATAACATACCTGGAGAAATCGAAGTATCTGCTTCACTATTAATGTTAGATGCAAAAGAAACCTTCAAATTAACTCTTATATACTTTTGTTTAAAGACTTTTCTTTACAATAATTTGTGCTGTCAATGCCTGATGTACTCTACTTCATCGATCTCCTACAAAGAATTCTACAAGGCAACTATTCTACTACTTCAACAAGTAAGGTCTGAACTCATGAAATGGGAGGTAACCGCCCAAAAATAGTTCAATTTGTGTTTTTTCCTTTTATTTACAAAAGCCCTCGTAAATATTTAAATTCTTTATAAAATTGATATAACTTATTTTTTCCCTAAGAAGCCCTCGTAAATATTCAAATTCTTTATAAATTGATATGACTTATTTTTTCCCTAAGAAGCCCTCGTAAATATTCAAATTCTTTATAAATTGATGACTTATTTTTTCCCTAAGAAGCCCTCGTAAATATTCAAATTCTTTATAAATTGATGTGACTTATTTTTTCCTTAAGAATCCTGCTGATTAGCATTTGCTTAATATTTCGGAAATGTGTACATCAATAACTTACAAGAGTGGTTTCCGAATTTTATCGTTTTTCAAGTCGTCATCCTTACGCGTCTTCTCCTTCAAGCAGAACAGAACCAGTGGCACCAGACCAGCTACATGTAGCACAATTCCAGCAATAAAAAATGGCCAGGTGTAGCAATCAGACACATCAATCAGGAATCCTACAATCAGAGGACAGGTGGAGCTTCAAAATAGAAATCGATTTTTCATATTTCTACTATAAATGGAAAACATTTGTCTTGCCTAAATGCTGCTGCATTCTAAAAAATAGAAACGTTGAGAACTGAGGAGGTGCGACTGCACCACAATTTGGATTAATGGACTGAGTTGGATTCGTGGATGGATTTAAATGGCTTGATTGTGCAAGCTTACCCAATATGGAATTTTATATTCAGCAAACGATTATGGTGCATAATCAAATTCGCAAAATTCTCCCTGGTTGTCTTTGTTTTGAGTTTCGAACGTCGTGTGTGTGGTTGTTGTTGCAACTTGGTTGTTGCAGCCAAAACTTCCTTCTAATAACAATATCAAGTTTCTCAAAAGCTGCGTAGTTTTTAAATTGGCTACATGTTTCTTTTCTTGACAAGCATGACTGGCCTGTTCAGATAAGAAGTTAGAGCTTAGGATTTGCTTCATCTTGCCTGCTCACAGAAAAAACAATTATCTTCAATTTGGCGTTTCAGGATTATCCACTTCGGGAAAATTACACCCACTCTTAGTTTTCCGGCTAATATCAAGTGTTTCTATTAATTACCAATAACTGACAACTGACAAACCTGCAAAAGGAGGTCCAGACGCTATTGCCAGTGATAGTAAACTATTTCCCAGACCTAACGCGGCCGCTCTGCGCTTTTCGTCCACACTAAACATAAGAAGTGAGTTCATCGTCGAGATCAAGACGCCATCAGCAATACCATAAATCACAGCAAAAATTTGAATTCCTGTGTAGTTTCTTATCACTGGAAGCACGACAATTGCAAACCCGTCAAGTAAAGCCCCAAACTGGTAAATATAAGTAGTATTTACCCAGATGACGTCACAAATCCTCCCTGTTACAACACGAGCCACGGAGGATAATAGACCAAAAGGTATAAAAAACCTGGATGCTGAGTCAGCAGAAATACCGAGTTCGAGGCAATAGTTTACCTGCGTAGAAAAATATTTGACTGAATTTAAAAATGTCTTAAGCTCATTCTGCACGGCGTTATCTTAGTTTCGGTGGTGAAGAGCGAAAAAAGCATTTCGTGTGGAATCACTGACAGTTAATTGGAATCTATCTGTACGACCAAAACTACAGAGAGGCACTGAAAGATTGGTTTCTTATCCAAGACCACCTCGCTATACGTAGTCTTGTGCGCTCAGAATAAGCAAACGTGCTCTAAATTTTGAAATTTGATCTTGCACCCTATTTAATATTTTAATGTTTCTCTGGCATGCATGGCCAACCATTGACAGAGATAGAAACGAAACTGGAATACGACAAGGTCAGGTAGGACAACGGAAAAAAATAGCACCCATAAGTTAAAAATACAAAAAAAAAAAAAAACACCTGAAAAATGAAAACAGTAACAAAAAGCCAAAAATAATACCCACTGACAATCAGGAATCTTCCTAGAGTAATGACATCGGCGAATCAAAACAAAAAACTAAGTAAGGTAATAGAATGGAAAACCAGTTTACGGCCTAGTGCCCTGGTAATCGCAGGTACTAGGACTAAGACGCAGTTGGTTTTGTGATTTCCAGACTCAGTGACTGACAGCTGCCCTGAACAATTGCAGGCTATAGTCAAACAAGCCGTGGATTATCCTCGAAAAAATCACTGGAAAATTTCTCAAAGTAAGTTCATCAAAAATTTCATTTCATCATAACTGGCTTACCATATGTATTTGTGGAATGAAATGTCCAAACTTCATCAGACACAGACTTAAAACCGCTACCGTATAACATGGTATCTTGAATACAGAGAAGTCCAAAAGCGTGTTCAATTTGCCCAAACAGTTTGCTTCCCTACTGCCATCCGTTTTGGCCGCAGCATGCGAAGATCTCATTTGGCTTCTTTGCTGGGTCTCTGTTTGGCATTCGCTTTCAAAAATCTTTACCTTCCTCTCCTCATTAACTGTGGTTTGCTTTTTGTCGATCGCGTTCATCTCCATTTCTGGATGTCCTTCCCTCTCAGAGAGGAGCTTTGAGTTGCACTGGTTTGTTTTGCAATTACGTGACAGGTCCTCTGAAGTATCTGGAAGAGGATCACCGAAAGTAACCCCACATACGCACGCCATTACAAAAAAAGGTATACTAAGGATTCTGTAAGTTCCTCTCCAACCAAATATGTCGATCAGGAGCTGTAGTAAAGGGCCCATAATGAGAAGTCCACTGCTGCCCCCGACTGTGACGATTCCCACGGCGAGAGATTGCCATCTGCGAAAGTTCTTTGCTGTTATGAGAAAGTAGGACGAAAGCATCAATGCTGACCCTGTGCCAAACATACAACCGTAAGTTAAAAACATCCATTCAAGACTTGTAGAATGCGGTGTCACTAACAAGCTCACGGCACAAACTAGACAACCAAGAATAGAGGTGAAGCGACATCCGATGGTTTGGCACAAAAGTGATCCTAGAGAGCCAAGGAAAAAGGTTAAACCAATAGCAAGAGATCCGACCCACACTCCGACCCACAAAAAAAAAAAAAAAAAAAAAAAAAAAAAAAGCAAGTGAGCAACAAATGAAATGGGAAAAGGTAAGAACATAAAAAGGGCGACTAACAACAGTGAATTTTCTGATCGAAAAAGAAAAGATCTTTCCCTTGTCAAGAGGGTCTATAGTTTGCCTAATCTTCATCGTTTCAAACCTGAGTAACGGAAACATTCTTGCAGAGTCAGTTGTGGCAGTTATACCTTTCCGTCTAACCGCCAGTTTGCTTTCTGTGAACGTCAGAGGTCCTAACGTCAACATTTTATTGGCTGTCGGCTATTTGCAGGAGCTCTGTACTGACATAGCCTGCAGAACAGGCTTGATTTTTTTGCGTTTTTCAGTCGAATGTTGGGAAGCGCCAAGCGGCGCGTAGTGCGAGTCGCGCGCGAGGAGAGAAGGGCAATATTCTTTGCCTCGCGCGCGCGCTCGTGTACCGCGCTTCGGCCCCGCTAATCGGTCTGTTCTGCAGGCTAAAGTTGAAATATTTCAGCAAGAAGGCATGAAGCACGGTTGTAGATAAGAGCCGGCAGCCGGCGAAATACGCCGGCTTCTCTGCAAGGTTTCGCCGGCTACTTTCATTGCTTCGAGAGCCCGTACAGAGATGATGTTTATCAGGTCTAAACTTGGGCTCAATAAAAATATGAATTTGCACTCCCTATCTTTTCTTAAAACATAAAAAGACTTCTGACTCAAGGTTAGTTTAAAAACTTTCTGATGGGGACTGTCTTTTTGACAAATCTTGCTGCAGTGGCAGGAAAGTACGAACGATATGACGTTTTGTCCGCCATAATGGATTTCGAGACCCACAACCGTTTACCTTTAGAAAAGCTCCGGCTACCTAAAACCTTAAAGAAAACCCTGATGAAGGCAAAAATTTCGACAACAAGCCACCTCAAAAAGAAAAAAAATTGAAATGAAAAGGATATCCATATAAAAACAAAAGGAAAGTGGCAAAGATTCATGAAAATTCATTGCAAACGGGGCTTGATATTCTGAAAATTACGTTATCGTGTCGACCAGATGTCGACCTAAATACGTATATTTGAGTACACGAGCTTGTGAAATGCTTGATATCAATTGAGACAGCGACTGAGAAACTCACCAGTTTTCTGTCGACTTTCCCCAAACTCCTTCATTAGCTCTGGGAGAAGCACTCCAAAGCTGAGCGCAAAACCAAGATTAAGCGCTTGGCAAACACAAGAACATACGCTAACGATCCACGAAAATAAACTATCTGGTCGGTGCTGCAAAATTTTGTCTATTTTAGTCATCACGTAGTCTGGTCTCGTGAATAACAAGGAATTCACATTAGAACAGGACAGGTTTGAGTTGGTTATGCTAGCTGACTCACGTGCTATTTTTTGTGTAGTAAAAAAATATACAGATATTTCCGATAATTGAGTGTCGAGACATAATAACGACTAATCCTTGGTATAAGCTACTCATTAACAAATGTTCTCACGTACTCTCGCTGGCATTGTAGTAAACTCGATAATCGATCAGTAGCTATTGTTTGGGAAATGAGCCCGCGCTCCTCCCTAGGGGAGATCGAAGCTCGAGAAAACGCCAGGGATCCGTGAGGCTAAATTTGATTAAACAAATCAAATTTCAGGGGTGAGGTGACGAGAAGAATGAAGGATAATCATAGGCACAAGCCATTCAATATCACACGATCGCGAAGTCACGCATTCTAGAATAACGTTTTCTAAGAGGTACTTAGGTTTGATGCGAACCGCTCAGAGTTCCTTATGAAAATTTCCTTAGCTCAACGATCGCACAATTTTTCTCACTTTTATTCCTCTGACTATTACAAGATATTTGTAATCATCAATTATTAGGGACTTCTAGTGATGTTTGGAGGTTTGTGATGTTTGTGGGATCCATTTTGGAGGCACCAATTAAGGCAATATTTCTTTATCATTCATCAGACTTTAAGGATTATTTATTAAAAAAGTTATTCATACGCGCATTCTTACGTGTAACCTGTTTGGCGTTCTTTTCCGTCTCCTTTTACCCAAGTGGGTGAAGTGGGGGTTACACGAAATAAAGATTGAGAGGGAACCAAAAAAGTCCTTCGGTTGTCGCTTCGCTCATGCTTCTCCTGTTCGGCTAAAAGGTCGACGGGTTACCTTCGGCGAGAGAAGTCGCTTAGAGCAACTTGGAGTATCTTTTGGTGTCAAGGCAACTTCATGCGACAATGCATCGCGTCGCTATAAGGAGCTGACGTCGCACCCATCTAATACAAATATCCCGTATATATAAATTCTTTCAGCCCGGGATTTACTTTCTTGTATATCTAACACACCTGGTACACAAAATTGCAAATTTTAGTTTCTAAAAATAGTTTCTTGAAGCCTTACTAACTAGCAATTTCCGCCATCCCTATACAAAGTCACAGGACCCTGTCCTTTTTTCTTTTTCAAGTCAAATTGTTTCTTCGTTTTGAGGCAGAACAGAACCAGTGGCATCAGACCAGCTACTTGTGTCACAATACCAGCCACCAGAAAAGCCCAAGTATAGCAGTCAGAGATATCAGCCAGGAACCCTGGAATAGAATAATATCAGAACTATTCACACTCCGTCAGAAATATGTGTTAGCGATAAGAAGGGAGTGGCATTGACGAATTTGTATAATTAAATGGGTTGCTTTTTGATGTATTTCTTCTTTCTTTATTCAGAGAGCAAGCTGATAATTTACCATCGTTCTTATTCCAATTATACACAAAACGCTTCTGCTGATCCCTGCATTATGCAGGACACGTGTCACATATACATACTTCATATATGGCTCCTTTCTCCTACGCTCATGACAAAACGAATAGCACTTTTCGTTCGGTTAGAATCGCATCCCAGTTCTAGTTACTGGTCAGTGGCGCTCGTGAGCGTTTTGGATTTCCAAACATGCTATTTCAAAGTGTAACAACCACCGAAACTGCCGGAGAGCTTGAGGACGATTCAGAGAACGGCTTTTGATGGGGCCAGAAATGGCAGCTAAACACCTTGCAAAACCAGTTGGGGTTGATAACCATGCACGTAACGTCACAATATGGCGACAACTTCGGTAATCGAAGATTTTCGTACCTAATTCGAAATGTTTGCTGTTTATTCATTATTACGTTGCTTTTTATTCATTATTACTCGCCGTATGTACAAATGATTATATTGAGGTACCGAGACGAGCGCTGAAAGGGCTGCGCCGTCCGCAAAAAAAGTAAAATAATACTGATGGAAATTATTGAGACTGAGAAAACAGAAGAAGAAGCCATTGTATTTTACAGATTTGAAAAAGATACGAAATTTTTTACCTTTCCATTTGTACAATTTAAGCTGCGATCACAAGTTCCAGTCGAAACAATTACTTTAGTAAACTCAGTGTGGTTCGGCCTTCGGACGCCATAATGAATATGTTATTGTTGCTTCAGTAACATATCACGTGAACGTGAATCTGACCAGCGATTGGTTATTGTTTTGTTTTGGTCTGGGTTATCGAATTTGATAAATATCCTGAACTGAAAACAAGACTTGATTTCTCACGCTCACTGCCGTCTATAAAAATGCCGCGCTTAAAGAACAGGAGAAACTGACAAAGGCTTGCTTGCTTTTCAGTGCTACATTATTTCACAAAGTCTTGTCGTCATAAATAGTTGGTGTTAAAAAAAAACTGTGCTCTCCATACACCAGATAATTGATCGGGCTTACTCACCAGCAAATGGTGATCCGGCCACTATTCCAAGTGACAGAAGAGTATTTCCCAGGCCTAACCCAGCCGCTCTGCGCTCCTCGTCCACACTGAACATCAGAAGTGAGTTCATTGTTGTAATAAAGATGCCATCAGCAAGACCATAAACCACGGAAAAGACTTGAAATGCTGTGTATTTTCTTATTACTGGAAGCACAACGATGGCAAATCCGTCTACTATAACTCCAAATTGGTAAATATAAATAGTATTCACCCAAGTGACGTCACAAATCCTTCCTGTTGCAATACGAGCTATGCTGGATGATAAACCAAAAAGTATAAAAAGTCTGGATGCCGAGTCAGCAGAAATACCAAGATCGAGGCAATATTTCACCTACGAATTAGGACGAAAGATAGCTTAGCGACCGGTCATTATTTACTGCTATAAAGCTCTGTAATATTCTTATAATTCTCCCTCATTGGCAGATCATTGGCAGATCATTGGCAGATCATTCAGATCATTGGCAGATCATTGGCAGATCATTGGCAGATCATTGGCAGATCATTGGCAGATCATTGGCAGCCAATTTTATCCCCCCTTTACGATCTAATTGTGACGACTGACCTCCTCCCTCCCCCATTACCCCTGGAAAACATTCGATTCCCCAAAATACTCCTACTCCTCCCCTCACCTAACTGAATTTTTTTGCTCGACATTATCCTGACATGCTAATAACGATAATGTTGAGATTTGAATGCCTTTGCTTAAAAACCCCTGAAAACATATTAGCACAAATGAAATAACCCGATGATAATAAAAAGCGTTGTTGTTGTTGTTTTTTTCAGAGTCAAATATCTTGGCAATTTACATTTTGGGCTTTAGATTTCACGTGTAGTGTTAATTCAGTCATTCTTTAAATCGTTGTTTTGTCTTTGGGATAAATATTTATACCATGCCTAGATGTCGCGACTCAATCGTAAACGGAAGGCATCTTGAGAGCGAGAAGCAGACAAAGAGAGGCGCAGGAAAGTTTGCCTTGAACGATCAATGGCAAAAACCCTTCTGACACTTGATCGTCAAAGCTGATAAATCGAAAGAGGAATACGCAGTAGTCAAAACCCTTTTAAATCTGAGCGTAGAGCTAATGATGAGTTCAGGAGACCAAATCAAATTATTAAAAATGTCGTACAATCCAAACGGCGGCGACGCGTTAAAATTGTCTACAGTCTTCAGAAAAAATGGATTGGGTACTAGCATATTATGAATTATTAATTCGTCTAAAGCAGTGGCGTCGCCTTTTCGAAATTTGGATCCACTGACAGAACCATTTTTTCGACTGCGGAGGTGATTTCCACTAACGAGGTTCCAAGTATCCGCTCTCTGAAATCCCCCTTTCTTGTAGATATTTTTTAAGCTATGCCACACTCATTGCGTTGAGTCAGCTTTACTTTGTGATCTGCCATTCTTAAGTTTAACTGTTCTTGAAAGTTGTTCTGAGTTTCGCAGAGTTTCCCACTTGAGTTACTTAAGGTTAAAAAAAATCGGTATATTTATCAGCTAAGGAAATCCACACCCAGATACGTAATTTCGTGTGGGAATTAAGGCTTCCTCACGTTCTACAGCGATTCGTGGGCACTAATTTTCAGACAGAAGTGATTTTATTTAACAATCTACGCACACAACACCCCGAAAATACCTGATCAGATACATCACTGTACGCAGAACTAGTTCGATTATTCCATGCCGCAATTCTTCCTGTAACATTCTTCGCATCTGTTTCAACGGCAGCGAAATGACAACTTAATTGATAAACGATCAGAAAATGATAATAGAAAGACGCCAACTTTGAGCGAAGAACACTTCTTTAACGAGCGAAGTTATTTAAGAAAAATTTCCAAAGCCGAAGTTTGGACATATGTGTTTCGAGCTCGACTCAATGTCCGAACTTTCGGCGTTTGTTTACATCAAAAGTCACGTGACATTACACGTGAAATCTAAAGCCCAAAAGGTGAATTTCTGAGGATGACTGCATTGATCCAATAGTAATCATTCAGAGCCAGAAAAAATGCTCCATGATATGGTTTTTTTCGTTTTGGTTAGAGAAATTCTCCAAGGCGTTATCGTGCACCTCTTAATATAGCAGAAGTGAAGTGTTTACTAGTTTTTGTTTTCTTTTTTTGCATTTAGGATTACAATTACTAACAGTGACTTACCAGATGTATCTGAGGTGTGAAATGGCTAAAATTCATCAAAAGAAGGCTCAATGTCGCCACAGTGTAAGAGGGAACTGCAAATACGGAAAAGTCTAAAAATTTGGATAGTTTTCCTGAAGACTTGTCCGTATTGGTGTCATCTTTGGCCACCACCTGCCGTGATTTGGCTGTAAATAGCATTTGTCTAGCCTTCTGGTACGCGACCGCCGACATTGATTCAATTCCATCTCTATTTTCTTGTTCATTAATCTTGCTTGTTCGGCTTCTATAAACTGCTGAATTTTCAGAATCTTCCGTGAAGTTCATATTTATTCTTCCCACTTCCATGGCACACTCGGCCAACTCACCTGCGTTAAACGTGCAGTTCTGTGAGGAAGTTTTAAATGAATCTGAACTGATAGGATCACCAAATGTAGCTCCACAAATAAACACCATTACAATGAAGGGTGCACTAACGATCCTGTATGCTCCTCTCCAACCATATTCGTCAATCAGGAGCTGTAATGAAGGGCCAATGATTAAGACTCCGATGCTGCCCCCGACCGAAACGATCCCCACTGCGAATGACTGCCACCTTCGAAAGTTCTTAGCTGTTATGAGAAAGTAAGATGAAAACAGTAATGAAGATCCCAAGCCATACAAACAACCATAAGTGAGAAACATCCATTGAATACCAGAAGAATATGCTGTGAGGAACAAGCTGGCACCACATAGCAAACATCCAAGTATGGCCGTGCAGCGGCAACCAATCGTTTGGCAGAGAAATGATGCAAGCGGACCAAGAAAGAAAGTCAAACCGAGTGCCAAAGATCCAACCCAAACTGAAATTGCAAAAGAAAACGATTTTGAAAGTTAGCAGGCAAAGTTATCCATGCGAATATTTGAACACGTTTAAGAGCTCAAGGTCACGCTTCCTATGTCTTCGACATGCAGGGATAGGAAATGTTATATTTATGTACATAGAATACTGAAGTGATTTAGCTAGCTATAGTTCAAAATTATTTCAAGGTTACCCACGAGATTTAAGTCCTTGAGGGATTGTGATAGTCTTAGCCCTCACTATTAATTTCCTTATTAATAGCTGTCTTGTAATTGTTTGATTATTCTAGGGCTTGTTGCTCTGTTATGAGTCTTTTTTATGATTGTGTGGGTTTTGCTTACTATTGTGTAGTCCTGTTATGAGGAGTTTGTCTTTTCATCGCGATTGAGATTTGATTTCTGATCACTGACGTTCGTCGGTGATTATGTTTGGGTCTAATGGTTTACTGAATTTGGTGTGGACCAATGCAAGTTGTTTCGGTTTTAGTGTTCAAAGATTGGCTCTATCAAGTACTTTGCAATTGTTTTTCATGTGTTTTTCATGAGTGAGTCAGGTCCTTAAACTAAACACGTTCATCAGTAGAGTACTTAAGAGTATCAACGAAAGCGAGTATAAGAGAGAGAACCAACGAGAGAAATACGTAAGTTGGCTTTAGACGATGCAGAAAAGAAGCAGAAGAATACAGAAGAGCCTCTACGCATCGTAACAACATGAAAGAAACATCGCTAATTTGTACTGAGTCCTCAGATAAAAAAAGTTGCTCATTGGTTTAGTCACGAGCATTTCCGAGTTGAATTTTACATTTTTGTCAGCGTAAGCAAAATAAACCCGAAATCTAAAATCCTGTCGTTACAGCATGAAAAAGGAAGAAGATTCATACAGATTGAATTGAACCCCAGACCTGCTGTTTTTATCAGCTGTTTTCGAAGTGTGTCTGCTTCCTTACTTTAGGTTATTTCCGAAATGTCTTCATCGGAAAACACACCTGAGCCCGGCACCAGTAGTGGTGCACGTGCTCTCACGTATTCAGAAGTCGTGCAAGGAATATCTGCGCCTTTGGACAATGACTTGTGGTATCGTTACCAAAAGCAAGACTTCGAGGAGGCCACGCGGATTGCCTTGGAGGCGTCGCTTAATGACGTTCCGCCGGTAAGTAGACCTATGTTCATTGCCGTTCATTATACTTTTTGCTGACGATTAGAGTAAAACCTGCAGACAAAAACTTAGTCGCCCTTATCAATTTTAATTTTAGAGATGTAAGAGTGACTCTGAAGACCGTCTAGATAAGACAACCCCTGAATTTAATCATGCACTTGGCTGTTTTCTATTTTAATATATTTTTATTTTAATATTTCTTATTTAATCATTGATTTATTTTTTTTAGTTTTTTTGAACCCTCGACATATTACCCTCACCCTCGACATGTAACCCTCGACCCTCGACGCTCGACCATAAGGCAGACTCAACGAAATGACTTCATTGATCCGTGGCTTAAAATGCTTGTTTATGTCACGTCAGTGATGATTACAGACTAGCAAAAGAAATTAAAACGTGGCAACCAACGATTGAAAGTTACGAAGGCTGGCAGAACCCATGCAACATGACAGGAAGTAAAGCCGTACAAAAACACCCACAGAAGTCCCTTTGGTATATGTTCTTCGACTTTTTTTTAATTTAACGTTGACATTCTAATCGTGTTGAACATCGTAGGAAATTGGCTCAACTAAAAGGTCTATCAGATGAACTGGTTATTTATGACTTGACCTCTCCCCATATAAACACGGCCTCCGGCTTATTTGGTGCAAAGATAACCACAAAAGCTTGGTAAGAGTTCGCTCACATAGGTCATACTGATGCAATAACAAATGAGCCATACAATTCCCTCAATTATGTTTTAGTAACGTGCAGTCGAAAAAATTATATGAGTCGCAGTCATCTGTTATATGCGAGTGTCGACATAAATCAAGCAAGTATCCGCTTTCTTATCAATGAGGACGTTATATTATTTTCAGACATAGCTGCAATGGCATGAAGAAACTTACCAGTTTTTTGCCGGCTTTCTCCGAATTCCTTCATAACTTCAGGAAGCAACACTCCGTAGCTAATAGCAAAACCAAGGTTCACCGCTTGACAAAAAGCGGCGCAAACGCAAACCAACCACGAAAACAAACTCTCCGGTCTGTGCTGCATGCGTTTGCACATTCTGTTCATTTTTGGTGTTGTTTCTGAAAACAAAAGATCAGCTACATACCTAAATCGTTGTTTAGATCCTTGAGCAAATCTGTTATAAATGCAAATTGAGGTCGACCGAAGTGGCAATCTTTCGAGAAAAAGAGATGATACTTTTGGATATAATAATACATTCCGCAAGAATGCCAGCTTGCATCGATAATTCAGCTTACTTGAACATTGGTTTTGATAAAAGAGTATTTCCAAAGATTGTCTGGGTGCCTTTCCGTCTTCAAAGTCATGAACCCTTAATGACCTACGGTTGAATCCCGGTCGATAGCTTGAACAATTTTGCCATTGGTAACTCGAACCCTCGATAGCTTGAACCTCCCGCCAGGTCATTCTTTACATATTTGTATCCTCGATAACTCGAACGACATCGAGTCACGTCTGTCAATACGTGGCAAATAAAAAAAAACAGTGTACTGCAGTCTCAAACATTTACGTTGCGTTCTGATTTCATGTAGTGATCCATTTTCACTCGACTTTTCCATGATTAAATTTTATTAAAATAAATACTGTATGATTTCCGGTCTTTTGTTTTTGTTTCAACCCCCGATAACTCGAATCTTTCTCATTTTCCCTGGAAGATGCGAGGATCCGACTGTATATCTAAGAATATCATCGGGGGCAGAAAGCCAATTGTTCTTGCAAATTGTTCTCAAGATTCAACGAATTGTGTACAATGGTACAATGAACAAGAAATCACAACTTAGGAAATTAGTTTGCGTCACTGCACACCAAATGTTAAAGAGATGCACAAAACTGGCTGACGTTTCGAGCGTTAGCCCTTCATAGGAGCAACTGACGAAGGGCTTACGCTCGAAACGTCAGCCTTTAAACTCTTTACGGTGGTCAATTTACGTTTTCAACTCAGTTGTTAACACTAAATTACTTGTTATACTCTCCCACCGACGCAGCACCAGTTTCTAGATACACCACGAGCTAACCTGTACAACTTACCTGATAGCCACAGAGATTTCGAATGCGTTGATCACAAACAGACGCAAAAATAAACACTCCCGATTGTTTTTTCATAAGCGTTGAGACTCTACACGATTACTCTGGCTGGCTGTTTATTCTTCGTTTCCACGTGACGTCATCCTAATTAAAAACATGAAGAATTATCAATCCTTTTGAGATTTTAGTGAAGTTAGTTATTAAAACAGCTGAAAACTTATCTTTTCACAAATTTCCAGTTTTTTAGGGTTTTTCGTCTTGTGATGACGCAAGGTTGAATATCTAAGCTAATACGTGACACGATATTCAAATAGAGCTCGAGCATGCTGTCACCTTAGTTAAAAAAGTGACTTATCCGCTGAGATTTCGCCGTCTAAACAGTCCCTCTTTGAGAATAAGTACTCATATAGATATTTATGAGCCCTCAGAAGACAACCACAGGTTTTTTATCGCAAAACTCGATTACATACGTTTTCATTAGCTTCCGAACGCCATATTTGTGCCCTTCAGAAAGAAACGAACCATGAGCAGGCCACACTACGGGTTCGTGGTTAATAGTTATTGACATGAGACGAACAAAATCTATCAGGGTTATGAATAAAACTTTCCAAATTGTTTATTTAAATTTCATCTCCAACGTCCGAATAACTCAATAAAGTTAAATGAAATGTGAATCGATGCATTTGTGGTTTGATTTATGCTTCATGGGCGTTTGGAGCATCTTTTTACAAAATTACTTTTGGCCGGAGGCCGTTAAGAGAAGAAAGGGAGACAAGGCTTGCAACTATAACAATACAGTTAAAATGCCTGTTGTGATATAAATCCAGGAGTTTCTGCTCTGTTCACAGTTAATGTTTCCTCATTAGCTAAATGTGAGCTCGGCTTCCTTTTGGTAATGCAAATTAAGTGTTACTGACTGCTTATTTACTCTAAGGCTTAATTCGTGAATTGCTGTCAGATAAAATCATCCTTTATATCCACAGTTTTGTACACCAGAGTTATTGAACTAGATAACCTGTACAATACACTTGATTGCCACAGAGATTTCGAATGTGTCGATCACAAACAGATGCAAAAAACAAAATACTCCCGACTGTTTTTTCATAACCTTTAGGACTAGTCACAATTACCCCAGCTGGCTGGCTGTTTACTCTTGATTCACGTGACGTCATCCAAATAAAAACATGAAGAATTATCAATCCTTTTGAGATTTTAGTGAGGTTAGCTATTAAAACAGCTGAAAACTTATCTGTTCACAAATTTCCAGTTTGTTAGGGTTTTTTCGTCTCGTGATGACGCGAGGTTGAATTTCTAAGCTGTTGCGTGACACGATAGCGGCCGAGAAAGCTGTCACCTTAGTTAAAAGTGACCTATTATCCGCTGAGATTTCGCAAACTAAACAGTCTTTATTTAGGAATAAGTACTCATGTTGATTTTTATGAGCCCTCAAAAAATGACTACAGGCTTTTTATCGCAAAATTCGATCACATATGTTTTTGTTAGCTTCCAGACGTTCAGAGAGACATGAACCATAACCAGACCACACTACGTGTTAATAGTTATTGACATGAGACGAACAAAATATATGAGGGTTATGAATGAAGCTCTGAAAATTGCACATTTAAATTACATCTCAAACGTCCGAATATCTCAATAAAGTTAAATTAAATGTGACTCAATGCATTTGTGGTATATTTTCGCCTTCATGGGCGTTTGAAGCATCTTTTTACGACGTTACTTTTGACTGGAGGCCGTTAAGAGAAGAAAGGATGACAAAGCCGTTGCAACTTGGTGACCGCTAGCCGCGAATTCCTCCATTTCAAACTGGACTTAACATTAAGTTACTGAAAACCTCTTCTAACCGGCGACGGTCGTTGATCGATGAGAGAGAAAACCGTTGCTGAAATCAGGAATATGTTTCTAAATATGATCGGTCCCCGAAGTTAGTGGCCAAAGGAAGACGAAGTATACAAGCCGTTTCAAATTTAACCCTCAGCGCTTAGCTTAGTTATGAACCGTGGTGGGCTGCCACGGGAAGTTTCTGGACTAATTGCTGAATTTGAAAATTGGGTTCGAACCAGCTATGGAAGGAATTTGGATCTCAAATTTTTGTTAGTGCAAGTATGCGTACCATGTTTTTAAGGATTGGATTGGACCTATGATCTCTTTAGACTTTTTCGGCTAGAGGCATCAATGGCTCCAAAACCAGTTCTGTACCTCTTTCTTCATTCTATGGTCAGCTTGTGTAGTGATATTCTTTCCCTGCTTGCATGCGCAGTAAAAACCGCTTCCCTCAAGTATTCCGTTGATTCTTAATATTGCGACCGCCTGGAGTACACAAGTGGAAGACAGAGAGGTGGAGACTAGATATATCAGTTTTCTAAAAATATTGACGAAAGTGCACTTAAGAAGACTCCAAACTTTTCGCCTCATGTAAGGTAATCTGGATTTCAGAGTCCAGGAAATTTTTGCTTGTGGAATCCGGGATACTGGGCATTGGAATCCAGAATCCAGCTTTTGGAATGCAGAATCCCGCTACAGAATGAATCCAGACTCCATTTGCTGAAAATTCATTTCAAATCGTATAAACGGCTTTCACCCGCATCCATGCAACCACGGTCATGCCAAAACGCAGAGCATAGACCTTGCAGACCACGCAGACCGTACGAACCACGCAGACCGCTTTGTTCGTTAGAGAATTTCGACTGTTACAGCTCGCGAGACACTGACAAATTCATTCATGGTCTATCACCCAATCGACTTCGATACTAACATGGCCAAAGTTCCCTACTAACTATCAACCAGTCTTCTACTCCGATTAAAAAACCCTATTTCCTAGTGAAGTTCTGCATAAGCTCGAGAAACTTGAGCCTGTGATTTTGTTTTGCCAGGTAACGTCATTCTCGAGCCTAGGATCATTTTGGCTCTTTGTGAACGGTATGGTCGCCAAATAATGACCTCTGTGAGAATGGATTAATTCAATCTTTTTGATTGGTTGATAGGAAAACAATAGACTCCACACAGGAAGAGTGCTTTAAATTTTTCTGCTATGAAAACAACGTTCTAGTCTTAATCTATCTTACAAATGCAAGTGAAACAAACAGCAAATGTTTTGACGACTGCATGATCACGTAATTGAAATTCAAAGCCGCTGTCCATGTAAGATAACGGCTCGTGAAGACCGTTTGTTTGTGGGAATACCTGCCAGCGTTTTTGATTTACCAGTCATTAGCATATTTTGTGTCCCAAAAGGTGTCTTTGTCGCTCTAAAATATTGATCCTCTGTTAATTCCTGGTTCCAGGATGATGACTGAGTTTGGATTTTCATAGATCAATTTTGTTAAATCCAAACGATACTTTTCGTCAGAAAGACAGAAAAGTTTCCTGCTGTTTAACCTCAGCCGATCAAATCGCGTCAGTTGTTTATAGTGTTTTAAATGTTTCGAGAACACTATCTAACAGGTGTATTTCATAAACAAATATCAGTGACTTTGAACCCCAAAACATCAAACGCTAAGAAGGAGCAAATTTTCAAGACGAGGAGAGTTAACTCCAAGACTCCTTCAACATTTCGGATCTGATCACTGGTTAAGGTAGGCAAATGATCTGTGAATCCTAATTATCAAATACTCTAGCAACTATCATTATCTAATCAGTGGGGGAGTGATACTGAAACTTCGGATAGCTGATCAAACTTAGAAAATATATGACAAAGATCATGAGATTGTCATCCCAATGGGTGTCATTACCGAAAAAAAGAAACGCCAACTGTGTACAGATAGGTTATACCCCGTTGTTTGAAAACAGAATTTTTTCTGCAACCTAATCCTTTCTCTCAATAGTGTATTATGCAAATTAAGGTTTAATTTGTTGTCAGAAATTCTCTTTCTAACCAGGAAACGGGCGGTCGACAGTAGACGGAAGAATTATAAGGCAGAAAAAAGCACTGGGTATATTTTTACCACCTCTAATTTTGTGACCTTTTGATAATTTCTTGCGCTCACTGTTCTTCTATGTATAATATATCATTTCATTGTGTTATCTTTAGAATGAACAGACTAGCAATCGCGAGAATATGCTTAACGGCGCTATTTGTACTGCACTTTTCGGAAGCGATCCCATCAGAATCCAAGGCAAGTGCACATATAAACGGAAAAACTGCCATAGACAAGAAAGGTAACAATCCATTTGCGACTCTTTGTACCGATAATCATCAACTGATTACTACAATGAATGAACTCCAGACGTGCATCAAAACCTACACCCCTCCTCTGTGGTTAAAGGGAAGAAGGCCAAGGTGTGACAGGACAAGAAAGAGAAATGCTAGTTTATTTTGACGAATCTCATCAGGTCTCATTATTCGTACTTTTAGCTACAGTCCTTAATTACGAAACGACTCGATGCCAGTTTAGTTTGCAAGGGCGTGGTTGGGGAGGGTCCTGAGGCAAACCAAGAAAATTTTGCTGCATACTGCGAGATGAAAACATGACATGATTTGGAGGTTTGTGCGTTGAAAGGATAATGATGAAAGTGCCATTCAGGAAATCTACACTTTTTTCGATAACCAAACACATTAGAAGCATTTATAATCACCCAGTCTTGGACATCTCCCTTAAGAAACGCATTTGAGTCGAAAAATAATGAAAATGTAGAAACATTTCACCATTAGGTTAGAATTCAAATGATTTAGGAAGCAATGATTCTGTCTCAACTGCGTCACCATTCTGTCTCAAATTTAGAATTCACTTGATCTAAGAGAGCTTTTGTCTGAACTCTCTGACTCTTAAACAAAATCGCTTCGATCCACCTGTTTGTTCCATAGTTTTGGAGAGAATTATAAAACAGAAAACCGCCGAGGCCATCAAGAAGCTCGAAAAACAATTCAAATTAACATACATGGCGTACACCTCAACAAATGACAAAGGCAAGAAGTTGCAGGCGCATAAGAAACTTCAAGGTAAGACAATGGAGGTGTATCTCGCTTGCGGCAGAGGTCAGTTACTTAGGCACAATAATCGAGAGGGGGTGGGAGCCATACGCTAGTGTATTGCTTGAATTGGGAAACATGTCAGCTTGTATTATATGATGCACTATCAATTTTTCATGACAAATAGGAGTGTCTCACTTGCACCTTACGACCCTCCTGAACTATGCCCTTGCAAAAGTCACTACTAGCCTGGACCGAAATAAGCGTCCTATTTTGGGAAAATCCTTTACCTTTATGCCCTCTCAAAGAATTTATTTAAGACAAAAAACAATCTCATTGCATTGCATTTTACAGACTTGGTGGACGTCGTCAAAAGAGAATCAAAAGCAAATCTAGAAACGTCCATCAAAGCTTACAAATGTAAGTGAGAACTTGCTATTATAGGATGTTTCGATATACTGGTTAGGGGATGAAAATTAGCAAGATGAGTCTGATAAAATTATAGCTCAATTTTATCCTAACTAACGTTTATTCTTTTCTTTATGCAGTTGATATTAATCGGCTGTCTGACAAAGACACTGCTCAGCTGTTGTATTCTTCCTACGTAAGAGACAAAAGTTAGTACCAACAATAATTGATAAAACGTGATCCATATACACACATGATTACAGTTTAGTTTTTTGGCGTTTGTCATTTGTAATTCGTAATGGACTCCATCCTTGTTAGCCTGGGACTGCAGAAAATTGACCACCAATGAGGTGTGTGGGGAGAGTGGAGAGGGGGGATCATTAAATTATACTTAAGAGCCTTAGTGGGATCAGGTAAATAAATTTTTGGGACACAACCAAAATCCTCCAGATTCCCCTCCCCTCCCCCCCCCCCCCCACAGGCGATAAATAATGATGAACCCCTTAGGGTATCTTAATGGCTAATCTAGAGCGAGTTACTATCCAATTTATAATATCTATAATATTTATTCTAATTTAATATTTTCTCAATTTCCACGATTTCTTTTACCCAGGGCAGTCATTATGGGGTTCGTGTCAGCCTGTTTGTCAGCACCGATGCCTTCCGACCTGCAACCTACTCTGTTGTCTGACCACACCATTCGTTGTACCGAAGAAAACTGTGAAGATGATCGAGAAGCAACTTGCTTTAAAGAAATTAAAGAAAAAGAGCAAGATCTCCAAGAAACATCCAAAGAAAAAGGGGAAAGTCTGTGAACCCAAATGCCGGAAAGCCTGCTTGCCGTCTTGCAAGTTTAGTTGTTGTTTTTCCCCCTCAAAAAATTAGGTTTTGGTGAAGATGCAGCAAGCCATTTTGAGAGTGTTGTTCTCATTGATATTGATAATCAGGCGAGAAACTTACGTCAGAGCTGTTAGATTATGACTATTAACTTAAACGTAGTTATAAAAGTGCTCTTTTGTGAGACTTAGAAGTGGGTTTACGATCTTGCTTCACTGTTGGGAAAGTCCATCAAAGGACGACAGGAATAGAAGAAGTTATGTTCTTTGCATAAAATGCTGGGAGGAAGAGATGTCCGTGGTCTCAACAGGGTGTCAGGGCGGTTTTTTCCTTCTTTTAATAGTAATTATATCTCATCTAGATAGAAAGGATCTGAAAAAAAGTTATAGCTTCATCAGACCTTTTTCTTCTGTCGTCCTCTCGTGATGGGAAATTTCATCATTTCATTTCATTTCATTTTCAAGAGAAAAAACATTGTACTGTAAAATTAATTTTCTGCACAAAAGTATCGAAATAAACCAAATTAAAGTAACATTGCTCAGAGCATTGGTATTGTACAGTCTTCTAGTCCGTGTTGGAACACACGCGCAAGACTTAGAAAGAAATACGATTTGCCTTTCTCAAATATCCCCTGCATCCCTTCCCCTCCCAACTTACAGTGCGGTAGAGTATTAAAAATTTAAAACCGATACTGCAAGCCTACTTTTTATGAATTTTATGAACGTAGAAAAAACTGGACTTTGTTTACGACAAGAGTAAATTCAGTCATGATAAGTCGAGAAAAGTGTCTCAGTCAACATATTTTGATCACTTTTTAACAAAAAATGTTTGTGCCATTTCAGGCCTACCACTTAAAACAGTGATAAATGCAGCGCGTGATTGAAAAGGTTAATCAAAATTTTCAAGCTTCATTTCACAGAACGTAAGAAATTGTAAGCAAAAGGAAAAGAACAAACAAATAAATAAAAGTATGTTAAATGCTATTTGCATTTCACTTGCATTCTCCCACTCAATCAAGCCAACTTTGTATCGTTCACACTGGCTGCGCTTTTTTGACTACATATCCATATCTAAACATTACTGCTCGTCAGTCAGTAAATAAGGGTAAAATCGTTTAAAAATTAAATTAGTCCTCACATAAAAAATAAACACGTTCTCTTTACTGAAAGAAAAATATCACGTTGGTCGCTCTTCTTTGTCCGTTGTCTTACAGCGAATGCTTTTCTTGTGAGGTAATGCGTGAAATTTGTTGACTGTTTCTGTCTAAAGTGAAGAGAAAACTGACGGGTTAATCTCACTGCCGCTTTCAAATCCTATCGTCTTTATTTGCGGTAAATTATATATATCTTGTTCCATTCCTGTAGAAGATCCACCGTCGGCTATAAGGAGAGGAAAAACACAAATCAAAGAAGGGTTTTGAATTGCCAAACAAGTGTGCAATAAAGTGAAATAATTGTCGCGCTGTTGAAACTGCTAAATATTTCATGTTATTTAAGTAGACTCTTGCCTCCTTCACTGTTCGAAACGGTTAGTTATTTACCTGTAAGCAGGTAAAATACTATATCCCGCGTCGACTGACAGGCTGCCACGGTAAGATCCTATTTTTCCCTTGTTAATCCGTAAGTTTGACGAGCGACGTATCTCAAATGATAACATACCAGGGAAGAAACTTCCTTCTCGAGACTCGGGAGCGTTTAGAATTATTTCCATGTTGCCATATCTTGCTCAACATTTGATACTTAGTTTCGGTCCGTAACAAAATGGCGCCCTCATGGGCTACTGGCTATCAACAAGACCTCTAAACCATATACTTTTGAATTATGTGGTCTCTCTAAAAAAAGACAACTGTTAAATAATGGCAACGAAAGGTGATTTTAATGGTACGGTAACCGTAAGACCATTGGCTTATTGAATTGGTTGGTCGAGACCACAGTTTCGAAAAATTTGTTGATAATCGCTATCTTATAGTTGAACCACGACATTTAGGAAAACGACTAGTAACGCTGATATTTTGACGTGACTTTTTTAACTTTGTATACTTATGTTCTTTGGCCTATCGAGAATTACGATAGAGAGGTTATGATAACGGCATCTAATCGATCTACGGAGTAAGAAATCTCAGTCAAACCGCAGGCATGTGCAAATTACATATATTATTTTCTGTGAACTACCTGCTGTTCCACAGGTTAGTAAACAAGCTCGAGAAATTTGATTACCGTCACATTTTCACTAGACCTTTGATTAATCCCTCGTGCCTACCAATGATTTCACGATTGGTAAAGCAAGCATGCGTAAAAAAAATTGCCTACTGTTCGTCTTTGTGTACCCACCAATACTTGAAAACCGTGTTGATTACGCGTGTTCCTCGCTTCGTCGTCGCCCAACGAGAAGGGGATGGCGTTCGGTGCCATTACAGTCTCTTTCAATGTCTAAGACCATGTAACGAGTGAAATCTAAGTAAAAAAAAGAAATTTCTTCTGCTTAGCAAAAAATTAGGGGCTTAAAAAATTGTTTAATTATATTTCAATTAGCAGCAAAGGAAAGTCTTATCGCCCTTTTAAATCTCTTAGGTAAGAGGGCCACTCTTATGATCATGATGAGGGTCTTGTTATCGTTCTGCCTTCTTGCGCAGCTCCTTACCACCGTAAATTGCAAGAGCTTAAGGAAAGTTAAATCCAACGCAGGTAAGAATGAATTTATCGGGAAAGAACTTAGACCTCTTTTGCAATGCTAAAATCGCTGAAATCATTCCACACTTCCAAGGTTTTTTTTTCTAAAGATCAATTTTATATCAAGAGTCGAAACTTCAGGATTGTTTTGGTTTTGCCTTATTTCGCCTTGTGATTAATCTAGAAAGCTCGCGACATTCCTTTCATCTGATTGACTGTTGTCAAGATATTATTCCAGTTAATAATCTCCCGCTGTCGTGATTGCTTTGGTCCTAGTTTTACGATACTTAATCGAAATACGCTTTATTAGATTTCAAGTCCGTGTACAAGTCAGTTACACAAAGACAGAATCATGTAAAACCTGATAAAAGAGGAAACGAATTTGCTTCCTTGCAGGTCATGGTGGGAGGAAGTCGGTGGTGATTCATTCCGTGAATCCCGTGCAAAGTGAGTAAGATGTTTTGTAATATTATATACATTAGGATAGGATTGACTATCACTCACTCATAACATAAACGGAGCGCAGAATAACCTGCGAGGAAGGGATCGTTTGAGTTATCATGCAGCACGAAAAGGGGCCGGTGGCGTTGTGGGGCGCGTTGGGCGGACTCTGCGCGCTGGGTTATCTTCACTCGCTCGTTAAGTCTTCTTACTTTTAAGACGAAAATGCACTTAAATAATTACAGAATTGGCCAAGCCACACATTTGCAGCTCTTCTTTTTTTTAAATATATTGTTTTAAGTAAAGTAGCTTCTCCTGTAAGCCTGGTGGCTTCTTTAGGCCTCCTCGCCTTCTGATCATAATTGTGTGGATCAAATATTTTTTGGATTGTTAAAAAGGCAAATAAAATGATGATGATGACAATTTTGTCCTAAGTAATTCCCAAAGATATACTCATTTAAGATGAGAACTGCCGTACATGTTTCACCCGGATCAGGAAAGACGTGAACAATTTCAGAATGTCACACTTCCAGATAACGTATGTTGTTCTGACTTAAATTTTTCATTAAGGTGCTATTTGGATTATACCCCAACTTACTACTACAATGTATATGCTACTGTTGTTGTTCCCTTTCCGTTTCCTTTTCCGTTTCCTTTTCTTACACGAATCATTTTTTTTAATCATATCTGTTTTTGCCTCACTTAGGATCCGCCTGGGAGTGTCATCCTGGATGCAAGCGTTTCTGTCTGTCATCTTGCAAAAGAAGCTGTTGTGCCCCAGGGGCTCCTAACTACAGTCCAGCCATGTTCCCCCAGTTGGTGAACTACCAAGCTTCCCTCCCCCCGCCACCTCCTCCCCCACCAGCGTGCCCCGCCGGATGTCCGTCCACCTGTTATCCTAACTGTGATTCCGGATGTTGCTTCCAGGCAAATCAGCCAGTGTTCCCTCAATATGCTAACCCTTATGATGTTGGATATACCGGCTATCCTGCCGGAGATCCCTGTGCTGCTATGAGTTGCTCTGCCGCTTGTGCCCCCCAATGCAAGCCAGGTTAATGTCAATGAGTATTCATTTCTCTGTTATAACTTTCAATTTTTATTGTTTCTTTTGATGTGGTTGTCGATAAATTATTAGTCAAAGCCAGAGATATGACACAAATATCGAACTGCTAAGGAACTGATCGCGATGTTAATCAACTTCTGGAACAACGCAAGTAGCTAGAGCCAAAACTAGATCGGAAATGTTGCCGGTTTCTGCATTGGCTATGCAGTTAGGAAGGAATCGTATCCTATGTACCATATCCGCTGTAATTACTAACAACAGTTTAATTTTTTTACCATGGTCTAGACTGTTGTCGTTCCCAAGCCCTAAACCTCAGCATTCGGCCAGTGTATCTTGGAGGAGTCAAAGCACCCCCTAAGGCACCCAAGCCACCGCCGCCTCCAAAACCGCCGGTGAAAACCCATCATAAAAAGAAGGCAATGCATACGAAACCCCAAATTGGTAGCTTGTGTGTCCCGCAGTGCCAGACGCTTTGCAAGCCAATATGCAGGTAAATACTTTTTTCATCACACGGAGATGGAAAAGAGATCGGGGAATGGAAGTTAAAGGAGGTCCAGGTGTGCTTCATGGGGCATGTTGCTAGATATTTGTTAAGTAGGACGGGTTTTAACCGCAACTCTCTACAGGGAAGTAAGAAATCCAGCCGTTGAGTACTCAGAGCATCTATCTCCTACTCAACAATTCATTCGTTCGTTCTTTAAATCAGTCATTAATGTTTTATCAATTAACATAATACATAGTTTCATGTATTTCAATTTATCCATGTTCACCTCATCATGGCAGAAAAATCTGGTTGTCAATTATTTTTTGATCTTTTTCACAGATTTGATTGCTGTTTGGCTACACACAAATTCCATAAAAAGCAATCGGATCACAAACCTTCTTCCTCCAAGCCACAGGAGCCTCCGAAACCTAAGGTGCATCATGACATTACACCCGTCGACTCGCCTCAGAGGGTTCCCATCCCCAAACTATTCGCAATGGCAAATCCATCGCAAGGGCCTGCACAGGATGCTCAGCAGTCGCCTCAACCGTCACCTTATGAGGGATATCAGTATCAGGACGCTGTAGCTCCTGTGGCACCCACGGCAGGTAAGAAGCAAAGCAGAACATCAAGGCTGAAACATGCTTGGAGGACGAGAAACAAGGGGTCGGAATTTCTCGAGCCCTCTTTGGGTCAAATTACGTGCGCTGCAATGAAAGCTACGATTTTGGCGTGCATGAAACTGAAATTCTAACGACCTTTTTCCCACTAACTCATCGTTTAAATCGGGAGCATGGGAGGAAAAGCTGGCCAAATTCCAGCCGAGGGTGTCTATATGTCACACTATTGCATACATTCATTCATGTTGCCTTTGAGAAAGACAGCCGCGGCGTAAACAAATGAAACGACATTGTCTCCTTAAGTATAAGAGGGAACAGAAAATTCCTCCCATCAAGCGGATCACAATTCTGTCGAATTATAACATGGCTTAAATTCATTTATTTGTTTTCTAGGAATCACATGCCCAGGATCTTGTCCTCTGGCCTGCGCTCCTTCGTGTCAGTGGTCATGCTGTGCCCCATTCCAAGCACAGCCTGCCCAGCTGGCTCCTCAAGCTTTCCCTTACGGGGCTGTGCCATCCAATCCCTTGGTGAGCAATTAGTCTATCAGTTGATAGTTCAATAAAAATTAAAATCGTCCATGAATACGTAATCTGTATGTAGACCTGGTAATAAATCAATTACCCAACTGACTATCTGGCTAGAGATATCAAACGGGAACCAGCTGACGACTATTCATCTTAAAAAGCATGTACATTGGATTCATAGACGGAAAAATATTTTTTCGTTATAATTAACGAAAGAGACCGCACTTGACAAGCGCTCTTCCGTTCATCCTATTTTTAACAGTGATCCCACACATAGACACTCTCTTTAAGTGTAACGAGTATCTTGAATTTTACTATTATTTACTCGTTCACCGTTAAAAAAATTATTATCACTCCCTGTAGGATGCTTCTCAAGATTTCAGGGCACCAGGTTCGCCAGGCCTTCGTCCAGTGGAGCCCCTTGCTGAGCAGCAAACCTGTCCAGCGCCGTCTTGCCCGGACACATGCGCGCCACTTTGCTCGCGAAGCTGCTGTGCAGGATTGCCTCTCCTGCCACTGTCTTGGGACAAGAGAGCTGCCCTACCCCACAGAGGCTAGTTGTTGCAGCCATATTTGACACCCGTTACCCTTCTCATGTGTTTAAAAATTCTTGCCTCTAAATACTCATCTGTGATACTTGTAAAACCTCCTCAAGGACAAACTGAATGAAGGATGCCTATCCGCTCATAAGTCATGGCTCTTCTGAGCAATACAATAATTTCCGCAAATTTCTCCCACCTCGTTAGCAAACTAATCCGCCTAAATGCTCGGTTGGGAGATTTTGGTCGCTAATTTCGTCAAAAGCAGTCTCAAAATGTAATATAAAATAAACCATAGGGTCATTTTGTCACCAAAAGCCATAGGATTATGCAGAATTAGAGAATGATCGCAAAATTTGAAAGTGATACTCATGCATAGGCTTCTCATAAAGGGCAAAGCTTTGAATTAGATACTTACACCGTACATTTGTCCAGAAATATTGGGATGAAGTGAAGTATTTTAGCCCCCAATGTAACATAATTTCCCTCAAGTAAAAGTTTCTGTCGTTGTTGCATACTGAATGACATGTATTCTAAGCTTATTAGAAAAGGTAGTTATACAAAGAGATGAACTAAGAATACAAAATTAGGACATAATCTGCTGATCGTGTTCATGCAGCGATCAGCTGCACCTGCAGCAAAACCGCAATGTAAATATCTTTACGGCTTTTTTTTAAACACAGTACAGCCCCTTTAAAAAAGTATGTAGATGGCATGCTTCTATATTACCTGTGCCTTCTGGTAGCTAAAAGTAAGTTGCATGGCGACGGAGTTTACTTCCGGTCGTTACGAGAATGAAGCCATATCTAAAACCGTATTAGGGTCAGATATTTAGGATAGTTCTCTTCTTGATCGATTGTGGAAATAAAGTGCGCAGTATAAATTTTAGTGTTATGCAGTGTTCTGACGTTATAGCCATAAATATAATGAATCACTGAGAAGTTTCAGCTTCTATTCTTCCATGGCTAATATTGGAAGTCGAGAGTGCCCGTTGAAAGGGGGAATTTGGAATCGATTGCTTTAGCGATTTCTAAGTCTATCCTCTCTTAAGCCTTGGACCCTTCACTCCAATCACATAAGCCAGCACATTCTCTCAATCAGCAGCAAGCTTAGTGCGATTAACCTCGCACAAGGTAACGGAATCTTATGCAGCAAATGCAAGTCGTGTAAAAATTTCCTAACTAAGGTTAAATTTAGAAAATGTGACCACAATTACGGACAAACTTGATGAGAAGAATCCTCCTTTTGTTCAAACACGATCCTTCTGTCCCATACACCCCTCACATGTAATGAATTGTGTATCAAGGACCAGCCGGGCACCATTAGTATGTTAAAATGGCCAGGGAAAGGAAAACTATCTAAAAAATTGTATTGGCAAAAGGAATTTGTCAACTGATAATGCAAGTTGTCTCAATAGCACTGTCCATGACCTGAATGGATTATAGCTTTATAACGTCTGTCTCAACCGACGCCCATTAAAGTTTTCGAACCAGAATGAAAAATTTGAACTGTACCAAAAGTATCTTTCTTCAATCGAATAGAAACTCAAAAACAACTTATTAGAAGAGAAGGGGACTTGAATTACCCGAACCGAAATAAACAAAAAAACCAAACCGAGCAAAGCAAAACAAACAACGACGGCAAAAAAACAACAACAAAACCAAAAAAAAAACAACAACAACAACAAAAAAAAAGGTATAATAAATCTAAGACATTCCCGTGGCAGAGGCAATCTGTTTGAGAGCTGTCAATTTTAAAGGGGCTAGAAGGGTGGGCAGTTTCCATGGTGATGTTGGAAAAGTGTTACGAAAGTGTTTTAAGCAACAGCCATGAAATATAAAAAGCGAGCAGGAATGCTGTATATAAGTATGTATTTTACAATGTATAGAAATGCACATGGAAAAGAGAGAACCTCGTTTAGAAAATGTCACAGGTGTTTAAGTGTTCTTCTGTTTTACACTCTGTTAGGTTGACAACACACCCGCCACACAGCGAGTGTGAACAGTGTCAATAATTTATAGTGTCCCTTTCTCTTTTGCCCTATATTCTCATCGATGACCTTTTTTATAGACAGCCAGGAAATATAAAACGCTTATGGCACTCTAGAAGAGGTAGGTTTTATCTATTCTGCTGCAATTTTTGCTTCACCTTGAATTTGCTTTTAAGAAGAAAAACAAGATGTTTCGTTAATTTCAGCGAAAAAAACCCTCTCGCTACATTGAGTGCTTAGAAACTGACCACTCCAGAAATAAATGAAAATTATAGAGTTTATAAGAATAAGAATATAAATTTTTTTCCTAAGATCAGAATTTTGACTGCGAAAAAAATGTGCATGTTAAATGAAAAGTTGTGCTTTAATTAATTTGTTTTATTTTGAGCGCGAAATTGTAAATATTATCGAGGGAATAATGACTCGAAGATTGGAAGGAAAAAAAACATTGAGACGTATGGTAAATACAAAGACGCAACTAGTTTCTTTCGAGGCTGAAGGAAGAATGTCTCAGTAGAATCCTTAAAATCTAAAGTTTTAAACTTAACGGTGAAAGGGTATTTGTGAGAAACAGGTATATCGGCCGGTTAGTGTCCAAATTTCAACGCACCTCCACACTTGACAACACCACCTGTATTCAAAGCATGTCTTCACAAATTTGGATTCACTAGCGCTAAGCTTGTTCATGTTTTGTCGTCACCATCGGTCATTCACTGGTTTTGTTGTGATACATAGACATATTCCAACCCTGTCAGACCATATCTGGGGACAATAGTATCTATTGTATAATGAACCTTCTCAGATCTGATTCGAATAACCGAAAACAATGTATCGATTATCTTGTGTTATTTTCAACATATAACACCTGAAAAGTGTTTGTAAAAAGCTCATCTTAGAAAGTCTAAAAGCGCATTATTTTCTCCACGTTGTTGCTAAGAGTCATCGAATAAAGAGCTCTGGTCTTAAGTTGATTCCTCAGAAAAAAAAGTTATTGAACAATTTTTTTTTTAACTTTCCTTAAATGTTCCTTTCCAATGTCTGTTTCAAAAATACAATAAAAAAGATAGGTCACCGTGCTTGTTTAGGAGATATAATGGGCCAAACTTACCCCATTTATGCCTGTACTGGCACTAATCACGTCGCGTCATTTCATCGGTTCACGGTACATTTTGCTGCGGCTGGAAGCAAGGGCTTTTTATGCGCAGCTGAGGATGCGTAGTGCAATACTGAGGATCACCTTAAAACGGTCAAAAGAGTTGAGAATTCGCCGCTCGGGCTCAAATTGTGGGTGCAGGGTGGGGAGGGAGGACATCGACATCATAGAGACAGTTGATCTTTTTCACAACAACGACACCAAGACAGAGCTTGCTACTTGCGCACAAGCTCCAATATTTTTTAATAGGATCTGGACTAAATTTTGTTAAAATCTAACCGGAGTAGTGCCAATGATTAAACCTTTGGAAATGGGGGTAAAAACATGGCTTCTGAGATTTAGTTTAAATATTGCCCAAATGCATGTCCTCATGTAACCTCTCTCTTCCATTCACTTCTACATTGTGAAATTCTAAGGAACCTCTGAGGAAATTCTTGGTTGAGACAGAAGCCGTTACAGACGAGCAACGTGCTCAGATATTACGTTTCTGGTAGATTAATTTAAGAAACTAAGAATTTACCGCTAGTAAGTTGTAAGTCTGCAGCCCAAGTACATTTTCTAACTTAGCAATCAGCATTACCGAATTATTATCCTTTTGATTATTAAGTCCTCTTAGGATTATTTTCAGTATCAACACAACGCTTTGATTTCAAGATTATCAACTAACTCAAGTGCCACGAGATGCAAAGAAACTCTTACTGTATTTGGACGCTGTGCCTTCTTTCTCTGTTAATGCAAGGAGATGGAAACCCAATTCCTAAAGGAAAAGCTAAAACAGTAAGAGGTAAAATAAAATCTGAATCATTTTCTTATAAATTGTTAGGCGGCTTGTAACTGAGTCATTTGATCTACACGCTCGTTTATCATGATCACCTAACTTATATTCTAAAAAAAAGAGATGTTTCCATATCAATCAAATCCTTGAAGAAGAGGCCTATCAAAGCTGATAGGAATAAAGGCAGATAGGGCCACATGATTGCTTCAGACTGGTACGCGGTACGCTACAAAAATAATTGGTGACAAACCAAGCTTTATTAATCATCATTATGATAATAAGAATGATGATAATGATGATGATGACGAAAAGTATATATATCTTATTAGACATATTGGTGTGCAGAAATAAGTATGGCTATTATTAACGACTACTCTTACCACTACTTTTGGTATGACTTTATCTTTATTTTGTCATAAAAAGAGGTATATGTTTCGGTTAATCGCAAACCGATGAAATGTCTTTCATAGGTAAAAAGGCTCCGATGAAAAGGCAGTTTGTTTATTATCCTCAAACAGTAGCAGTCGTTAGCTACCCGTATCAGCGCAGCAATGTCGCGCACAAACAAAGACTGCAAACTGCCAGAAATAGTAAGTACTTTGCAAATGATGTTTCCCTAACAAAGAAAAGTATAATTTAAACTTCACATAATCAGTTCGTTGGACTATCGTAAAAAATTCTAAATGAATCACCAAAACCAACCGGACGAAGGTTAGTATTGCATGGAATCGATGAGATTTCAAAGCAAAAACATTTCAGTAAACTGTATTCAACGCAGGAAGACCCCATTGCAAGTCGCAATTGGTTTTTGTCTTACATCTACGGATTATTTGAAAAGAATTTGCAAGTCATCGAGAAAAGACAGGGATGCAAAATCAATTCGAATTTGTTTCCTCAAAATTTTCTTGAAAAAAGCTGACAAGTAGTTTTCTTGAAACTTGTTTCTGACTAGAGTAGGTCGCCATTCTTGTGGAAGACCTAAGACTAGGACTGAATTTTTCTGACGTTAGGCCCTCACGAGAGGATATAAATGATATTAACCCTTTCTCTTGTAAAATTTCCTCTTACAATCTCATAACTTGGTATTCTAAAAAAACGCACAAACGTGGCAAAATCTCACGCCTACTGTTCCGTGATAAAGCACAACTCAAGATGATCTCCTGTTGAAAGCCTTTGTGTAATGCTTCTGTTAAATTTACTATCCTCAAAATTTGAGTGAATAGGCCTTGATCTTTTCAGTGATTGTTTTTTTTTATATTTATAAGAAAACTGTCAGAGGACATGTCAACAGAGATGCACTCCAGATTGTGACTTTACCTGCTGTGTAGCGACACCCAATCCTGTGTTGGCTCCACCACTTACTCCTCGCCTAACTGTTCCTGTCGTATCGTGTGCCTCCTACTGCCCAAGCGCCTGTTATCCAGACTGCAGCCCTAGCTGCTGTAAGCCAAAGCCAGCTCATCCGATAGCTCCACCAATGCCACCACCCCCTCGTCCTCCTCCCATACCACCTGCCTGTCCAACCAACTGCCCGATGTCTTGCTATCCGCAGTGTTCACAGTCATGTTGTCAACAGTCACCAACTTATGCACAAGTTTATAAACCGTTGGCAATACCTCCTCCTATAAGGCAGTGCGCTCAAGTCGGATGTTCACAAGCTTGTTATCCCAAATGTTCATCCCAGTGTTGTGGTGCTCCCCAAATTCCCTCTGTGCAAATGCAGCCACCACCGCCTCCTCTCATTGCCCCGTCAGCTGTGCCTCCGATAGTTATTCCACTTCCACTTCCTGTCCCACAATGTCCAGCTCCTTGCCCAGCTTCCTGTCTACCATCTTGCACTCCACAGTGCTGCACAGGAGCACAGCAACAATTTCAACCTCAAACACAACCTCCTCCCATAATCATCCTGGAGCCTCCAGCCGCTCCACAGCCGTCTACGTGTCCTGCACCTTGTCCAGCATCGTGCTCCCCTCAGTGTAATCCAACTTGTTGCTCTCCATCGACAATAATGGCTTCTCCTAAGCCGCCTCAATCCCCGCCTCGCCCCCCAATACGTCCATTTCAACCACCACAGGCTTCAACTTGCCCTGCACCTTGCCCAGCATCGTGTCATCCACAATGCAGCCCAACTTGTTGCTCTCCAACTGCCATGCTGGCCCCACCTCCACCTTCATTACCATCCAGCCTACCTGCTCCCTTTGGGCAGACATGTCCAGGATCATGTCCCAGTTCGTGTGCACCAAGTTGCAGCACAGACTGCTGTTGCCAGCCGCGGTATGACCCTAAAGATCTCAGGGGCTTGTTTCCACTAGACTCCTCTCCGGATTGTCCAACAACTAACGACTGATCGAACGTACGACATTAACTTTAGTTCGTTTAACTCGGTCTGTAACCTGTCTGTGGTTCGGCGAAGAAATTTATAACCGTTGGTTTTTTTAGCTTGTGAGATTTTTTTGAGGTTGCAGTGGTGGCCACCGAATAAGCGCTAATGTAATGTGCCATTCAAGACCTCGCAAAGTTAAGAGCCTTATCGACCCAGCAGTGATTGCTCAGACGTCATTTTCGTAGGAATATTCCATGCCTAATTACCTTGAGGACGTTCTGATTACTTTTGAGTGTTTGCGTTTTATGATCGGATGAGTAACGTCGAGAAGATCACAAACGCAATGACGCAGATAGCGACAAACACTGGTCTATGAGAAGATATTGAGAAAAAGATCAATTTTGTATGGGGAAATTATCAATTGAGTATCAAAAATTAATTTGGGGGTTGTATTGGTTGCACTTGACCTTATGATTAATTGGGAAATTCGTGCCACTCTTTCAAAATTGGTGTTAGTTTTATGACGTTTAATGAGAAACCGCTCTTATTTCCCATTTCAGTTGGATTAAATCAAAATTATTGAAACGACTTATATTCAGTATATTTAATGTATAGGGGCCATAATTTTACGTATAGGGTATTTAATATCCCTGATTTGCTTCTATCTCAGTCTGCTGAAACCCAACATCGACAAGCTACTTAATAGGGCACTCAAGAAACTGAATTACCCGACGACCCTTTGGATGGACTTCTGGGGGAAAATGCCAGGCGCGTTTATATTTTTGTTTATTTTTTTAAGTATGTATAATCTTCGCGTAAATAAACTTAATGGGGGCACGGAATGTTTGGTTGTTTATTTGCTAGTTTTTGCTCATGTTTTTTTTTTTCTCCCGAAGCGTCATAGTTTCGCACAGCTCAATGCACTAAATGCTTCGAGATGGTCGGTCTTAATACCAAAATGCGTTTTATCAGTCGCCCGCTCATTCGATTTACCAGATGCTACGAAAGTTTTGTCTATCTTGTTCTGGAAATCACGGCCACTCTGGAAAAAAACTTGAAAAAACATGATGTTTTTTCGAGCACTTCACGCAAGTTTTGTTCAAGAAACGAAAAGATATATCATACTAGCAATGTTAACAGAGTCGCCAAGACAAAAAACACAAGATTACGCTGGGTCGGACGTATTTCTGGAAATGATACTGTTTTCCTTTTTGCTTTGTTTTTCTCTTGTTTTACAACTATGAGTAAAGAGCTCTAGCTAAAAGATACAAAGCAATTCTCTCTGAAATATAAGTATCATCATCACCTTGATCTTCAAACATCTTTCTTATCATTGCATTATGAGGGTCGACCTTTCCTAAGACATGTAGAACTTTGGACCAGTCATGGATTCTCCACAAGGCATCAACTGCCAGAGCTTCTACTTTCAAGTTCGGGTGAAAACCATCCACAGGCACAATTAACTCGTGCACTCGACCACCTTTCCTCTCTCCCATTCCAGTAAAACCCCCCTCCCTCCCCCTCCAAAAAAAAACAAAAAAACAAAAAAAAGAAAAGAAAACAAATCAAGAGTTTGCACAAGAATGATTTTAAAATGAGATCTCACCTAAATCAGTTGCAAAGGAATCTGTCATTGGGAGAAGACGTCAATTTACAAATGGATCTAGTGACATGAAGTTCAAGTAGCAATATTTAATCCATTTTTATTTATATTTGATTTAAACTTATTTTCTTTTAAATTTAAACTTCAAGTCAAAAATTTATTTAAATCTAAGAAAATTTCCTATTTAGTTCAAATTTTTTATTTAATCTTGTTTTCCATTTAAATTTTAACTTTTTAAAATATATTTCAATAATATCTTTATTTTTTGTAATATTTCTTTGAATTGCTTATCAAGTTTAATCTAATTCTTTTATTCATTTAAATTTAACTTTCAAAATCGTATGTAGACTTATGAATTTTTTACTTTATTCAAACTACAAAATTCTATGTAATCTTCCTGGGCAAGCTCAGCCACCGTCACGTGAAGTACTTGAAAAATAACTAACCTTAAAGACCAAATTCCTAAACAAAACTTCCTGTTAAGGACTCTAAGCAAGGTCAAGGACAAACCCAAACATGATTCAGAACAATCCTAATTTTAGTAGTTCCCGGAACTTCTAAGATTAGGGAAGGTCACGCACTTCTAATTTTGGTTCATAACAATACTATTTCAGGTAGCATATAAAGTTCATGAGATTCAAGTGATCGAAAAGGAGGCACATGTCTGAAAATAACTGCTAGGCTTTGACAAGGCCTGTACTTTCAGTTGACTGTTGAACTAGAAATAAACAATTCATGAAATTACTTATTTGCTCTTGAACACTGCCTGAAAGCCCAAGCTCGTAGACAGAGCCTTCTTAAAAATATGCCTCTAATGTAAGCCCAGGCAAAATAACAGGATTTGTTAGGATAATAAGTACACAAGTACAGCTCAATTGGAAAAATTCTGAGTTGCCATTGTTGTCCGCACTCTGATGCGCCACTCCTGAATCATAGACTCCATAACGAGCAAGGCTATTGACAAGTTTATTTGCAATTTGCTTCCTGCATCACGGATAGTGCTGGGATCGTGTGAGTCAAACCCTTACACCCTAACATCAGCATCCATATTCTCCATACTGTTCTGTATACATTTCCTTTGGTATTGACAAGAATTCTTTGAACAATTAAAGCTTCTTAGTTTGGGGATCATTTCCTTTATTCTCATGCTCTTAATGAATGGCGAAGCAGTATTGCTGTAACAAGAAATAAGATGCTAATCACTCTTGGGGTTTAAAGGATAAAAAAGAATATGATTGGAGCACAATGCTGACATGAAAAACATATTTTCCTGTCTTTTCAAGAGCTTGGGAAAGACATTACCTTCAGGTGCAGTATCATTTCCCTTCACCTAGCTGTGATTTTTAGGCCACAATATGATTAAATTTTCCCTTTTCAGTTCTACTGCCACAGATTACTTCATAGTTCTTAATTAAATATGTCTTAAATGTCAACATGCTCATCATGTGGTTATCACATGCTACCACAGGCCACTGTGAGTTACATCATGATTGAGTTTAGTCCTGTGCACCTGGGTAAGAGAACATATGACCGTGAGAGCTAGGATACTCAATAATTTATTATGAGCTTGGTTGTTGAACAAAGAGTACAAAAAAAGAAAGAAATGTGTTTCCCTGTGGGAAAGACATATTTCTTCATGACATTAATTGTGAGAAATGTCAAAACCCACACTAAAAAATTCATGTAAACAACAAAATTGAAAACTGTTACATCATACTGGAAAAACAATGAGATCGCCAGCAAATAAAGTCAAACAAATTTGTTCCGAACCTTTGATTCCACAACCCTGCAAGGAACTCAAGAGGGTACAACACTGGTGGTAATTTGGTTTGGAATTGCCCTTATGAGTTTTAATGAATTTCATTTCATATTTAAATTCATCTCATATCCACTGGAGTTCACTATAATCAAGAAAGTCCCAAAAGTCTTGGAAAAAAAATAAAAGTACTAATAACTATAAAAACTGAGCAAGTGACTGGGACAATGTTTCCTTTCAAATATATATTAAGTGATGAGAATGAAGGAAAATATCAATCAGGGGATTGTTGGTTGATCCAATACCAAATTCTCCAAACTAACATAATAAGATTTGAAAAAGAGAGAGTTTGCAGAGTCATAAAAATGGAAAAATAAGTCTTAGAGTAACTTATTACAGATTTATTGAATAAATACCTTATGATTGAAACTAGTTTTCTTTTTGTACTCCTATTAACTTATGTAATGCAAAATATTTAAAAAAAAACCCTGAAAAAGTCAGTTATAATATTTTAAAGATGCAGTAATATTGCAGTTACCATGGTAATGCAAATCATCATTCAATGAAATAAATCATAATTTGACAATTTGAAAATTTCATGTAATTCTCCCAGCCTAAAAAGACAACTGAAAGTCATTCCAAAAAGATATTTCCCCAAAGATGATGCATCAATTATTCAATATTAAATCATTCTAATGGCCAAAATTACTCTATTGATTTCCAAATTAATCTTTAAACTTCCTATTAAGAGTTTCTAAAAAGATATACGTAAAAGGTCACCTAAAAAACAGCTATCTTTCTTAGTATCCTCCTTGATCTCCAAACAAAAGTCTTATTAGATCATTGTTAGGGTTGACCTTGCCTAAGACATGTGGAACTTTGGACTCAAGAATTCTCCACAAGACATCAGCTGCTAGAGCTTCTGCTTTCAAGTTTGGGTGAAAACCATCCACAGGCTCAATTAACTCATAAACTGGGTGGCCTTTTGCTTTCCACTCCTGTTGCAGAAAAAAAAGAAAGAAAGCTTAAAAATATAATCATAATTTTATAAGATCACATTAATATAAAGTGTGGAGGAAACAGTAAGTGAGAATTAGAGTCACATTGGGATCTAGTAACATGCACTTTTAACTGCTGGAGTTTCTTCATTCTATATCAAACAGAATTGCACAAAACTTTGCAGAGCCTGAGCCATTTTGCCAAGGTTGCTTTACATGTAGTCATAGAATTTGACTATGAATATGTTGAATTTGTACACAGCTGTTTCCAGAAAAATTGTCAGAAAAAAAGTGTAAAAGTACGCATGATAACCCAGAGAGGTATTGGGAATAGTTTTCAGTTCCTTGACCTCAGGATTTCAGGGAAATCTGAGAAAACATTACTATATGGACAAGGCATAGCAGGTTTGATGAATTATTATTATTTCAATCATTAAAAATCATAGATTAACCAGTACCCACTTTAACTTTAAAGATTGTCATTAACACTTTTAACATTTTTTCCAACAAACTCTCTTGAAACAGCTGTATAAACTTTGGCACACATTTTTCATTCAGTGGATCATGCTAACGTACCTTAATGACTTTTTCCAAGGGACAGTCAAAGTAGAACACATCAAAATTTTCATACTTCGAGGTTTCAGCCACATGTTTCAACACTGCACTCAACTGGGCAGCTCTTTCACTTGTTTTATTCCTGATGGTCTCATTGGAATTCAAATAACCAAAGCAGGGGGACACTTGTAGACAGTTCAAGAAGTCATAAAGTTGTTCGTATGTCACATCATGCCTTAGACTTCCTATTGGGTGTATACGGTTATGGAGACTGTCATAAAGGATTCGTCCATCCACCAAACCAATCAGAATTACATGACTCCCATTTGGCAAACGTTTATCAAGACCATTCAGAGTTTCCAGGACATTTTTATGCATCTGCTCAGGAGTAGTAATGTTATTTAGACTAGGGACAGCTTGACAAACATCATTGCCTATGAGTGAGTAAAACACCAAGGCAGGCTGGTCAAGATTGGGGTCTCTAGCCATGCTTCTGATAAGTTTGGAGTTAGCTTCAAAAGACTGTGCTCCATTCTTGGCCAGATTTTGATAATCCCGATGATTGCAATGATTCCTCTCCCATAGCTTCAGATAAATTGAATCACTATGACCTCTTTCCATGGGCCACCTGCAGTATTCATTGCAAATCAAGTATAAATTTTCTGTAAAGCTAAGAACAACTAATACCAGAATGTAATTGTGTTCTGAGAGAGAAAAAAGCCAAACAGAAATGTGAACACTACACTACAAACAGGAACTAGTTTTTGGTCTTGGAATTTGTCCTTATTTGGCTTGTGACTTACATTTTTGGTTTTTGATCAATAAAGATCATGGGGCTATCAGTATCAAATCAAAGTGTTCACAGTTTTCAAGGCTTACATTATTGCAAAATTATTGAAAGAGCACAAAAGTGCAGAGTTAGAAATCAAATACCACTCTAGATACTTAATACTTTTAACAAATTTATTTCAGGCAGACCAGAACACAATAATCCCTGCAGCAACAACACCTTCTCTGCACTACTACATTATAGGGAGAAGTTCCATGTCAATCACCTCTAGGAGTGAAAGGGTTAATTTCTAGTACATAGAGTATAAAGCCTTACTGTAAACTTTTTACTAAGTCACATGATTTCCTATCTAACTTTTAATTTTGGTGGTTTAACTGACTGATGTAAACCAAAATATAATGATATATATATATGTATTCTTGAGATATGGTTGAGTCAATCTTAATATGACATTCAAATATCGTATTGGGATTGATTGACTTAACCATCAAACACTATTAGGCAGTCGTTCTAAGTTTGATGAATATCAATGGAAATCAATAAACTACTGGTTTTTGTTGGTGTTTGTGGGATTCAGAGTGACTGCTCAACTAGCAGTGTCTAAGATATATATTGTTTTATTATTTAAAAGAAGTTGTATATATTTATATTTTTGGATAAAATTTATATATATTATTATTTATTAATTTTATTTGTTATATTAATTTTGTTGTAATGTGACCCCAAAAGTCTCTGGCTTTAAATATTCCTTGTGTTTAAATAAAGTTATTATTATTATCATTATTATTCTGTCATTTAAATTAATTTACCTTGATGACCTTAGGTAGCCTGTATATAATGACAACTGAGGCCAGTCCACTTCATTCTCAACAATAAAGGCAAGGTTTTCAAAAGCTTTGTCAGAGAGCAGGAGTGCTGTAAGCCATTCTGGGGGAATGTGAAAGTGGGCTGCCACTGAATCACCAAGAACAATTATGCCAAGATATCCTGCATCTGGAAAAGAAACCAGTGCATATACATCTCATGGGACTTTCTAGAGTCAGACTAGCTTATTATTATGTACATCTACAGTATCTAATAATCTACATCATGTTTCTTTCTGCCAGACACTTTTTTTTTGGCAGCTTTAAAACATTTTCCCTTTTTCCCCCTTCAAGGCTGATTATAGTTGATAAACTAAAGTCTAAAAAGAATAGCTGAAGTTGACAGCATCTTACTCACATAAAACCAGTCAAACTCTGAGTGCAAGAGCATTTAGGAAAAGTATTTCATGCTCGCACTTCTCAGACTCAGTTCACAAGGAGTTTTGTATGAGCTGACAAAACTACTAATTCTGAAACTTGCAAAGCATGACTTAAGAACTTGACAGTGTAAAGAGAACAGTAATTGAAAGAATAACTCCTAATCGAGTAGGAACATGAAAAAGTAGTAAATAATCACCTCATAAAAATCAACAAACTGACAAAATTCCACAGCGCAAGTCATCAAAAGAAACTTAAAGAAGTGTACCTTTACATAACAATTCTTCAAAGGGCTCCCCAAAAACAGGATCCCTGCCATGAATTCCATTGCAGTTCGAGTCGAAAACTACATCCCCTTTTCTTGGCTTGGCACCAGGATGGTTAAGATGATTTATATCATCGCAATCTTTGCCCCTCCAAGACGACCCTCTCCATGCCTCCGTCAGGGCACTATAAGTATCGTTATCCAAATCAACCAGAGGAAAATCATTGGTGAAAACTTTGCGGAACAATTTACAAACTTCTCTAACACCCTCAAGAGTACAAGGATCGAAATTCGGCCCTTTAAAGTCATCAGGATTGGCTCTTTCGTAGGATAGTTTCGCTCCGATCTCCTTTCTCGCTCGAGTGATCCACTCATGGAAGTCTTTTCTCGGTGGAAAGGCGTGACAATACGGCTGACCTTTTTCCTGGTAGCACAGATCAACTGCATGGCAAATAACGTCAGCAGAAACCTCGGCTGTTATAAATTTTATGATTTTGGGAATGTAGTACTCCCCGAGCGAAAGACAGGCATTTCTGTAAAGTTCAGGTAAGACATTACACAATCGCTTGTACGAATCCACAAATGTTTCGTTGTGTACAATACTCAGCTGTTCTGTAAGAGCAACGACAGCGGTGCAAGTAAGACAGCCGATTCCACCGTTGACTCCTTTCGGTAATCCGTACGCAGCTGGAGCAGGAAAAAGGATAACGAACGCAGTGATCACTGGAACAATCGTCAAGAAAGAAACAGCCATCGCGTAAGGTAAAGAGAAAATAACGAGCTGCTGTTCCTTCTGAGGCAATGCTAGTTCGTCATAGAAAGAAAATAGCACAGCTCTGCCTTTGCAGGCGAAGTTTGAGCTTGAGGATGTCCGGAAACTGAAAGGCGTTCTTGTTCTTAACTATTCCGTCATCCACAATATCACGTGAGGCTTGGGGACAAATACAGAAGAGTGGGCTGGGCAGGGGCTGGGTAGGCTCGATGACCAGCCTCTGTTCGGGAATATGAGTCCGCGCTCCGACCGGACACGAGAGAGCGGCAGAAGCTTAGAGGCATACATGGCTGATATTTAGCGCGAATATGCGAAAAAAAAAAAGGAGTTAGAAAGTTAAATTAAAGTCGAGCTCAATTACATGCTTGTTTGGAAGTGATAAATCATCATCTTAAGAAAGATGATTCGCTTGATTCCTCGTACACAGCTTGTAGTCTGCTGTTGCATATTGTCTCTAGCTTAGGAAAGAAGGCATTGTTTCTCTACAAGGGAGCCAATAAGTACCAAAAAGCTGATTTTTGTATATATTTGCCAGGTTCGATTTTTAGCCATTTCTCTTCGGGAGAGGAGTGCGGGCTTATTCCTCGAACAGTGGAATCGAGCCTGTTGCCTCTTTGCCTGTCTCTTTTGCCCGACACATTCAAGGCTACATCTAATTTTCATTTCGCGCCGCTACCACGCCCAGTTAAGTTGGCACTCTTATTGTGTAACGCATGAAACAGACTTTGCGACGCAAAAACTATCATTTTACTTTAGTTTGCGAGGCTACATATCTAAATTATACGTAAAAATGTAAGCGTGATAATTCATCATTATTCGTTTAGGTTTGAGTTTTTTCAAGAAGATTCTCAATCTTCATCTATAATTTCTGTTAAAAGAGGACGTATCGGTACATAACAAACTTTATTAACGTCCTTTGTAGCAAGTCAGCGGTTGTCCCCCGGCAAACGCTACTAACAAGCAACTACTATCAAATAATGACAAGATTGAATTATTGACTATACAATCATAACGGCACATGAACACATTAGTTGCAAATCAATAGATCTAGCATTTTGTCGTGCCGTAAGAGAAATGTAAGTTAAAATTAACTTCATACTGGGGTGGGGCAGGGTAGTTACGTTATCCGAAAGTGTGCTGCATGCTTCATCCTCAAGCCCCTATGACTATCCCTTCTTCCCTACCCCCAACAACAACGTAGGGACGAGAAACATATGGGTGTTATACTGGCGTAATCATGACGAAATTATTACTTGGTTGATCATCGACAATCAAGGAATGACGCGTACTTTTATTCGAGAACCGCCTTTTTTTCGGATGGGGAAATTCGGCTGTTTTTCGGAAAATTGAATTCCACTCCGGATGCGGGCCAAAACAATTGAAAATATTCTTCAACCCGCGACGATAATTTTCACTGAAAATAAAGCAAATACAAGGATTTACAGCACAGTTTGCTTGACCCATAAATGATGCAATAAAATGATATTGCAACATGTTACACGAGGATGATTTAGTTATATCCCATACAAGGAGAGAGAGGACGTTGTAGATACTAAGTGGTATCCAACACACTGCAAAGGCAATTACAATAGCAGCGGCCAACTTGAGTACGTTTCGCTGTCTCTTAATGTACTGTTTCTTGGCCTTGATTGAATGTTCTCCTGGAGGCCTCTGAGACTTGAGCTTGACGAGTATGATCGAATACAGTATGATCATCAGGGCAAGGGGTATATAAAGGAATACAGCCAAAACAGCTAAGAAAAAGAATGAGGGATTTGAAGATTCCCCAAACGTGTCATTCCATTTTAGGGTACACATCAATTTCTCAGGGATTTCACTGACAAGTTTAACGGCGAACAAATACGGAGAAAAAAGTGTAATTGCCACGATCCAACTGGCAAACACACTGAACAGGCATAGCTTGGGAGAGATGAGTGGAGAGCGGAGAGGAATGACCACTGCTCCAAATCGATCCACAGTGATAAGAATTAAGCTTTGAACGGACACGGCAGTTGAAACATCGTGGATTAAGGGGACCAGTTTGCACATGGCCTGGCCAAACGTTCCACCAATAAGCCAGGAGTCAGTATAAAACTCTGCCACAATAACTGGAAATGCGAAAACTGGGAGCAAAATATCGGAGATTGCCATGTTCACGATCAAAAAGTTGATTGTTTTCCTCATGGCTTTCGCCTTGTAAACAATAATCACAATGAAAGCATTTCCAGACAGCGAAACAAAAAAAATCAAGCTATAAGCTAATGTTTTACCAATGTTTTCAGCTGATAGGCCGGTTTTGGTAGAGCAACTTGGGGACTGCATCTCTGTGTCATTACTTTCAGAAGCGTTTGAGTATGGAGACATTTTCGAAATCCTTAACTGGCTCAAGGGATATTTATCTCACAAAGTTGTTGTTTTTCTGCTCTCTTTGTGGGCAAAAGGCTCTCTCTTGGTTGAGTGCTACAGTGAAGTGTCTCTTAATGAAATATTGAATAATCTAATGACAATAACACCCCGCAGCCATTGGTTGAGTTGGTAAATTACTTGTGCTCTGCAGGGTCAAAGCAAATATAATTTAGTGACTTCACTAACCGTAGTTTGTGCACCTGCTATTTTTTTGGCATTTTTCTCAAGTTCCAAGGCACCTGATTAAATTCTGTAACCGCTTATTACTATCCGTCAATCATTTAAAATACCGTTTCAAACACAGCCTGAGACACCGTTTGAAGAAGGTTTAAAGATAGCAGACTGCTTATTACTAAACCATTAACCTTCATTTCCTAAGAGTGATTCTAAGACTTTTTCATTTCCTCTCGGGGAGCAGCTTTCCTTTGCAATTTCTAAATGAACACCGGTAAACACAATCACCTGGTGCCATTTAATCAACTTACACTAATTCAAGATAAAAGCCATTTTCCGTTAAAATATAATTCGCTTCAGAGGTTAGGTTTGTCGTGAAACTCTGCAAGCACGTGGTAACCAGTTTCCTCACGATTTACTTGCCAGTGCTTTCAGTTTCCGCCAAGTTCATCAACAAGAGAGTAAAAATTGATCATTGTAGTTTTGGTACCGGCGATAAGCCAGGGCTGTTTACAATTCTCATTCTTGCAATTATATAATTAGATTGCACCTTTCCAAGTGTAAATTAATATTTCTAATTAAATCAACCTTGGGCTGGACTGCAGTTATCAATCTAATCACCAAATATCTCCAAGTGACTAGGAATCAACCAATCAGATGAAACCACATGACGCGAATTTCTTTTGGTAGACCGTGGTGATTATTTTGCAGTCAGTTTTGAGACACATCGATGAGAAGGCGCTTTAACCAACTACATAACCAGATTTTTCAGTGGAGTATCTAATTCGCGAACAATTCCGGCCACACTGGCTCGTTCCGCGTGATTAGCGATGGGAAAACTGGGAGAAACCAGAGTTATGAGCAATTCAGCATTCGGGCACAAAATGCGAATACTGGCACATACTTAATACAAAAATTCAATGCCATAACCTACTACTGGTATGCCTTAATAAAGATCGCAAACACAGGCAGGAAGTGCACAGCTCGCTTACGCACAATATGCTAACAACACATCAATCAGTCCATTGAATATTTCGCAAGGATGAACCATACTTGGGGGATTGTCATCAAAATAAATGGCTCAGAGGATATGACGAAGTGTACACTTGTTTAATAAGGAATTTAATTACAATTTGCTTCTGGCAACGCAGTCAAAGTTTTCCCCGCTGATCATCATGGCTAAGCAGGCTCGGTCGGCTCAGAAAGATCCTTTAGTATATAGGAAGCGAGGGGAAGAGAAAACGATCGTCTGTGCTGCCTGTTGCTGAATTCGACGACTTAGGTGCATAAGCGTCTATACACATTCGGGCTCGTCTCTTTCGAGGGGATAGAGCTTTGGGAAAGGAAAAAGATGGGGCGTTAAATGTTATAAAAGGGAGAGGGATAATGTCTTTTGAACGAGAGTGCCATGGGTAATGCAAGGTTTAAATAAACATAAAAACTAATCATCAGTCGGGATCCCAGCATGGTAAGTCAAAGTTCCGTGATACCAAACAGATTGGTTTTAGGAGCTTCCCACGTGACATTCTGTAAACTGAATTGGCTGTTCCTGCTGCTGACACTGGATTGGCTTCCAACCCGGCTACTACGCAAGCTCCTCCTCTGTAGATATTTTAAGTAAATCCGTAGCATCTTTCATAAGATTGATACTCCTTAATAAAAGAGAAAAGTCCACAAGGAAAAAAAAAAGGCGATGACAATCAATTCTTACATTCAAAACTGAAAATTTTTTTAATCCCGTTTGGAAAGTGTAAACATGAGTCAGTTCTATTCAAGGCATTATGTTAATATTAAAAATAAGAAACAAAAAATTTTTCAGCCTATGAATGTCTTCGAAGAATGGCCGCTGCGTTGAGAAATTTCTTGGAGTACTAAATCCATTGAACATTCTAAAATTCGCTTTTATTGTAGCAAAAAAAAGTCCATTGCGTAATATTCCAATTAATTCACGATTGAAACTAAAATAAATGCTCTCTGTAAAATACTATGCGTATAACTGAAGCAGCACGCTCAGATAATTCGAATTTATTTCAAAGGAATTTCACTGAGTACTTCCAAAGTGTTTCCGAACCTGGTCAACTTAAATAACTGACGCTGATAAAAATTCACCGAAGGACTATGTCCTCGCAAAATCTTGCATTCCTTGCAGCTAAAAATTTCATCAATTTACTGTACGTCCGAGATACTTCTGTATGCTAGAATCATTCAGATTAAGAAATTTGAACGCATAAACTAATCCTCAATTATTAATAAACTATGCAAATGTAAAACAAGCTATTGTCTAGTCCGTCGTAAAATTGTAACCTGGCCACCTGAGAAAACTGAGTAAACAAAGCTTTAATAAAATGACTCGTCTCAGATTTAACTCGCATTTGGCGAACTTTTGGCGACCAGTGATTTTCTAAGAAAGTCATAAGATGATACATACAAAAGACAGCTGATGTTTTCACATCTGTTGACAATTTAATACATATTGCCGACTTTGATTGTTCAAGGCCATTCCTTTGATTGTATTCTTACAAATGAAGCCTTCATCACCCATTAACGTGAAGCGCTTATGCGATCTTAATTGCAAATCCCCTGTTGGCCCCATAATTCCAAACCAACGAAACTCTCTCGGGTCACCTGAACTTCCCTATTGGTTCCTTACCTATTAACTCCCAAGATCTAATTGGTAACTCGCCCCTCTAGTGACCATTCATTTCCTTACAAATCAGTGGAGAGAATTTGGTGTTTTGGAGTAATTTAAAATTTTTAAGAATGATAGATTTAACTGCGTGGTTGTGAGGGTGAAATGTAAGAGTAAATGGAATGCGCCGGGTCAGTGTTTTCCTTCTCAGCCGTTTGTAGAGCTGACTGTCGATCAATTTGTTGGGCACGGTGGTGGCCCGCTTGAACGACAGAAACAGGATAGCCACATTTATCGAAAAACTGGCACATTGCCTCTGATTTTTCGGAAAAATCAGAGTCGTCACTACGTAAACGACGAAGTCTGAGAAACTGTGAAAAAGGTATGGAGTTCTTGACGTGTGATGGATGTGAAGATGAATACAACAAGTAACTATGTGAATCTGTAGGTTTGTAGTAAGCACTAGTGCATAAACCGTTGCCTTCAATTGAAATTTTGATGTCTAGAAAAGCCAAAGAAGTGTTGGAAATTTCCCAGGTATATTTAAGAGCCGGATGAAAGAAACTGACGGCGGTTATAAATTGAGTGAGCTCCTCTTTGGTAGAGGAGGTGGCACCGATGCAATCGTCAATGTAACGGCCGTAGAGATCAGGTTTTGATAAGAAGGCACTTTAACAAACTGCATAACCAGATTTTTTCGGTGGATTATCTAATTCGTGAACAATCCTAGCCACACTGGCTCAGTCCGCGTGATCAGTGATGGGAAAACTGGGAGAAACCAGAGTTATGAACAGTCCAGCATTCGGGCCTAACATGCGAATACTAGCACACACTTGATACATAAATTCAACGCCATAATCTACTACCGGTATGCCTTAATGAAGATCGCAAACACAGGCAGGGAGTGCACAGCTCGCTTACGTACAATATATTTACAACACATCACTCAGTCCATTGATATTTCGCAAGGATGAACCATGCTAGGGAAATTGTAATCAAAATAAATGGCTCAGAAGACATGATGAAGTATACACTTGTTTAATGAGGGGTTTGATTACAATTTGCTTCTGCCACCGCAGTCAAATTTTTCCCCGCTGATCATCATGGTTAAGGAGGCACGGTCGGCTCAGAAAGATCCTTGAGTATTTAAGAAGCGAGTGGAAAAGAAAAAGATCGTCTGCGCTGCCTGTTGCTGAATTCGACCACTTAAGTGCTTAAGCGTCCATACACATTTGGGCTCGTCTCTTTCGAGGGGGTAAAAGTTTGGAAGGGAAATGGATAGGGCGTTGAAATCAATGTAATAAAAGGAAGAGGGATAATGTCTTTGTACGGAAGTGCCATGGGTGATGCAAGGTTTAAATAAACATTAAAAACTAATTATCTGTCGGGATCCCAGCATGGTAAGTCAAAGTTCCGTGATACCAAACAGATTGGTTTTAGAAGCTTCCCACGTGACATTCTGTAAACTGAATTGGCTGTTCCTGCTGCTGACACTGGTTTGGCTTCCAGCCCGGCTACTACGCAAGCTCCTCCTCTGTAACGAAATAAAGAGCATTCATAAAAACTAGGGGAAGAAAATGAAGCAAGCAGCCTTATAATAACATGTCTCCGCAATTTAGGCGAGAACCTAATATATTCAAGTACATATTACTAATACATCGAAAGGCGTCAACGACCCATTAAAGCTTTCGTTTTAGGCAAAGCCAGATTGGTCAGTCAGAAAGTCAAAACAGAAATTATTCAAAACGAACCATACCATCATGAAAACCATCAGTTAGAAGGTTAGAAGTGAGAGTTAGACATTACAGAAAGCATGAGCCGCTAGTTGTGTAGTGCGTGACGAGTGGAAGGTTGTTAACTACATGCACAGAAGTGTAGAAAGTTTCACTGAAATTTCACTTGCCTTTATCTTCTACAGTGTTTCCAATGCTTATGGTGCCAACAGGAGGTTAGGCGTGCAAAGATATGGTACCACTGTGCATGCGTCCAGTAGTCTGTCAAGACACTCAACTCCAAAAGTGCAATAGTTTACAGAGTCAGTTCCTTAGACACGTGGGACAAATTTAGGATAACTAATTGGTTCATGGCGAGATATCAAAACATTAAGATTCGTAGGCTCTCTGAGACTCCGCATGCATTGTTTAAGGAATGAAATCGCACCACTAATGATTCTAGGAAATGTTATACGCGCACAAAAGTGTTAGATTGGAAAGTTGCTGATGCGGAAATTAGCTGTGTTACTTGGCATAAGTCATGGAATTTTCTTCAGAGAATATTAGGCTACTTAAGCCAACGCATGTGCTTGCTAAGAGGAGCAGCATTGGTTTACTGTAAAGAAAGTTAAGAAGCTGTGGTGCTATGAGGTTTTTAGTTATCCGGAGATATTTCAAGTAAATCCGTAGCATCTTTCATAAGATTATACTCCTTAAAAAAAGAGAAAAGTCAACAAAGGAAAAAAAAAGGTGATGACAATCAATTCTTACATTCAAAACTGAAAATTATTTAATCCCGTTTGGAAAGTGTAAACATGAGTGACAAGTCAGTTCTATTCAAGGCATTCGCACAGAGATGTTAATATTAAAAATAGGAAACAAAAAGTTTTTCACACAATGAATGACTTCGAAGAATGGCCGCTGCGTTGAGAAATTTCTTGGAATACTAAATCCATTCTAAAATTCTAAAATTCGCTTTTATTGTAGCAAAAAAAAGTCCATTGCGTAATATTCCAATTAATTCACGATTGAAACTAAAATAAATGCTCTCTGTAAAATACTATGCGTATAACTGAAGCAGCACGCTCAGATAATTCGAATTTATTTCAAAGGAATTTCACTGAGTACTTCCAAAGTGTTTCCGAACCTGGTCAACTTAAATAACTGACGCTGATAAAAATTCACCGAAAGACTATATCCTCGCAAAATCTTGCATTCCTTGCAGCTAAAAATTTCGTCAATTTACTGTACGTCCAAGATACTTCTGTATGCTAAAAATATTCAGATTAAGAAATTTGAACGCATAAACTAATCCTCAATTATTAATAAACTATGCAAATGTAAAACAAGCAGTTGTCTATTCCATCGTAAAATTGTAACCTGGCCACCTGAGAAAACTGAGTAAATAAAGCCTTAATAAAATGACTCGTCTCAGATTTAACGCACATTTGGCGAACTTTTGGAAAGAAAAAGAAAGTCATAAGATGATACATACAAAAGACAGCTGATGTCTTCACATCTGTTGACAATTTAATACATATTGCCGACTTTGATTGTTCAAGGCCATGCCTTTGATTATATTCTTACAAATGAAGCCTCCATTACCCATTAACGCGAAGCGCTTACGCGACCTTAATTGCTAATCCCCTGTTGGCCCCATAATTCCAAACCTACGAAACTCTCGAGGGTCACCTGAACTTCCCTATTGGTTCCTTACCTATTAACTCTCAAGATCTGATTGGTACCTCGCCCCTCTAGTGACCATTCATTTCCTTACAAATCAGTGGAGAGAATTTGGTGTTTTGTCAGGGTAACAACCCCCAGCTGATTAGTTCGTCTAATCTCTTCACTTATTCACTGGATAATGCATTAAGGAGTTAATACTGAACCTTTCCTACCTTAACTGTGTACACGGACATGGAACTCGATTGAATTAAGAACCATCGATGTTATCTACTGAATAATGAGCACGTGACGAGCCTCATTCACAGAAGCAGAATAAAATATCGCCTGTCCCTGTTAAGCTAGCTTAAACTAAAGTTAAAGTGACCTGGTGTTCGTTCGAGTGATGTTTCCAAACAGGTGAGCCGCCGGGCCTGGAAGCCATCACAAGCGCATCCACGTCTCCATTGATTGGCCTAAATGTTGACATCGAGTTGTAAGAACCTTCGGTGGTTCTTCGTCTCCGCATGCTGCCGTCCGTAACGCTGTCGGAAGAGGGGAGAACGCTCTCGGAATGATACACTATTCGTCCATCTGGTGGTTTGTACCGTGAGATCTCCACCTCGTGTCCATCGCTCTTCCGATGATCTAACCATCGAGGGTCGTCGTGCGTTGTGCGCTGATTATTCAAGTCTCCTCGGTAACTCGAAGGTAGTTGAGGGTGTCGCTTGATTTCTATTATCGTTGATACCGATGCTTCACTTCGGTATTCCGTCGGAGTACCGGGAAATGTCGAAACAGACGTCTCGCTACGATTCATATTAGATGGAGGTGAATGCGACAAATTCGTCAGAACGCCACGAAGAGGTGATATTTCCGGCGAGACTGGCGAAGGAGGCCTGTCCATGGGTACGCGGATAATTTTGTCTTTCTCTTTGTTCTTGCGTGCACGCGCAGATGCTGTTTGATAGACGCCTCGTTTTATTGAAGCACCCGGAGGGAGAGACGGGAACTCCGCCCTGGAGGGCGCAGGTGGAGTGTCCAATCCCAAACGTTTCAAGTCGAACATCGCAGCCTGGAGCAACTCGATTACTTCATCGTCGTCGTAGTGATATGCATGCATTTTCTCTTGTAAGAACTGAACGACTTCCTCGAGGCCCATCTTTATGAAGATTTCTGTGAAGAAACAAAGCGGGACAGCCCTTATCATACACTGGACCTATTAAGAGTAGGCCTCATTGTCAGCACTTTCACACGAGCCTCTTTTTGCCTACGGGAGTGTATGATGCCTTCAGCAACACCAGCAGCAGAAGCAAGCCAGAGGTCTGCAAAGGGTCTAGCAAAAATGAGGCCCCCAGGCCCCCTGCAAACCTCTCCTCGACTCGTCTCAAATCTTACCGTGAGCGGAGAAACGCGCGTTCTGCAGCGCTAATGATAAGGACTTCTCACAGGCTACGAATAATTTGGATCAGAAATCCTGTGAGGAGAAAGACTACAGCCGAGTTGATAAGTGCATCGCAGCAGGATCACAAGATCAAAGGTTCAAATCCCGTTGAACTCATTTATTTATCGAAAGTTGTTCCAACACTATTCAAATCTACATCACCAAGTGTCACTTCATGTATGCGCACAAACTATGAATTCAATAAGTTAAATCACTAGTTTCAAGAATTAGCGGTTACACTCAAGAAACAGCTACATGTACTCATCTTCTGACCAAACTAAAAGTACAGCACACATTGTATATGTTGTGAGTATCCATTGCAGTACAAAATGGTAGTCAGGGTTCCAATAATTTACCACGTTAAATAGTGATGGAGGCAATATAAATTATCAAACAGTCAAGATCTTCAAAGTTTTTCCACCCGTCAACAAATTACTCTATGAAAAACTTGGTTTGTAAGTCTGGTCATCTAAAATAAATTTAGACAGACTCGCTAGTCGGTCGATAAGTCAGACAGCTAGACAGCAAGTGACTGGATGCATCCAGCATTACACGTAGGTACAACTCAATCCACTCAATCATAGCGGAGCTCGCAGAGCGTAGCCCCATAATTATACAAAATAGTAGTAACCCATCGGGCCGAAAAAATTTGGATGCACGACCGTACAAGGTGCTACTTTTAACCTGCGTGGTCAACTGTACCGCGGGCACGCCAACGCCTCGGCTTTGTTCAGTAGTCCAGTGGTCAGTGCACCGGGCTCCGAGTCGGACGACCCGGGTTCTAGGCGAGACGTGCGGGAAAAAAAAATGCGAGCTCCGCTTTTAGGCTTGGCTAAATCTATATATTTATTAACTTACTTCTGTGCATTTTCATGATGTTGTAGGCCATAGCAGTCAACAGTCGGTCCCCTTCCAACATGAATATGTCCCACAATCTAAGTGTTAATGTAAATGGCACCTAGAAATTCACGTAAAAGAACTCTTTAATTATATAACAGTTTTCTCCTTTCAGCATGACATTTTCGCAGCGCAAAAAACTTTGATGGCAAATGAAACAACATTAAGTCTGAGCCCAAGAGTATACAAAATGAGTCTAATCTCAACTGTAATTTCTGAAGATATTTTTCAGTTCTTTGGAATGCACCATAACAAACAAGTCTTCTTAAATCAAAAATACTGATTGATGCCTTAAATCTCAAGACAGCACTCCAAACAGACTGCAACCAAATGCATAATGCTTTAATCTAGTTAAAAAAAACCCCCTTAGCATCATAAAATTTATTACTAAAAAACTACTTGCAAATAATTTATATTATTGATCTTCATTAATAATTTCTACCACAAACTTTACAGTTCATCATTCATAGGTAGAAGTAATTCTCTTTGTACAAAGTACAACATTCAATCTCAGGAAATCTCCATTTTTTTTGGCTACATATACATGTAATAGCACTACGGCATACCCTGTCCAGAAAGCACTGCATAAACCATTTCAGAGTATAAAGAGTTGAATAACAACCTTCTTTTTCCTAGAGAAAAGAGCAAAGTTAGTACGAGCACCAGTAAATCAAACCTGAAAAAACAAAGAAAATTGAACACTCAAGAAAGAGGTACTCTGGTAACTATTACATACACTGTTCTAACACTCTAATTTCCCCTAATAGTAATTTCTCCTGTTAAGAACCAAAATTCTCATCAAAAGAGTAATTTTATTGTGATTATTTCAAGACGAATTGAAGTTCTTGCAAAAAGATTAAATAGAAGAGAATTCTTCTGGTAAGAATGCACTACATCTGAATATCTCAAGAAGAATCTCTATGTCAGGAACTCTGGCCACAAGAACTGGGAATTCTTTTCTTAAGAACAAGAATTCTTTCTAGAAGGCTATGAAATAGAGAGTTCTTCTGGAAAGAATGGTTAACCCTTTAACTCCCAAGAACCCGGAAAATTTTATCTTTCAATGTCAAGGCAGATAAGTGAAATAGAAAAATATCAATTTAGGGATTCTTCTGAAAACATTATAAGAATTGCCTGTTTAAAATTTGATCTGGGAGTTAAATCTTATGAATAGAATTGCAATTTTAGAAACTCTTGCTGTCAGAAACAAGAATTCTTTTCTCAACTAAAAAAGAATTCTTTTTGGCAGGCAACGAAGCAGAAAGTTCTTCTGGAAAGAAAGTTTAATTGCAAATCTTACAAACAGAATAGCAATTTCAGAAACTCTTGCCACAAGAATCAGGAATTCTTCCTTTCAAGAACAAGAATTCTTAAAAACCCCACTGGTGCATCGCCAATCATCAATGCACATGTATCTTACAGTGACAAGTATGATGACAAGTACATGTACCTGAGTTATCATCAGTAAACTAAATGAAGATATTACCTAGACTTAAAAGACCCTGATGAAAATTGGGAAACGTACCTAGGCATTGCTTTTAATATCAAAATATACAGTACTTCAGAATTTCTTACTAATGAGTACAATGAACATATGCCACTCACCTAATTAAGATAAGAACTTACCAAATTCTTATGAAGTCTTGACAAAAGTTTCCTTAAAATCTTATCATGGTGCTCTTGAAATCTTATCAGCTTTGGAAAGCCAGGTACAAAAAAACCTTACATAGGAAAAAATATAACAATACATACTTTACAACAGTAGTAGGAGATACAATTCCCACCAATTACTTATGCAGCACTCAAAAAGACAGCAACACAAAGAGCAATTAACATTTAAAACACGCGGTCAGTTTAAATAATGCCAATATCATACTGTGCCTGATGTATGAAAATCAAAATGAAACACAGTTTTCCTATGAACCCTTTCACCACAGGATCCAATAAAGACATGTCATTCTTGCTGCTGACTGTCATGAATTTCCTTGTAAATTAGACAGGCCTTCTAATTTCAATAAAAATAAGATGGGAGTTGAAGGGTCAACAGGCCTCCACATTATAGAGGTACCCTTATCTAGACTTAAAAATTCTAATGTAGCTACACTGTATGGTGCTTACAACATTGTACATCTATTTAGTAAATGAATTTAACTTCTTAGGACCTCCTCTACTCCCTTCCTTCAATGTTACAAATGTTATAAATGTTACAATGTTACAAACATAAATGTAGTTCCTCTCTCCCCCCCCAAAAAAAAACAATTGGCAAAGGAGTTAGGATGTGTGAGGATTACCCACCATGCATGGCATGTTTCTTGTCAGTGAGGAGTGCAGACAATGCCCAAAAAGCATCCTAAAAGAAAGACAAAAATGAATTATAAAACAGAGTTGGATCATTTCTTTAAAAGTGTTACCTTCATATAAAAAGCACTTTTACCAACAAAAACTACCGTTGAATAATAAACTCAAAGCTTTTGGCCACATTGCTTCACCTATGTACAAAAGCATTTCTAGATTGATCATTTCACAAGTACACCACTTGCTGCATAATTTAACCTAAAGCACTAGGGCTAAAGTTTGTATAATGTATATGACAAGCACCCAATAAAGAAAGAAAGGGCACTTACCTCTTCATTAAGATACATTAACAGCAAGGCGGCTATCCCACTCATGCCTTGACAGTAGCCTACCTCCTATCACACCAGAAGTACATGTAATCAATCATTGGTTTGTACAATGAAAAAAACTGATTGATGCCAAAAATTCTAAGTTTCCAGTGTTTGTTCCTACATTTAGAGGCTTTTTTTGTTATTGTCAAAGACTATTAGTGGATGTTGAGGTAACATATCAGGGCGTGGAATTGCACCTAATACAGGCTAATTTGGCAACCAAATCCTGAAAATTAGTCACCAAATTGCTGACAAGATTGTTTCATAATAACCTTACTCAGAAATAAAGTGAATTAAAAAGATTTGCAAAAAAAAAAGGGTTTTGTTTGTCTTTAAAAATGGCGACTAACTTTTTTTGAATTGGTTACCACTTTGAAGAATTTAGGAGCCAAGTGGCTATCAGAAAAAAAATTAATTTCATGCCCTGCATTTTCCAAATTTACTTAAAATAAGAAAAACATTGGTAACATAATCAGACATTGGTCCGAATTAAAGACATAAGAACAATTTGATGCTTGGAACTTCTAATGATTGTTTCAGGTTATTTGAAATTCCTTAAAAACCATTCTTCAATACACCTAAGCTTACCACATTGTACATGGAATATGCCGCAAGAACATGGAACAATGCTTGCTGTCTATAAGATGAAAAAGTAAGCGCAAACATTAATTATACGCAGTTAAAATTGAACAAAGAGACAAAACAGAACATTTTTATGATAGTTCTGTACTCTAACCACTGTTACATGCACACGGATTATATAAAATCCTTATGGCAACATGTGCTTAAATGTTCTTACTTGATTCCATATCTTTCCCTAAACATGATGTGATCTCTATATGTTCTGTTGACATCTAAGTCAATCTGCCGAATGTCTGGAGACTGATTTCTGGCAATCCTTTTCATGGACTAGAAAAAAATATAAATTCATTGTTATCATGACAATGCAAATAATCCACAGGTGGTGGAAATACCCTCAAAACTGGTGCTACATCCACAAATAACTGGAAACATAAATTATTTACTGTTGATTCATGTACCTCGTAGACAGTGCTCCTGTTTGGAACATTTTCAACTTGGAGGAGTTTTTTCCAGGTTTCTCCTCTCATAGAATTTGGAATTCCTTTGTAGATACGTCTCCTTAGCTGAAAAACATTTACTGACAAGTTGAATATAAGAGTATTTACAAATCAAACGGAAAAAAGTTACATTTGTAAGATCTGTGAACAACATAACAAAAGACTTTCTGAGGACAGGCATTTTAACTACAAAACACAGACCTTTTGTTGTCATCAACTGGGATATCAATAAATAAATTTCTGCCCATCATGAAATGAATCCTATGATTGTTTAAGAGGATAGACAATATAGTATGCCACAGAAATATTGCCCATTATTAAAAGTGTTAATAAACATTTATTATTATCAATTGACAAAAATAGTCATTAACAAGGTAAAAGAAAAAAGGTAATTAGCAAGGAAAAAACTTAGATAAATTTATCTATTTAGTTCAATCAAGTATCACAGCTAGCAATTATTTATATGTATGTGGCTTATTAATGGGATAATTCTAAAGCATGGCAAAAGTATATTTCTAAGGCCCAATCTTAAGTAAATAATACAGCAGCAATCAATCCTTTACCTTTTCCCCATTTAAGTATTTGTCCCAGTTCTTTGTCATCTTGACCCATTTTTGGACCCTCTCGCGTTCTAATGTTATAAGCTATCAAAGAATACATGCATCATAAATTAATTGCAGGCTTTTAAAAAAGATAAATAATTTCACTTGCATATTGTACAAGATATAATGCCTTACTGTGCCACAAAGGTGGCAAATAATATGTTCTTTCGCACAGGTTCAGTACTCATGACTAACTCTTGGTTCCTACTTCATCAAAGATTCTACAAAAAATTCATGAAAAACAAAATGGTGACTCCAAAAGCCTTTGGTTCATCTAGGGTAATGCAGCACACAACCACAAGGTGACAGGCCACCAGGCATTTATGTCCAGTCCAAATTCCTTCTAAATAAAGTAGAAGGCACTGGGTAATTTTAGACAACACATCTACTCAATGTAACTCTTATGTGACACGCAAACACTGAGTGTGTGCCTCTTTAATATTGTGAGTACCTTATCGTCTCGGCCTTCTGGTTGGTCATTTCTGCTGCAATATAAATGAATTTTTAAAAATCAAATAATGACAAAACAGTAAGAAGAATATACACAAAATACAGATGTGAATTATGCATAATTATTACATTGCACATTTCAACCAAATTCACATAAATTGTAAGTCTTAATACCCAGCATGTCTTAATACACTGTACCATGTAGGTGTTTTCTGAAATAGCAATAATACCAACATTTCCAAAGCAACCAAGTTTGCCACACCTTAGATCAACCTTTTAACAAACAATTATTTTATTTTGCCTATGTATGCACCTCATTTTTCTAAATTTAAATCATATAATAAATTTGGGGTTAGGATATGTTACAACAAAAAAATTCAAAGAGTACATGTGCTTAAACACTTACTGAAGAAATCCATATCTATCAGTTATTTTGTACACAAAGAAGTTTGCATCCTCCCAGTCATCAATTTCAGCATTTTCATCGTAACCCTAAAATTGAAGAGTGACAATAATTAATTTTTCAGTCTTTTTATCAGTACTATATTTACATGTAGTACTTTTAAAGAGCCAAGAAACCAGAGTACTTTGAAAAAAAAAACTGTATCATACAAGGTCACAAAATAACAGAATAAATACTCAGATATTTCTTTAACCAGTTAAATCCCAAAAGTGATTCACACATAACCTCTCCTTGTAATATTAATACATTATCCAGCAAACAAGTGATGAAAATATTCAAACTTATTGATGAAGAGGTTGCTATCCTGATCTAACATTAATTTCTTAAGGAAATATCTAGCAGCTAGAGGTGAGTTCGAATTAATAATCAGATCTTGCGAGTTTAAGGGTTAAGAATCTGAAACGGACACTGGATGTTGCATCATTTTCACTTTAAGGAAAGAGTAAAATCAGAGAATACATTCATGTAATTTACATACATGAATAAGTGGTACCTTTACAATTCTTGTATTTGAATATCTTATTTTCATTTCTCCTTCTCTTTCAAGCAACAATTCCATAGATTGGAAAACCATGTTGCATAGTTAAAGTTCAATTCATCACTACAAAGTTACATTCTATAATGCGACACAGCTGTATTTTAGATTTCAGGACAACTTACTCTGTCATACTTTGCCACAATATGATTTCTTGTTTTCTCGTAGTCTTCATCTATCTCAGATGAAAAGCCTGAAAATAAAAGTAGATGGTTAAAAGCTATACAAGAAAATTGAGCTATTTACTGGGTTAAAATATCTAAAAAGTAAAAATGAAATGTTTTCACCTCTGGGTCAATCATCAGGGTAAAATTTCCCATTATTTATACTGTTGATGACCTTGTGTCAAAATTGTTTGGTTTTCTTTTTAAAATATTTTAGCCTTGTAAATAGCTCATTTTTTAAACCTAAATAAAATTCAAGAACAAAAAGCTATATATTAGTAAACCCTCACCAATCTTCCAAACTTCTACTAACGTACCGGCTATTTAAAAAGGGTGTCCAAAATCAAGTTGGAAATAGAATTGTTTCTATTTTTTAGATGATTGTGATTGATGAGATATAACCAAACTACATGTATTACTTGTGAAATGCACAACGGCGCATCTTTCCATGCAAATGTGCACAGTTGTAATCACTGAGTCCAGTTATTTAAACAAAGTTTAGCCATTATTGAACAAAACTGCATTCTAAGACATCTCCAATTATTTTAACCACACCTTTCATCTAAACATTTATTTTTATGAACAGTATCAAGAGGGATGGAAACTAATAGTGGAAGGTCATTTAATTAATTAAATCAACCCTCATAGAAAGAATCTCTGAGACCCACTGCTTGCATAAAACCACTTCTTGGGTTAGACCTCATGTCAATAACCAGCCCTGAATCTCTAAGTAACTTTATTGTTTGAGTTTCATTTTTCAATGGACCATCAGCATCGTAGTTTCAGATCTTCCAGTTACTATCAACTGAAGGCAATGTTTACTGAGATACACACCATGTTAATAATGTTTCTATCTCTATAGTTCAATTAATTTAGATGTGCATGTTCTTTCAAATAGGGACCAGTTCTAATTTAGTCAACAACCTTGACAAAGTGCAGATTTGTGCAAATGAAAATAACTTCTTGTTTATTCAGTAATCAAAAATCAAATTAACTCATTTTTAAAGAAAACACCCAGTAACATTGCATTACTACTGGTAATTGTGCTGTGTGTAACTGCACACAAAAAATATATTTTAGATAGGTAACTTTTGTTCCTTCATCTTAAAAAAATTATAAATTCTGAACAAATTTCACTCTTCACACATACAGAATCGTGAAGTTTCTAGTTAATTCTGTGTCATCACTATATTGGCTTTTTTTGCTGTTTTGTAAGCCTAGTACTAGGATTCTCAGTAAGATGCTTTGAGAGTGGATGGATGAGAAGTATAAGACAAGCAAAGGCCTATTTTGGACTGTTCCTAGCACTTTGACTAGGTTTGATAAATTTAGTTTCTTATCAACAGATTTATCAAGAATTGTGCACACCTGGTTGATAAATTTTTAGATTCTAGTGCCATTGCATTGCCCCCAGTGATATTAGCCTAAGGCAGTAAACAATAGCAGAGATTTTGTTTAACATTTTTCAGTTATCTTAATAATGTTCTTGTATAGCAGCTAATTGTAGCGATGACTTCATCTAGAAGATTGAAAGAAGAACGAAAGACTTCAACGAGAAAAAAATATCCAGAAAGGAAAATTTGTCGTTGCATTTCAATAACAATACTAAATGTAAACGTAGTCCGTGATTAGACGTTTGACTGAACAGCATATCACCACTCATTGCTTACAACTTCTTGAGAAAACATAAATAGGATTATTGCTTTCACGCGTTGAAAGCAGTCACCCTTATCGCCCTGTGAAACCAAATCGTCCGATATCAGACGAGCCTCTACTTAACTCAACTGCATGAGAACTCAATTGAATCAAATTGTTAGGAGGTATTTCGAAGTCAAAAAGGCAACTGGAAGAGACTCGATTAAAGAAACGTCAAAAACAATAAAGTATTCTCTCGTCAACTTAAATTGTATCATCCTAAACTTGTCGACTACATGGGCGAAATTGAAAGGAGCTTTGCGCTGTTCGGAAGTAAGAAAACGTTCAAAAGCTGAAAGGTTTCGATTTGTATTCACGTGGACATACTCTATGAAGAGTTTCTCAAGTACAAGCGGCACGACATGAGGACTGTTTACATTGATTTTCCCCAGCTAACAACCCGTGACGCAAGTCGAATGAATCTATCGCGCAGATTTATGTAATATATTGTCACTACCGAAGGATTAACACGAGAGCTGTGATAATATTCGAGACAGAATTCCATGCATGTTATTTTGCCAGGCAATCATGCCGCCTTCGACTGAAGGAAACAAAAGACTCCGCTTGTATTTGCTCACTTATTTCTGCCAACTTAAAATTTGAGAAAAAGACCACTGGTACGAGAAACGACTAGCACTGTCGCGCTAAAAACTTCAGCGTTACGAAATGCTAGACAACGACGATCTCTTCTTCCGCCTCAAGGCTTGAAGACACGAGAATCACGGTGAATAGATATTAAAGGAAAGACGATTCGGAAAAAAAATAAGTGCACAACTAACTCATGAACTTACTCATTTTGTCGCTCGATGGCTGTGTTCACAAAACAAAAATATTTCTGTAGCGACGAAGAGGGTATAAGCACACAAATCTGTTCATAAGGTTGCTGTTTATGGGTTGATCAGCCAGTTTCCTGTATAATGTAGAACGTAGAAGGGAGTTGTACTGCGACAGTCTCAACACCACAAGGAAATTATCCGCGATTTTGCCGCAGTCACCGATTTAAAACTTGCTGTAATCCTGGTATTGTATGTCGAATTGATTCTCTTGATATATGGAGCATTTTTGGACTACATAACTCGTCTACGAGTTATAATTCAGCGAGAAACCTCCCCCTCGTTCGCCATAAATTTCAATGTATTTGCATTGCAAGTGCATCCCGCAAGAATGAGCTGCGCATGACATTAAGCTGGCCTCGTTCTCGAACACATGAGTGCTCGTAACCAGTACCTCACAAGTAACAACATGTCACTTAAAATTATGGTAAAGAAAAGTAATTTACACTTTGCAGTCAAAGCATGGATTTCAAACTTAACTCAGGGATTTTTATCATTCATAAAGTTTTTGAGCTAAGTGCTGGGCTGAAGGGGTTATGCCTACCCGTTTTTTGTAATGTTTGCCCACAACAAAACAACAACAACAACAACAACAACAACAACAACAACAACGATCAAGCGATCAAGCGATCAAGCATAGAAAAACAAAATGATTCAGTTTAAAATAGTCTTTCCTAGTAAATATGTAAGAGTATTGTTAGTATGCTGCGAGGCTGCGATATCGCTTAGATCAGTGCCTCGGCTCTTTTCTAATTCTAGATCTGAAAGGTTAATGATACATTTAATAAACACAGCCCCGTCACTGAGCAATACAAAAGATTTCTGAGTGTTTGAACGAGTGAAGCATTGTCAGTTGAAGTCTAAATGGCGTCTGGTGCAATCACTGAACTAAACAGTTGGTATCTTTACCCATGAAATGAAGAATATGTGACGATAAACGTACTAACTAAAGAATGGCCTCTGTAGGTTAAGCGGGTTACCCTGTCTGTCAACTCAGTCACTCCAAGCTAGCACTCATTCAGTGTGGCAGGAAAACTCACTTCCCTATCTATCAATAGAAAGAAAATAAGTCTCTTCTTCTTTCTTCTTTGCGAGTTTTGATCTGGCCTGTCAAGTCAATAGACTTCCCTATGTTTCTAAAATCGCTTTCCCTCTGAAGATATCAGCCATGACTGAAAATCGAAAATACCATACTAGCCGTACGCCTCTCGGTTAAAACGAAACTGAAAAAATGAATGATGTCAACGTTTAGTCTTCTTTCACGATCAAAATGTGCATATGAAGGATATAAAAGCGTTTTTCTCCTATTTACGCACCAATTAATCTACATTAGGCATTATAGAGCTCCAAATGTGTCGCAAAAAGAAATCTGAAATTCCTCACACTTAGACATGGATGATTGATTTGGTCCCAGTACTCTACTACTTGGATTATGACTTTCGTTGACATTTCCCGTGACTAGATTATGGCAAAATCACAGCCGTCTTTCAAGATGCTCATAACTGAGGTTACCGTAAGACTTAACGCACGATTCGAACCCTCTCAACGACCGATGAAAGTTACGCCACAAATGGAGAGTGGACTAACATGTCAAGTTCTGTTGAGAAACGATAAAGATTTCGCGTTTCGAGAAGTCGAAAACAAAGTTCAGTTTCCTGCATTGATCAGTTTTTACCATAACTTTGCGTGATTCCTCCCTAATGGCTAAGGGCACAATAATGAAATTTTACATCTGCAAACTTGTCTACCACCGCAAGTTGCTGCTGTGGAACTTGGAGTTTTCAATTTTGATTGGATTATTTGTTGTACGCATAACTCGGTTTTTTATAGCAAATGTTCTTGGTTACGAATGCGAGCATGAATATGGATAGCCCTAAATTGCGCGGCGAATAAAGAAAGATGAGTACATCAGGATTGTGGAGTGGACTGGAAATTTTGCTGTAATTATAAAAGATATTAGAAGTCATCGTCTACAATATTTTTCAGAGTATTTTTTCAGACTCGAATTCCCAATTATCCATAACCTCAGTAAAGTGTTACTCATCTTCTCCGCGCGCAATTTTTAGTTCTTGGACTGACATTATTACTCATTTATTTCACACAAGAAGTTGTTTTAAGTTTTGGCGTTACGATTAGCATTTCCTTTACTTCACGTATCGTAGGTCGGAAAACAAATATCTGTTTTATTCGGTCGGTTATCTGATCCACTTCTCAAGAATCAAATGAAAATCGATCAGTTATAGGCGTGAAAATGATAGAGCATATAAATTGATTAACAGTTTTATTGCATTTATTTTTGAACTGTTTCTTATTTATGTTAACCTTTCGAAATTTACTTCAAATCATATCTGGAAAATTATTTGTTGGAACTAAATGTGTTTTTCCCCGCAATAACAATGAGACCTTAATAATTAACGATTTTATTTGAACGCCTGGTTGGACAGTTTTAAAGATGGCTTGATCTTTTAATCATTGTTCAATTATTATTGCAAATGACCATGGTATCGCGTCAGAGTTAATCAGATGAGCAGATCTTAACTGATGCGCAAAACACTGAGTAAAAAGAATTAACAAATCAAGAAGCGAAATTAAACTTTGCCACAGGCGGGAAATTAAGAAGTCCGCCGTCCTTTATGTACAAGAAAATTGCCAGAGAGTTAAATTTCCTCTGTCTCCACGCAAATCCCGTTTTAGTCAAAGCTTGAACAAAACGAACTTTACTCCCTAAGGTTTTATTTTATAAACTGCATAAATTCATTCCTTTTCTTATTTCTGCTTTCATTTTTATTCACCAGGTGAATACTTAATTATTTTTCCATGATCAACCGGCAGCCCTTCCATCTTTTGTTCGAAGTCCTCTGCTATTGCAAGATCTAACTCTTTAGACTTTTCAAATCTAATATCTCGTTCATTTGGATAAAACTTTCTTGTACTTTCCTTGAACCTGAGGGAAAATCGATCAATTTAATTTGAAAACTAGCAGCTCCGTGTATATATTGACATAAAAATGTTTGACTTGAAAGTTCCGGAGAAATCGGAAATCACGCTGAGTTTTTCCTACATTTTGGCCGCGAACCGGTTGCCTGCTATAAGATGTTTATTTTTTGGTGGTCTCATTAACTTTTTACTCTTCCTCTTCTTCGTCTTGTCCTTGTCGAATCAGGTCTTTAAAGAAAGCTACATGGTGATCTTCAATCTCTACACAACTATTTTCATCTACTTGAATTTGGTCTGTTCCTCTTGTTGATTGCGGAATTGCCTACCGAACAGGCTCTTTTTTTTTTTTATCAATTTTCTTTCAGTGGTGTTTGAAGGCTGGCGGAAGCAAGCCGCAAGGACCAAAAAAAACCGAAAAAAAAAAATAATAAAAAAGAAAAAAATAGGAATAAAAGAAAACGGAGCTTGTTTTGCTGTTAAATGCAGCGCTGAAAGAGATTAAAATGAAAGGGCTTGATGCCTCATTTAACCGAGAGATCGTTAAATTACATTTACCATAAGCGTACTTTAGTGATGTAATTGTCGTGAACAAGTGCAATAAATTTATAACAACTGTAGGCAAAAGATGGGAATAAATTGTTTGCCAATTGAAACGAGAAACCATTCCTTTATCGATGTGTTATTTTACAAGACACCAACTAATAAAGAAAACTTGAATTTTTCCGAAAATATTTCTTAGGATGAGTTTAAAATTCAGTCCGATCGGGTTTCATGTCAGGACAACTCACATGGGTTGTCTCCATGTCATCTTAAATCACGTTAGGCTTCTATTTTGAACAGTATTTATAGCATGTTTAATATAGCTTTTGAGTAACTGCGAGGTAAATCGACCATCAAGTCATCTGTAAGGTTTCCTCTTGAGCTAGCAAGCTTTTGAACAAATGTAAACAACTTTTTTCAAAGCCATTACTTCACGCTTCCTCTACACACAATCAAACGTAGAATTCATGGTTGACATTGTTTAATTTGACAGTTACTGGTAATAATAATAGCTAGGGGAAGACGGCAGTTCATTTATTATGTTTGTTTAGTGGGGTGAAGTCTCTCAAAAGCATTAAAACAAGTTTTTTTTCTTTTCAATTTTTTCCTTTTGAAATTTTAATCCTGTGAAGTGCATTTTAAATTTTTGAGAATAATGTTAAAAGTAGTTAGGTTTTTAATGTTATACTCGGAACGACCAGGTAATTTTCTAGGGATTAAAATATTTCAACGTCCGTTTTATAGTTAGCTAGCGTTAAAACTACTTTGAATGGTGTCGGATATTTATTCGACATGACCAAATTAAAACCTTTCTTTCAGCCATTCACTTCCCCTAAACTGCGTATTTAATTAAACACATAAAGAAAGCCAGTTTTTATTGACTTCAGTGTTTTCTATTATTATTATGTGCAATTGAATTCTCTCTTGGAATTATAAACATAATTGTTTTTAACTGCCACGACTAAAGATTTTGATATCACTAATTGACCGAAATTTGTCTTGAAAAAGGGTTTTAACGAGCGCCATTTTCTGCTTGAGTAGAGCTGAGTAGTTGATGATGAGCTAAAGTTCGTATTAGAAACCTCGTACACGTTTGAATGCCGGGTGCAACCAGCATTTAAGCTATTACACTTTTAATTTAAGACTGATTCCAACATTTGTAATCTTGAAAAAATAATTAAATACAAATCTAAATTTAAGCATATATGCATTTTTAACTGTCAATCATGTAAATGGACATGTCTATGAATGAAAACAACACAAAGTGTGATGTACTGTAATGATCGACACCCCTCCCAGCAGCCAGACTTTAAAGTGATTCCTACTCACAGCAAACACATTTCAAGTCGAGCTCGCACTTTGACGACATCAAGATTCAGCTGAAACCTTACACGCCGGGATGTTTTTTTCACAAGATCCTATGCTTTTATACCCGCAGCCTCCGTACATGCAAACCGGGCCGGCCATTCCTCGGAGCCCTCCAAGCAGACCGTCGTTTTTGATCGACGATCTTCTCGTCAGGAGACAATCGCCTTATTTAGTACCGAAACCACCACAAGAACACCCACACGAACCTCAAGTCCCTTCTAGCAGCGGAACGTCGTACAACTTTGGTATGCCAGCTCTATTCTCAAGAAGTCGCAAAGAACATTCTACAGTTTATCAAGGTATATTTCCGCTCTCAGCTCTTTCATAACTTTTTTTTTCCTCCACCGATTAAAAACTTCGCACTAGGGCGTGCCTAAATTCAGCGTTTTCTTTCGGGTTAAAATTAACCGCTGTAAATTGAAAAAGTATACATAACGATTACCAGTTTCAAGCGTTTAACTGAACTGTATTTAAATCTATTACCAACTTTGTAAGAAAATTGTTAACGGGGAGGAAATCAAAGAAATTTGAGCCGTTAATGAGTTGATACCGAGATTTTCTAACCTCAGAGCAAATACTTGGCGATGAAATTAGTTCACTAGTATGTCACTCTCAAACATGCTCACCATATCTACAGCGGTAGACTTTCTGTTTTGAAATGATTGGTAAAACCTTCTTTGGAGGTCGTATTTATTCGTTTATCATCATATCACAAGTATATAACATTTTTGTTCGTCTTTCTGTCTTATCATTTCAAAACAACGAATGATAACACACAGCCGCTCAATTAATTTCAAATTTATCAAGCGAAAAAAAAAAAAAATGGAATGTAGCTCTGATGCAGACCTTAGTCGTGGACTTTTAAGATTAAACTTACGTTCCCGAAAAGAAAGCAAAGCCATGTCCATGTAAATTATTATCATTATCATTAGTTTTCTATGCTAAGCGAGAAAAAATGAACAAAAAGGAAGAAAAAGAAGAGAAGAGGATTTTTTCTCTTTTCACATTCAACATTATTCGATAATTCTCTCTCCTTCATTTTATTTCGACTTTAGTGTACTGAATCACGCCTATTGTAACAGTCCTTAAATAATTTTTTGTTCGCGTAGATCCAAGCCCAGAGGTCCTTAATTCGCTCCCAGTCTATTTCCGTCTCAAACCGACGATGAGGACTCCGAGTGGACGAAGATGCCGTAAATCACGCACAGTATTTACCGATCTTCAGCTACGAATCCTAGAGAAAACTTTCTCGGAACAGAAATACCTGGATACCTCGAGCCGCGCCAAACTTGCCCAAACGTTGGGTTTGAACGAGACACAAGTAAAAACGTGGTTTCAGAACAGAAGAATGAAATGGAAGAAGGATACCAAACAAAACAAACAAACTGGAAGCATGGACGGAGAGTGTGCGCATTCTCAACGCAAGAATGAGAACGAGAAAGGCAGAGAGGAGGTTAGAGAAGTTTCGAGTGAAAAAGCGTTGGTAAGGCGAGGGGATGATTCCTAGATTTACCAAAACAGCATGGTGTGAAATATCATGTGTTACAGTTTGAAGAGAAATAAAGACAAACTTCAAAAGCTGTTTATAATGCCACATCGCCCAAATTACGCACTTTTAATCAGATGTACACATATAATACTGTAAAACGCGCCTTATGGAAATTATTGTTATCCATATTGCAGACATTACTATAATTATTATCTATAATTACAATGTACTATATTGTAAATCATCATCAGACTTAAATTCTAAAGGTCATAATTGAAAGGAATCGGTTTTCTGCCAGTATCTGTCGGGTTAATTTACTTATACACTGTGCTAAAATAGATCCAGCTTCAGTGCATCAAACTGGTCTGCGATTTCATCAAAAATGACAAAACTAAGAAATCTATACGAAATTTAGTGTTTAGGACATTTGGTTAATTAGACATTTACCTAACGTGGCGATTACTTTTTGTAGGGGGGAAGGGTGAGGGGAACTTCCCCTTAAAAAGGATGTAGGATATAATTATAGTGTCATTTGTATTGGTCTGGAAACAGGTATATACTTTGTCCATAATGGAATTGACTAGTCTGATATTGAACTACGAGTGCTTGTCATCTTATTGGTTGTTACAGATCTGGAAACTGGCGTGGAAAATGGCAACCCCTGGTCTGAAATAGGATCAGAAATAAGCCGAGCGATACACCCTACTACGCATTCTACGGGTAACATTTTAAGGGACAAATGAGAAATTCTTACTTAGTGTGTGAATTCTGCATGAAGAGCTTGGGTGCGGTGCATTACATTTTACATTCAGTTTTAAGACAAACAAACACAAACAGAAACCACCTTATAAGATACCAAAAATAATCAGACGATAACGAAAATTTAAAATAGGTTAACAGCTTATTGATATATAATATTATAGCTGTAATATATATGTAAATATATTTATATATTAGCTGTGATATAAATACGATACTATTAACTCAGAAAAGTTATGAACTCTCTGTCTCTACCTCTCCGTCCTCCAGATCGCAGTTGCTGTCTAAAAAATGAATTCTATACCCTTCATATTGTACTCCCCAACACTACATTAATTAATTCCATTTTTTCGCGTTTATTCCGAACAGTGCGTGCTTTAATTTGACGTTGAATTATTCACATCTACTCCAAACTCTTATTGTAAATACTCCTGATATTTGGTAAGCTATACAAGTTCCTTGAAACCCAATATGCTGTGACAGGCTTACTTTCCCAGTCGAAACTTGAAAAATTGCTCCTTTGTTGAAAAAAGCTTTAGTACAGTTTTTGCAGAATTACTCCACTGAATCAGTCGTTTGCTTAGTTTAAAGAGGTTGCTGCGAAAGACGTTCCTGTCATCTGTCTCAGATAGAATGTTAAAAAAGGTTTATCAACCGTCTGTTTTGAGAAATACAATAATGTAACAAAACTTAAATTTTCCATCAACATACTATGAGAGCAATGAGGTCGAATAATCATATTGTTCACCAAGGCTAAGCCGAGCAGCGATTGGTTTGTGAAATAGGTTATAAACAGGTGATACTCATTGTAAGATGATCACAAAATGTCCATCCCCTGGCTTTGCCACTTATACCGAGGGTCATCCGTATTCGTTTTTTCTATTGTCACAAACCGGACCTCTGCATTAATATAAGAGTAAAATTCGTATTTTTTTTCTTTTCCTTTTTCCTTTTGTTGTTGTTGTTGTTGTTGTTTTTAAAGGGGGGGGGGGAAGTCTCCATTTGGTTACTCTCAAATTCTGTTTATCCGCTTAAAATAAAACGGTTTCATAATAAACTTCGATTTATGCAAATTTCTTTAAATTTTCGCAGGCCTTTTACCTAGTATTAAAACGTATAATCGGTTAAAACAACGCACAAAAATGGTTCTCTTTGTTAATTTACTTTCCATGAACGGAAATGGATGGTTATAAGCCGCAACTCTAATTTTTTTTTATTGTAAAGAACGAAAAATATAGTTTTTAATTAAATATGAAAACATCAATAAAATTTAGGAGGCAACTTTTGAAATTTAGATTGCAACTTATGGATTTTGGCAACTTTTTAGCACCTTTTTGGCAGCATTTTACGAACACAGTCGGGACAGGCCGAGTTATCAGTTTTCTTTAACAATCTAAGCTAAAAAAATATTTACTTCCGCGGTGAGCTGAGATAAGTATTTTGACATACTACGAAACTACGAGTGGCGCCCACCGAGTCCGTTATCAGACACTTTATCATTGCCTCTGGCCATTATATGCCAGTTATACCTCATACCTCTTAGTCTCTAAAAACTCCGCTGTCCATGGTACTGCTGTTCCGTTTTAAATCGCTTCCGGCTGTCAACAAGTCCTTGAATAACAGTGGTCCTTCGCGGATGGCGGTGTATCTGACTTCCTTTAGACTTTTGGTCGTATGTTGTGCCCTTATTTACCATGTATTAGGAGCTAATCAAACGTTTCTTTCAGGTAAGTTAACTGCCTATCTTCTTTGTAGTAAAAGCAGCTATTGCTTTTGTTCGAGATAAAGAAAAGACACAAGTAATTCTGTGAAAGCTCCACATTTGCATTGGCAGAACTGATATATCCGCGTGCGGTGCTTATTTGCAAGTTTCATAGTTTCAAATAATAGCCAAATCCTTTTATTCATTTAAGTTCGAGCCCCACAGAAATATCTCATAGAAGGTAAAACTCTTAAACTGAGTTGTAAAATCCACGGCACGCCACTGTTCGCCAGCCGAGTTTCTTGGAAGCACAGCAGAGATTGGCTTCACAATCAAACCAAACGGGAAGTAGGAGCAGTGAGGCTTACCCTCGAAAGAGTTTCGCGTCATCAAGAAGGAATTTACCAGTGCGGTGTATACAATTTTTCCGGGCTCAGCTCCACCGAAGCAATTCCGGCAGACGCAAATGTGACACTCTTTGTAGGAGGTGAGAATGATAACCTACAAAATATCACGTAATTAAATGGTATCGGTGCTCATAGCTATGGAATAACTCCATTCATCCTTTATAAAACAGATAGTCCTTTAAACATATTGGTTGCTACTCTGGGTTTTGGAGGTTTGCTTATCATTAAGTTTCACTTTTGGTTTGTTTTCTTAAGGAATGAATTTTGAAAACATATTCGTATGGCCCAATACTATTTCAAAGCAAATCGGTAGTCCCAAAGGAGGTCAATCGTTTTCGCTATTGTTTTCTTTTCCAAGAACTGTATGGGGCTGTGCGGAAATCTTTCCTTAAAGTTTGATGGACAATAGCATGTAGTTTTAAATCAACGCCGGGATTAAATGGCAGGCAGCTAGTCAAGATTTTGAAACACTTAATGAACAGTAGTCCTGCACTTTTGGTGAATTCAGTTGACATCAAATAAACCCAGCATATTTAAGGTACGATAGGGTGGTCGCGAAATGCTGTGTAGCGATCCTGAACACCGTTTATAGAACATAGATCTAATGCTTCGCTCAGATTACGAAATAATGGTTTGTGACACTTGGTATGTGTTTGAGTGCGACTTCTGATCAAGGTTTTCCACACACTAAATGACTGGATGTCCTACACCACTGGTAAATTTGACAAATCAGAGGAAGTCAGCCAATCTAAACAGGCATATGTCGGTTATGAAGTGCCGAATACTTCTGATGACCTTAACAGATCTCAAACGCAAGACTTGGTTTATATTGCCTACAGAGCACAGAAACCAAGTTTGTCTTACAAAATTTGTTAGAGGTTACCATCACAGTGTCATAGTTTGTCTCACAAAATTGTTGGAGGTTGCCAGCTAGTCAAGGTTTACAAACCAGTTAATGGCCAGGAACTAAATATTTTTGATAGATCAGACAAATTAAAGAAATTTATGCCTATCCAAAGTACTGTATGTTGGTTAAGGATTCCTAAGTGATCCTGAAGAGCTCCATGAAACTCAAATTCAACCCTTGGTACACAGTACATAGCCTAGGGGACACTTAAACTATGACTTCCTAACTAGTGAATTTCTTATGTTCAAAATTAGTATAGCTAATACTAAATATATGTCCAACTAAGAGGTAGTTGTTTTCCTGTCTGCAGGGCCAATCCATAGGCCAGTATGTGAATCAAGTGATCATGCATTTCCTGATTTTAAGGACTTGCTTCATTGGAATGCACTGGTTGACTATCAAGGTGTTCAACGGCCTTTCACCTACCAAATTTTTTACTGCAATTTTTCATGTTTACGTCCTCCCAGACGCTACAGCATTTTCAGAGGCTGTCCTATAGTCCCAAAGTCAAGTATTGGAATAGTCATGGAATGCAATCTTACATCCCTCTACAAAAAAGTATTTCCGAAGCTGTTTAGTGGCAGTAAAAATATCCGTGGTCTAAGAATTTCTTTGGCCATTGGTATAGCAAATATGGATGATGAAATCATTAGTCGACCAGTCGGGTGTACTGTGTACCGTCCAGGTATATATAGATGATAAAAAACTGTTAACATTTTTTAAAAAGACATTAAAAAAATATATATTTGTGGGCAATGCAGATGCATAATGACTGTTAATATAAATTGTACCTGTAGTGACAGTTATTTTTCAAATAGCTCATTAGCAAAGACATGATTGTTTATTGGAAAACTCTACATTGTTTATCAATATCAGACCAGAGGTAAGGTGGTTAGATTTTGATTTTAAGGCATTTGTTATAGTGCAAGAGGTCTGACAATCCAATTATTTAGATGAATTGTATTACCCTTTCGACCCATGTGGCCCAACACTCAGTCAATAAGGGCATGGTATATTATGCTTATTGTACTTATTATTCACCTATTCAAAAATTGTTCTGTTTCAAGTGAATATCAGTGATCTCTGTCAATATTTTGTTTTACCAGTGAAGTGTACAAAACCAGCAAACATACGTTTAAACAACTCAACAGCAGGTCAACTGACATTGATATGGGATCTCCCAAAAGATGTGCCACAGGATTATCAGAGTAATCTGATTTATTGGATTCGTGTAGTAGGTAGTGGACATGGAGTTGGTGATTTTCCTAAACTTATTAAGGTAACTTGTGATGATTAACTCCTAAACTCTAAAGATCTGATTGTTAATTCTCCCTTCATTCTCCTATACATTTCCTTGTAAACTGATTACAAGTATTTGGTGTTAGAACAAGATAACAACTGCCACCTGATAAGTTTGAGTATCCTCATTACCTGTTTGCTGGATAATGTGTGAATATTATGGGGAGAAGTTACCTTTTAATCCGTTTTGAGAGTTAAGGGTTTAAATAAATGATGACTTGAAAGTTTTTAACCCTTTAAACCCTGACAGTGACCAGCATATAATTTCTCCTTACAGTAGTATTGCTAAGTTATTAATTAAGATCATGAGAATAAAGGAAATGATGGCAAACCTTTGGTTTTAAAACAAACTCTCTTTATCAGTGCTAAAAGAAATGTGTAGAGGACAGTATAGAGAACTTAAATACTGATGTTAAGGTGTAAAAGGTTGAAATAACCCTCAGCTATGAAACTTCTCTTACCACCAAAAGGTTGCATCTATTCAAAGTTATCATAAGAAATTTAGGGATTAATTAAGTAATTGCTGAGTTATAAGTCAGAATGTTTCCATCTTAAACATTTTAAAGAAAAAATGTTTGAGAGACTTGCTTGCAACCAAGGAAAGACATCCTCAATTGTTCTAACAAATCTGTAACACTTAATAGGAAGTAACCCATAAGACCTTAATATCAGTAAGCATATTTTCCATACTGTTCTCTATACATTTCCTTGGTGCTGACAAGGAGAATTTGTTAAAAAGTCAAGAACTTCTTTAGTTGGAGGTCATTTTCTTTATTCTCGTGACCTAAAAAGTGTGATTTGATGATGATACTGTAAGGAGAAATTAGATGCTGGTCACTCTCTGGGGTCAAAGGGTTCAAATGCCTTCACATAAATAGGCTATTCATTTCTGTTACAAAATATTTGTTAATGAATTTCTCTCAGTCCTTTTCACACAAGAATAAGTCGAGGTATTGGAGACCAATATTGCTTTGACTTTCAGTTTTTTCCCTCCAATTGGTATTTTCAATTATGCACCTGTATGTGTCAGAGACTTTGAATGATTGAAAATCTATCATTATGAGTTCCAAAATGATAAATCATATTGAATCCTTATGAAGTAATTATTAGTTATGGAGTACAATTTTAAAAGATAATTACTGTTAGTAATACAAGTTATTGTTAACTAAAGTAGCTTTAGGTCAAATTGTATATTAACCGTCACTTTTATTGAATAAAGGTGATAGGAAAAAATTATTCAAGTGAGACTATAAGAAGAGACATCAGTGGTCTACACCCATATACCTGGTATCATATCTACATCTCTTGCTCAATTGTGGCCTCAAATGCTTCTCGTGGAGAAGAAGTGGGTCCTTTCTCAGCCAGGACAAGGGAAGAAGGTAATGATGACCACAGGTTTGTTCTTTACCTCTCACATAGGAACAGAGGTAGCCTATTAGCACTCCCTAACTATTGGCACCTCGACACAATCGTTTCTCTCCCTGCTAGAAATTATAAGACCTTTAGCTAAACGAACTGGGGAGAGGTCTTCCAAGGGTCTAGCACTGAAAACTGCCAGACCCCAGCAAACATCTGCCCGACTTGCCTCAAACCTTCCCGTACGTGCCCGAGAAACGTGCATCCTGCAGAGCTCACAATGAAGGCCTGCATGCAGCCCAGGACACAAATGCGGTGGAATTTGATCCGGAAGGTTTGTAAATAAGATGCTAGAACTGCAATTGAAATGATAAAATTTTGGAGGGCTGTGTACAAAACTTGATAACTGAAAGGTAGTGTAAGCAAACCAAAGAACATGGAAAAAATAAAAAAAAGCAGCCTGTTACTCACATGTTCATTTTCTTTTCCTTCATCGCAGCACCCAGCGCACCTCCTAAACTCTCGGAAGATGTCACAAATACAACACTGCATGGACAGTACAGAGATGTGATTCTTCATTGGAAGGTACGTGTTACAAGTACGTGGATTTTTCTGCACTATGTGTTCACGTGTTGAAAATTACTCTCGGATTAGTAAATCTAATTATTGAGCAAATTCCTTAAAATTTGACTCTAGACTAGATTAGAGGTAATGAAATACTTACAGACAGGACCCTTTGTTATTAATTTCATTCTTTGACTTTTGTTTATTAGTTCATGGAGGTCACAAGTCGGATTAGTTTTTATATATTAATCACTTCCATGTACTGCTAGATTGTAACCTAAAACACATATAACTTAAGTTGTTTATGTCACCTTCCGCTAATACATTTACCTATTCCTTTTTTTCTTTTTCTCGACTGTCTTATTTCATTATACATGTAGATGTGATTTCGCTCCTCTGCCTTTTCTATCGTACCTCTGTCTGTTTGCATCTTGGCTTATTTGTATGTGTTTGTTTCTCTGTGTGATAAACGTACCTCTCACCAACCGAAATAAAACAATTTCAAACAAACTTTTGAATTTAGCGGGCTGTACAGTGAAATGTGGCTCCCTAAATTGACCAGTCGTAAGGGATGTGCACATACTATGTACTTTTCGACTTTGTGGGAGGGCCGGACGGGAAAATATTTATCTGACCAATCGCAGCGGCTGTGCACATTCTATGTACTTTTCGACTTTGTGGGAGGGCCGAACGGGAAAATATTTATCTCGAAGTCATGACCTACGGACCGAGTGCAGCGAGGTTCGTGCACCATAACAGAGAGGCAAACTTTTCCCGTTCGGCCTGACCAAACTCAGTCCATAAGCAATTCATCATATTACCAACGAATGTTGAAAATTTCGTTTCAACGTCGATAGTAAGCAATAGACGGGTTATATGATAACAAATATTAGTGTGCTCTAAAAATTGCTAGCCGTCTCCTTCCCTCTTTATTTCGAATTCTATGTCAATTTTTATACTTCTTCATCCTTGTTGGTCAACTGGAACATCGCTAACTCAGGTACATGAATTTTCACTTCACAGCTTCCGGACAATGGCACATGGAATGGGGAAATCACTCACATTGTGCTGCTTTATTGGATAGCAGACAGTAGCGTCACTGAAGCTAATAGTAGTTTGGTTGTGTTTAGCAATGTTTCTATGACAACCGGCACCTTAAGAATGTTACGCCAGGATGAGGTGTATGAGGTGACGGCAAAAATATGCACCAGCGCGGGGTGTGGCCCTCCCAGCCAATCGGTTTTCATACGAAGACTGGATCACGCAGGTTTGTTCTCTTTGAGAAGCTTGTAGAGTTCTTCTCTTAATAAGTCATCCAGTTGTATGGAAGAGCGAAAAATGTGTTAGTTGAAAGATAGATAACACTTTCTATCGGTTTACCAGCGTAGTAACCCACGTGGAATGTTGGGAGAACAAGGGAAAAGTTGTTAGATCGCTCGTGTGCTGGTTATCTTCCAACTTCTCTCGTGTCCTCCCAAACTCCCAAGTGGGTTAATACGCCGGTAAACTAATATTGCTTTGATAAAATAAATTTCAATGTTCTATGGGTTTACTTTTGCTTTCGATGATAGTTTTCTGACCAATCAGGGTGCTCGTACTATCTCGGGTATTTTATGATGGTCCATATAGTTCCATTTTTGTTAATAATGAGCCCCGTTTAAAAAAAAAAAAACCAGTGTGGGTTCGGCTGGGAAAAAAAACGGCGACATCAAAATGCTTTACCGAGTGGGTTACAAATGATACTTTCGTAGAATGGGGACAGTAGAAGAAGGAAACTCGTTCTTCTGATCATTCAAATGCTACATATACTTTATAAAAAAAGAAACAGCGGGGGCAAAAGCGAGGGAAATCAAACACGGATTTAATTTTGCTTGGTAAATTTGGAGAGAAAAAATGTAACATTCTGCGGTCTCTTACGAGTATTTGTCACGGTGTTTTTTTTAGATGGAACCCATGTTCCACGTACGGAGGAACAAGGAGATAAGTATTACATCATTGGTGTCGCGTTAGGGTTGCTGCTCTGTGTTGGATGTTTAACTGTGATAGCCTATTATTGGCTAAGGTACGTTACTCTATGTGCTTTTTTAAAGAAACGGTAGCGTCAACGGAAAAAATCACCTTTATATTTTTTGCACTCCTACCCTCGCATGTGTGAATACGTATTGAAAACTCGAACAACAAGCTGTCGTGGCGGATGGCTGTGTACCGTAGTCTGGTTTGCTCGGTACCCAAGAACAGAGTAGTCGTTTGAAGGAGGGTGGGAGGGGAGGGAGGGATTGGCGGGGAATTCTATGGTGGGTTCATGAAGTGTTTACTTGAAAAAATTCGCCCAGGCTCTTGCAAGTTTGACGAGAACACATGTAGGAACTGATGTTTAAACCCCTTAACCTCTTAAAATAAGTGCTGGATAATTGGCTGTACTGTGACTCTTGGCATGCTGTTGGTGAATACAGCTCTAGATAGTGCACAAAATAAACTTGAGTTTGGGAATCGATTCCTTAGTTATCACTCACAGTGATATTTTCTTTCATTATTTTCTGGTTGTTTTAATGATAACAAGCGTATCTTAACAGGAAACGTAGAAGAGAACGCGTACCACGGCTCGGAAGTGTCCTTGGAAAATTACCGGTAATCTCTAATCTTGTTTCAATTTCTTTTTTTGATTTTGAAAATGGGTTTATCTCTGTGAGGCTTTCGATCAATTATACACTTGAAAAATCCGCTGTTTTATCGTAGAACTGAAAGGAGCTTTTCAGTATCTCAAAATGGCGCTTTTAGTGAGTGCACTTCGCTGAATTCGCTGTTATTTTCTCAATCAAAACTATAACAAAATTCTCGAACGTGATTTGTTATCACCAGCTTAATTTGGGCTCGAATAGGATAGTGTACGCGTCATGCTAGTAATTGGACAGTGTAATAGGACAGTTAACGCGTCGTGCCAGTGTAAGTGGACAGATGGCGTCATGTGCGTACGCTCTTATCTTGCATTTCGCCGGGTTAACTGTTGTTGTTTTTCTTATGAAAATCGTAAAACCGATGTCTAGTTTCTATCTCAAATTTGTAATAGTTTGGATTAATTTGTAACAGGGGAGGTTGTCCAATTCGGTCTGTAATCAAACTAGTGATTAACAAATCACTAGTATGATTACAGACCGAATTGGCTTCCACTTAGTCCCATTCGCATCACTAATTGCGGTGCTTTTGTACATCGTGCAAACATCCAGGAATAGCCCGCCATGGTTTCCATTATTATTATTCGTTTAAGTCCGACTTTTCTACTCAATGTATCTTTGGGTCTAAAGTGGAAAACCTTCTGACGTGACTTGCCAGTATGGCTGCCGGAGCCAATCCCGGGAAGGACTGTTACTTGCAGAATGCTTTCCACTTTCTCTTTGTATTGCTTATTTCAGTTGAGTCGCCCGAGTAATGTGTTGTAAAACTCCTAGCATTTCGTTAATGTTCTCGTGTAAGCTGATAAGCAATGATCTATATCCCTGTGGGGAAGGGCACTAGGAAGGTGCAGTGTCTTATCGCTTCCCTTAGCTGTTTGTTTTCACAAGATTTACATTGTCTCCGACGTACAAAAATGCGCGTAAAAGAATTGCTAAAGAGAGCTTTAGATCCACGTTTGGTGTGTTCACCGCTAACATCAAACCGCGGTCAGCAGTTTGTGGTTAGACGTTAGAAGTTTCGAGACTTTTAGTTTTTTTAGATCGACGTGGGCTTTCACCTGAAAAAAATCAACAAGTGGATGAAGGTCCTTCATTTCAAACACGTAATGTGGCTAAAAGATTGGTTTCCTAGCGTCCCAAACGGATTGATAATAAAAAAAGACTTCACCTCGTATATGTTTATAGGAGAAAATTCGAACAGGAGGAAAAAAAGCGTCGAGGGAGTTCACATACCTGAAACTGCCTTGCCCGAAGTTCAAAGGAAGAGGAAGTCGATCACGTCCATCTCACCTTTACCTTTCTCCTTGTCTGCCTTCTCCTTTGATGACCTAAAACTCAAGGTCTTCCCCAAATTCATTGATCAAAACAGGCTCAAAGTTGTGCATAAACGAGACATGCCTAATCGGGTCACCATTAAATGGCATACACTCCACTTCAGGAGTGGAAACAACTTGACGTGGAATTTCTTCTCCGCTTCCTTGCCTCGACGCACTAGTCCCTTGAGGTGAATGCTGTACTGGGTGTGTCGACATGAAACTGAACAGACTCATAACTATTAATCTGGTGTGTTAATGGTAAATGTTCTTGGTTAGACCTGGTGCGTTCATTGGGTTCGTGAGCTCCAGGTCTTCTTTGTACTGTGTGGTCCAATTTCCTAACCACAAATTTGATAAGCATACATATTAGGGGAGAAATTGTGTATAGGCATTAACATTTTCACTTTTTCATCAGATTTCAGAGCGTCGTGGGTGGCACTCATGGCTAATAAAATCATGAATATTTTAGATTGAAAAGACACTAAAGACACCCCGCACCACAACTTAAGAATTACCCACAAGTAGTTTCTTCAAAACTACGAATAACTTCTAAGTGATTGTCAGTGGTTATTGCATTTCTCAACCAGCTGGGATAACGATTTAAATCGCGAGCTCTTACATCGGCATGTTATATGCATGATCTAACACATTGTCATTTTGTATCCTAGCCTCCTCCTTTAATTCCGTGTGGGAGCGATACTGGACCTGAAAATAGAGAGGACAACCACGTTTATGACACAACAATTTCGCCTCTGCTCATAGGTGACAAGAACGAGTACGTACAAATTAAAACCTCTAAGCCTGCGCCGATTACTTTGATGAGGTCAGAGCTCGACACAGATGATGTTTAAAGTTCTCATGAAGTTTGATAGAGCATAGAGCGCTTCATTTCCAGTTCTATCTCTCTCACACTTCCACGGAGCCTCTGAAGTAAACTTCCGCTCAACGCAGGGAATTTACACCACCAAAGAAATTCATAAATAAGAAGCAGTAGTATGGAACCTTAAATGAGTTCACTTATCACTAATGTAATTCCCTTCCTCAAGTCTGTCTCCCACGCGCTTTTCTGCGAGTCTAGCTTGTAATTGAATATTACTGGTAATCTGGTCGTTTAGGAACTTTTGAACTGGGCAATTGGTACTCTGAACCAAATTTTTTTACTGTCTATCCAGTTCTAGATTGATGCACACTCGTATGAAGAGCTTTTCACTTTTCGCTACCGTACTCAATTCGGCAACCTCTAAAAACCGCTTATCTCTTTCATCTCCATGATTGCTGATTATGGCACCGAGTGCTTATTTTTGAGATCGGAAAAAATTAGCTAGGGTTTATTTTTACGTTAATTATCAATCTTGTTTTGTTTCCCTTTGTAGCCGATATACAAAACAGTTTATGTAATAAACACTATGCAGCATACAACGAAACATATTTATTGGAGAATTAAAAGTTTTAACTAAGAGCTGGTGCACACAGTTTTATACAAAATTATCCTAAAGAATTTTTAAAAGCACGACGTCGGGATTAAATAAAACATGTCTTTTCCTTCATTGCACTGTGATCTTATTGACTGAAAATTCTGTACCTTGTAAGTTAGTGCACCAGCCGGACGGCCAGTCAACCTTGTTCCCAAGATTCTGCCCCTGAGAGCAGGAGACGGGTAGAAGAGAGACTCTGAGAACGAGTTTGACACCGCAGCCACTCCTTGGGATTTCACACAGCGCCCCTCCTTTCCTAAGAAAGCGTTACATCTCAAGGATAGAGGCCTTAGTAGATTTAAAATTTTGTTTTATTTGACTAAACTGAGCAACCCCAAAGAAGAAAGAAAGAGTACCATTCTGTCTGGGAAAGAAAAAATTATCTCGCGAAAGCGGCTAGTACTGACGGAGCTCCACTCTGACGTCCTGATTTCTAACAAAGAAGTCGCCGTCAAACCGGTTTCCTTTCTTTATGCAAGTACCCGCCTTGAAACAAAAACATAAACAATCGCCTCCAATCGTAATTTTGAAAGCTGTCTGTGGATTCGTTTTCTTGCACCTCAGCACATTTTCCGGTTTCTCCATTTTTTCCGCGGGTTTTGCTTTTGCCTTTGCCTTTGCCTTTGCCTTTGGCAACTTTGCTCGTTATTGTGTCGTCCTCCTTAACGCTCCATCGAGCGATCGAGATAAAAAAACAAAACGTGTCTCCAATTGGTTACTTTTCCCGGGAAATTATGACCCATCGTCTTTGACGCCAGGAAGTCCCGTTGTCCCATTGGTTTGCAGTTTCAGGAGGCGGGATAATCTTCTGGCGTGGCGCGAGTTGTTTGCGATCCTTTATGAGCTAAAATCTCGCATTGATTTTGCGAGGAATACAACCTCTTTGACCGATTTTCGTCAAATCTCGCCAAAACATTCCAGTAATAATGAAAAACGAAAGCGTGTCGGGAAATTTTGATATTTGAAATATTTGTCCTGTTATGTCCATTTACGTAACACGTCTCGCATATTTTTTGCTACTCCAACTTAAGGTGCCGATTTTTGACAACCAATCAGAATATCGAAAGAGTCTGACACACTCTCGTTGACTGATGCCTTGTGACTAAGATTGTGCAGCCATTTTGCTCTTACTACGGCATCCGATACCCGATAATTTCAGTAGAAGAACCTTTGGTCGTTTCGCGCCTTGCCAGCTCCTGACACTTGCTTAAAAGAAAAGTCGCTTAAATTATATTTGTATCGTAAACGAAAGTTATTAAGCTTTCTTTTGACGTATAGTTTGCTAGGATTTTAGTGAAACTAGCGCGCTTACGAATTTTTTCCCGAAGGTGGGAGGTAACCTTAAACAGATCTAACACACTAATCTGTACCTTCTGGCTTCGACATTCTAAGAATTATAAACAATTGTGTATTGATATTTTTCCTTTCTGTGGAGTATGCGTCCATCGATGATACAAGTGGTGTATTTGTATCCCTTATTTGCATCCCTTGTTTTAGCCTGGCTATTCAAAGCAAGCGGGTGACCAAACTAACTAGACGATGTTTGAACAATGCACGACAATGGGTGGGAAATAAACTGTTTTGCAGGAGACAGGCAGCTGCTACGGATAGAGGGGGGAAGGGTGGGGCTGGGAGGGTTGGAAATTGCCTGTGCTGATGAGTCCCATTTCTCATTTGGTCGGCAAATAATTAATTTCCTTCTTCACCATTTTAATCTTTTAAGCGTGCCTGACTTAAATTTTAACTTCGTATGTAAGCATAAGCAATCGTTTTTCGGGGCTATGTAATCCATTCAGACGTTTAGTTGATAAACTCCGTCATTTTAATCAGCCTATGAGACCAGTTTTGTGAAAATTAGTTTAAAAAATGCAATTTCAGTTCCCATAGACAAGACAAGTTGTCAGTCCGTATCTGAACAAGTTTGAACGACACTGACAAGTTGTCAATCCGTATCTGAACAAGTTTGAACGTCAAGAGCAAAGCGGTGTACTTTATTTTTTGATAAAAGCATATTCGTTTTGAATCTACCATCAGAAAAAGACCGACGGCAAAAAAAAGTCCGACCGATACTCCTACCCCACCCCCGCTTCATTTTCTTCCTGTCCCACCGGCCATGCGTGTCGTTCAAGAAAGGGGTGTCAGATTACCTCAATGGGCGTAAGCGTCGCTTAGTGCACGCGAGGAAGTCGAGTGAAATTTAAAAAAATGACTTATATGACAGGATTTTAAGTCTTATTTCGATTGGAAATCAAACGAGGCAATGAAACAAAACAGCTTGAAAATTTTTATGGAAACGGAAACTTGAACTGAATTCAAGATGTTACTCAAACAGGTGGACGCGTTACCGAGACACGGCAGAATAGCGCGACATAAAAAAGTTCCCTTTTCAAACTAATTTTCACCACGAATACTGTTCGGGGCGAAGTGTAACAGCCTAACTGAGGCTGAATTTGTTTGGTGTTTTTGCTCGCTGTCATTTTAGAGACGCTTAAAATTATGCAAATAATGGTCACCCTAGAGGACAAACAGTGTGCTCTATTTCTTAACACGTGCGCTTTGTGTTCTGAATATTCAAATCTCTAATTTCTCCGGCTTCAAAGGGGCTCAAGCTGACAATCAATTAAATTTCTAACACAAGACTCATTTGTTTTCATCCTGAAGTACAAAAGAAGCGTTCTTAAGTTTCCATGGAAGATTAATGTATTTGTAAATTATACTTGTGACCGCGCGAAAAGCTGGGGGAAAATCCCCCGAACAAATATTGTATGTGCTGTTATAGCGAATAAAAGATGTTAAAATGAACACATACGACTTGCATTCATTCAACCGCCAGGACGCAAGAGGTGGAAGCGATGATAGCAGTGTTTTTCTATATGTTTTCCTCTATTTTGCTTGTGCTTCACATCGTAGCGGAAACAAAACCCATAGGTAAGAGTCACCCACGCACATATTTTTATTTTTTCGCCTGAGTGTGACCCGAGCGCGTGGTAACAAACCTGTAAGAACCCATGAATTCTATTTGATTGTTAACAACACTGGCAACAGTACACGTTTCGATTTCCTCGATGATGCAAGTGACGAAGTGACCAAACCGAGATCTGTCAATGTAAATCTACGCCCTACACAGGTACACCTTGTTCTGATTCGGCGATTTTTTTTAATTTTAAAACGTGCTTACGAGTCCGGCGTTAATTGTCACAATTTACAAAACAAAAAAATTATCGGGTAATTGCGAATTTGAAACGGTAAAGAGAAAGCGCCAGTTACCGAGTAGCACACGCGCATTTAAATGTCTGAATGCATATTCCAAAAATAAGGGTAAGTTGATCCGCGGAGAATTTATGGGAAATAACAACCCTTTAATAAATGTTCTTGCCTGACTCATTTTAATTTATATTGGATGATAAATCTTTGAAAAATGTTAATTTTCCGGCTCAGATACCTTACGAAGCGTTGACAGTGATCTAGATGTAGCCTGAAAATAATATTTTGAAACGTATTGAATGAACAGACGCTTCCGCGGTTTATAGCGGCCATATTGGTTGGGGGTCAAACAAAACCTTGTTGCTAGGCAACGAGCAATAGACTAGACGTCTTTTGTAATTATTGGACGATTTCAATTCATCTGAAGCACTCACTTATATTGCTCTTACTCAAAGCTAAATAAAACTACATCGAAAAGAAAAGTAGTTCTCATGCCCAAGAATAAAAAAGGGGAAATTTACGATTTTACGAAATTTACCAGCTAAATTATTTGTCTAATTGAGGAATTTATTTCAATGGTCTTTATAACAGAGCTAGTAAATTTGTCTAATCAAATTTAATTGCGCAAGTATGCTTCATTGAAGAAAAAAATTCATCTTTCGTGCCCTCCAAACTTCCCGCGTGCTTCATATCTCGATGAACGCTCGCTGACATATGAACCAATTGTTAATTTGAGAAACCTCTGAGACTCAAAATCGATGACATTTACTTGGCCAGCGGCTTAGGACAATAAAATAAATGTCACTCTATTAATTATGGCGGCAGGTATGTGGCGAACGAACTCGTGCCAATTACCACCAGCCATCACAGAAAGGAGTTGCAACGTGGGATATTTTTAAAGATTTGGCCAATTTGCAGAATACCCTGCCACTCATTTACATGTCATTGGATAAGAAAAGCGTCTATTGTGTTATGCCTCGTTCTTGAAAGCCTCACGACACATGTAAATGAGGTGGACCAAAGTGGCAGGGTATTCTGCAGTTACTCCAAAGATTTTATCTTGAGGTGAGAGGAAAAGCTGATTAGAGCTATTTATGACGAGTTGATTTCACTACGTTTTTCGTTTATCAAGCCACAGGAGGTGCAATACAGCCGCCCTTTGACTTTGCCCTTTGGGAAAATATTTGTCAAATGTTCCTGAATATGAATTTCTCTTCTTCAAAAAGCTCAGTTCAATAGACACTTCAACGAAAATGTTGTCAACCTGTTCGTAACATGCACAGTTCATCAAAATATTCCTGAATATGAATTTCTCTTCTTCAAAAAGCTCTGTTCCATACACGCCTCATCGGAAATGTTGTTAACCTGTTCGTAACATGCACAGTTCATCAAAAGAGCCTAAGAGTGAATTCGACGGAGAGCATGAAATCTATGAAACTGTGTCTGCTGTCATACCTGATCAGCAGCAATCATTTTTAATTTACCACGGTAGCTGCTGACAAAAATATCAGCCAGATACATGTAGGTCTTTGTTATACAGTTGCACAGTATACAGAATTCATTTCCTAGGCAAACTTTCAACCCCAGGATCCTAAGATGGGGTTTTTAGTGGGCTTGTAAATAATTTAACGTGAACAAGACCCCAGCTGGGCAGGTTAACCAACCTTGAGGTGGTTACATGGTGAATAGCTGGCAGACCAAGCAACACCCCTTCTATCATGAAAACATGATCAAGATTAAATAAGAAATTAGATGGACAGGTGGGTTTCTCCACCTAGATGGGTATCTCAACTACCTGGGGCTCCCCCACTTTCATGTAAACAGGCCCTAATTAAAAGGAGGGGAAATGCTTTAAAATGCAAAACAATGCTACATTTGTGTGGTATATACTTATTTTGTAGAGAGATTGTCTGGTCTTCTCAATGGTGATCCATTGTTTTGATTAAGTAGTCTGTCAGGAATGTTACATAAGGAAAGTAGCAGCTGTGAGGAGAGAAATGATTCATGTAATTGCAAATGTGACAGGGGCTTAAGAAATTTTCCTTTGCTCTTCAGTTGAAGGTTTGTCTTCTAGTATGTTACCACTTCTTCTAAGTGCTGGTCATTTATGTTAACCTAAATAAAAAGATAGGGATTCATTCTTTTCTTTTTATTTTAACAGACATCAAAATACGATCGTATTGTAAAAGTGCCTTTGGGTTGAAGGATGTTGATGTTATTTGGATACCGCTTGCACAGAGGAATTCTTCATCTTGGGCTATCTACAGGATATCATATTGTCCTACATGTTCAAGTGTCAGCCCAGAAAATGAACAGTATCGATTGGGTTGCATACTGAACACAACACAGCATCAATTACAGAAAGAGTTGCAATGTAGAATGACTGAAGTGTCACTTTTCCCTAACAATTTTTATTATAAGGTGGAGTTACAAAATTTATCTGGAGTCTTCGTAAGCCAGCGTTTAGCATGCCGAACAAGAGGTATGGTATAAAGGGAAACACCTTAATAAATTCACCTAAACAAATTCCTTGAGAAAAAGACTTTTCAGATGCTATCCTCAATTGTGGCCAGAGTTTTAGCCTGAGTGGACCAACCAGTTATACCTTGGGAATTTTGGTTATCATTTGAGTGAGGTGCAATAAAAGCTAACTACAGTGGGATCGAATGTCAAACATGAAAGCCCTCCAAAAGGAGTAGAGCAACAGGCTACCACTGGAAATAAAGTCTGTGAGAACAACTCAATTTTAATGCCAAATTGTGGTCAACAAACTTCTGTTGCACCTCACCAAACCAAAAATTGTAGTTGTAAATGGAGCAAGAATAGGCTTTAAACTACCCACCATGACCAACAACTGCTCCAAAAGCAATTTACAACAAGCCATGGCCACCTCTTTGCCCACTTCCATAGTTGGATCCAGCAATGAAATATTTCTTCCTTGATTTATTTTGTCTTGCATGGTGCATTTCTCTCAGACGGAAGGACTGATTCTAATTTATATTCAAGAGTAGAAATTAAATGTAAGAGGTTTCCTTTTTTTTTTTTTTTTTTCAAATTTTTCTCTGTGAGAATATTCTCTAGTCCTGCTGCAAGGGTTGTACTCTGATTAACCCATTTACCCCTAAAATGTAAATATAAATTCTCCCCACTGTTTTGCATTGAATTTCTGAGACTTTAGCTGTGAGAATATAGTGTTTATGATATACATATCCTCTAGTTACTATTTTACTTTCTTTTCATCACTTTCCTACTTGAAAGGGTATTGTTATTGCAGGGCTTAAATTCCCTTTTGGTCACACCTGGGTGTGGAAGGGTTAATGTGGCACAGTTGGTTATTTATTTCATTTAAATTTTTATTTTGTTTATATATAACTTATTATTTGATTTTAATTGTTAATTTGTTTATATATAACTTATGTCTATATTTTTCTTACTTTGATGTAAGGCCTCTATGTTACTGTACATATGTACCGTTCTATTTCATAATTTGTCCCCAAATAGCTCATATAACTATAGTGTATTGAAACTTAAATATAAATAACTAAAGTTTACAATTATAAGTTTTATTATTATTGGTCTATCAAAAATTATTGGTTGGAGCCCCAATTCTACGGTAGTGATTATATTCTGATCCCTATTTAATAGCCTTCAACTGGTTATTTGCATGCAAAAATTGCCTAGTTAAACATATTTTGAGTCAGATCATATTTTTTAAATCACAACTTTGCAACTTTGTTGTATTATCCTCTCATTGATTTGTTGAAGTTCACTGTACAAGGCCTCAAAACCTGACAGCCAAAGCAATTAGGAAAAGAACTGTGTCACTTTCATGGAAACCTGCACCTTTTATGGGAAGATATACTGACGCCTTGTGTTATAAAATTTGGTATGCGGCTGCAAATGACAAAAAAAATGAGGTAAATTTTACTTCTCTTTTTTTTTTCCTACATTTATTTTTACAGTGGCTGCTTTATAGTCTGCACACAGCAAAAATGTAAAGTATTTTAAATTTCTGTGATGATTTTTACTTGCTACCTCAGAGAATATCTGTTCACCTCCTAAGCATTTTTTTATACCCCTTCCTCCTCTCTCTGGAAACACTGGTTGTTCCTCCCAACTTCTTTGACCTTATGACCTCTTCTTTTTCTTGACCTCACTTCCTCCTTCTCCCCCTTGAAGCTTAGTGACTACTAGTCTCAACCTTCTCTCTACCTTTTGTTGAATTTCAGTCAGTACAGATACCTTTAAGGAGTGAATCCTGGATCATTAAATCACGTATCATTAAATCACGGATCATTGATGACCTTTCTCCATACACAGAATACAAGTTTTATATCCAGTGTAGCTTGCCAAGCTGTAAAGGCGGTTGGGGATTGGTTGATGGGCCTGTTACTGCCCAAACTCTTGAGGAAGGTGGGCTTAGCTCAGCAATTAATTTTGTTTCCAACGTTTAATCATGTCACTAGTATTTGTAAAAATCTTAGTTGATTTCCTCAACAAGACTTTTTTTCTTGTTCTATTTTGGTCACCTGATTGCAGCAATACTCACCTCTTATACTTTTATGTAAATAAACAGTTTACTATGGGAAGTCCAAAGGAGGCTTTTTGCAGCAGGCCTATAATAAAATCTAGTTTAGTCACAAGAAAATAGTTAACCCTTTAACTCCCAGAAGTGACCAAGACAGAATTTCTCCTTTTAATATCAATACAAAACCAAGCGATAAGTGATGAGAATAAAGAAAAATATCAGTTAGGGGATTATAAGTTGATTGCATACCAAATTTCTCAAACTAACATCACAAGAACTGTATTGGAGACAGTAAGGAGAATTACTAATGAGATCTTGGGAGTTGAGGGTTAAAGGTTGGTTACAGCCATCTAAACAAACTCCTTGTGAGCAATAGAATAAAGGTGGTACATTTGTAAATGTACCATGTAATTTGCAACCATAATGTAAATTGGCTACCATAAAGAGTTTCAAAGCTGACATTTTGAGCGAATAACAAAGGGCTAATGCTTGAAACGTTAGTCTTTAAACTTTTTACAGTGGCCGATTTACATTATTAACTCAGTTAACAAAACCAAACTATCCATGTAGGTAACAGTTTTTGACTGTCAACGGTAAATGATTAAATGTCTAGCAGTTTTAAAGATCTGGTTTTGAATCTGGTTTTGCTTAAAACAAAGGCTGAAATGTACGAAAATATCTAAATTGCAACAGTGATCAGTCCAGGAAATGTAAATTTAGAAATGTTGGGATAATAAGGTGCCTGTGTAGACACTCGGGACCCTAATTCTAACATAGTCACCAATACCTTACGTCAGAACTAGCTGGCTCAATTAGTCAGGAGTTTCAAGTTAATGTGCTGTTCAAAGTGGATTCAATTAAGATATTGGTTTATTGTGCTAGCAGGGAAAAATGTTTTTGTATAGTTAATCACATGATTTCGAGTGCAATTTGGAACAAATAAGCACGAGTAAATTTTTTTAAAGACTAACAAAATTGCACGAGCCCGTAGGGCGAGTGCAATTTGTGATCTTTGAAAAAATTAACAAGTGCTTATTTATTCCAAGTTGCACGAGAAAAATCGTGTGATTACGTGTTAATAATATACATGGAAAAATACGAGATGGCTTATCATAATTAAGCATAAGCAAAGCGCGCGCATCAAATGCAAAAATAATTTATTCAAACCGTGCGTTCGGTCAAATCAACTGCGTACGATCAGCTGCGGTGGCGAAAGAAAACCTACTTAAAACGCCGGCCATTGTTTCGCTCGCAAATCTTCAAATTTTGTTGCGACATCCAAGGCTCGCATTTGATTGGCTATCTGTGAGTTTCTTTGATTATTGACCAATTAGAATGTCTGATTTGTTACTTTCTTCGCACTGAATTAACCCTCTTCTGCACTGAATTAACTCTCTTCTACACTGAATTACCTGAAAACTGCATTTATCTTAACCAATCAGAACTGAGTAATTTTTTCATATATATTTTTAGCTAGGTAATGAAATTCTGTCAATCAACGAATAGGTTTTGATGTGACTAGTTAGACCTGGTAATGCTTAACTCGCCCAAAGTGAGCTTGTTTGTTTGTTTTTAAATTTATTATTTTAATTGATTGCCTTCAGCACCAACTCAAGCTCCACAGTTTAGCAACTGGTCAGTAACTAACACACAAGAAGAGAAACGGGATGTTACAGTTGTATGGCAGGTAATGCGTGCCTCTCTTTTTAGAGAGCAAAATATACATTTAGGTATACTTGTTTACTTGTTTTTTACCAGGCGTGTGGTAAAAACGGTAAAAGATTAACCCTTTCCACTCTAACATCAATATGCAAACTCTCCATACTACGCTCTATACTTTTCCTAAGGTGCTGACAAGGAGAATTTGTTTATGATGATTTCCTTTATTCTCGTTACCTAAATGTGCGATTCGGGGATGATATTGGAAAGAGAAATTAGGTGCTAATTGCTCTTAGGGGTTAAAGGGATAAGCCAGCGCTCAGGTAACCGTTAGTCTAACGCTCTTTTATTGGAGTTTATGATAAATGGTGAGTTTAACCCTGTAACTCCCAGATCAAATTTGTAATTGTCCTTACTGTCAACCATACAATTCATGTAATGTTAGTTCAGAGAATTTAGTATTGGATCAACTAATTATCCCCAAATTGATATTTTTCTTTATTCTCATCCCTTATCTGGTTGATATTATATTGATATCGTAAGGAGAAATTCTGTCTTGGTCACTCATGGGAGTTAAAGGGTTTATATGGATAATATGGTTCTGAATACAGGCGTATGGAGTAGAGTGATTTAATCATTATGTACAACAGAAGGGGAGCACAAACTGCACTTACTTTCAGCTGACAATTCAGCTCAGATATCCCTGGACGTCGGCTCGCCCATTGCGTATAGCTTTGTAAAAACGTAAGGCTAAATTATCAAATAACTTTCCTCGTTCATAGCTGCCACCTTTGACTACGTGGAATGGCGTCCCTAATAGATTCAACATAGACTACTGGAAGACCACAAAGCAGAATGATTCGTCGGTTCCAATCCCCAACTCCATAAAGAGCCTGCAAATTAACGACAGCTCGGCGACTGAAGCAACTTTACGTGGGTTAAATCGTTATGTTGAGTATCAAACACAAATCAGTATGTGCACAGCCGAGGGATGTGGACCGAAAAGTGTTCCTTGGCCCTTGGAAGGTTTGTCGTTGTGTGTTCCATTTGAACGGTACTTTTGCAGTGGGCGGATAAACTCAGGCTTATTGTAATTTGTTGTGAGATATTGTTAAGAGGTAAAATAGTGAGAATTGAAGCGACTAAGCGGCAAGATAACATTGTGGCTTTTTCTTTTTTTTCTTCAGGCGAGGAGGCCGGGGAGAATGAACCCTATGTTGATAGTCTTTCTCTCGATAGTCCATTTATCTGGATTGTACCTGTAGTAGTAATTACTTCTGTGCTTTTCTTGGGCGTCGTTATGGCGGCGATTTACTTGTACAGGAATTATAGAGTTAGGTAAGTCTTTTTGATTGTTTTTATTAGTACTTTTATTATTTTCCTTATTTTATTTTTATTATTTTCCTTGAACTGTTTCGTTCCGTAGGAGAAAAACCTTGAAATTTGTGAGTTGAAAAGAATCTTGTTATCTAACGGAGACTAGGACCAATCCAAAGATGGTTTTCGCTCTGAGACATTAACTGCAATTTGTAATCTAGAGGAATTGTTGACTGGATATGCTTTCCTTTCCGTAAGCTCCTTCACTCCTTCTTTTTGTAGGCGACAACAACCACCATTGCGGCAAAGAATACAGTTGGTAAGGAATGTGGTGCGTCTTCTTTTTTCTTCTGTTTCCTTAATTCACCCATCACTAGGCTTGAGGTTTGAAGTTGGTTAGTTATAAAACTCCTCACAAACCGTTCTTTAACTTTAAAGGCGTTTCTATTGCAGGCCATGGTGCAGTGGGCGCAAAATTTTGATGTTAGTTGTAAAATTCTAGTGATTATTGTTAAGCTCTAGTGCAGGTTTTTTTGTAACTTTGAGATTTTTCTCACAACGATCTCTTCCTATTTAGGAACCGCTGTATGAGGATTTAGAAAATGCAGCTTCAACCTCGGGAAATACTTACTACGACCGTATACATTCCCATGGAGACCTCACGGATCCTCAATTGATAATCCAAGATGGTGGTGATTCAAATTATCGTGTTTTAGTAGCGGACGATTTACATGGTGCAACTTTGTCGCGGTTGACAAGCTTGTAACAGGCCTACGACAATTCTTAGGACCATTTACACGCGCACGACATTTCCTCTTACGACATACCAAAATTGCGTACAATTTAACAACTCCTTAAAATATTCTAGTGTCGGCTATTGAACAGGACTTCTTCACCCCACAGCGAGATTAATTTCTCTCTGTCTCATCCTCTAAAAAAGTTACCTTCGCTTGTGTATTCGACGACTTACCATCGACTGCAACTTCGTCAGTCCGCCATTTTGGCGCAAGAAATCTTTACTTTCCTCCCCCCCCCTACTGAATGGAAATTTGTCACAAAAGACGTTATCTTTACCGCTTTCGGCTACGATTGTCGCAGCGTTTTATAACGTGTTTTAAAATCCAACAATCTTTTTTAAAAGAACTTGTTTTACTTATTTAAGGTTCTAGAAGGAACGGTATAAAAATTCCTTTTTTATGTTCAAATTCATTGCATTTTAGGTTTTTTTAATGCTTCGTCATTTTAATTCTACTGATGTGTTCACTTGGATAATCTTGCTCAGATTTACTATCAATTCGTGTTTCTCCCTCCTTATAGAAGCTTAAAATTGAGGAGAAGAAAGATTGATTTCGATTCTCAACAGTGCTTATTCGCACGTGTATCCTGAATGTTATTCTGTTCCAATATTTGACGATATTTTCACTATAAATTGAGAGAGAGACGAGGAGAGAGAGAGGCATTTCTAAGAAGTGAATGCCTTAAACAAATTATCCAAAGACTCTCGAGTATCAGAGGAAAAACTGAGAAGAACAAAGTTTAGTGACAATGACTTCGAATTGGTATCCATTTGAAGCACTTAGAAAAATGTTTTTAAAATGTGTAAAGGGGAAGTGTACAGTTTTACTTTTTGCTTTTTAGTTAGTTCTGGTTTAGAAGGTGAACTCAAGTTTTCCGCTATTGAATTACCAAAGAAATCTATCCTGTCTTTGACGCCCCACTTCATTGGATTTGCCTGTCCGTCTCAAAAGCTTAGACTTCAAGTTATTTAAAACCAATCTAGTTGGTTCTTATTTGATATTCCAAATTATTTTTGCGATATAGAAATGAGACAAGGATTAGATTTCCAAGAAATGTAACAGGGCTGCTTTAAATACTCAAGAGTCCAGTACCTCGTGCGGAAAGAAGAGGAATTTTAAAAACATAGTTTTGAGTTTTCCACTTTGACTGTGTGAACTGAATAGTGAATATTAGCTGACTTTTTATCATGGAATTTTTAAATGCAGTTAAGTCGAATGAATGTCACTTTTCGATGTAATTTTGTCGGTCTGTAAAGTAGCTGATTTTCAAACAACGATTCATTGCCTAAGGGGTTCGTTGGCAAAGTTCACAAACAGAAACTTGACACTTATGGAAAATGTTGTAGTTCGTCGTGGTTTTGTAGATAAATGAATGTTTAATCTTTTACTTGCCAATGTAGAGTTAGGCTGGAAATTGCACCGATCGAGATGTTTCGACTGCTAGTCCCCTAGTCGTCCTAGTTGCCTGGCGACGAAATCAATTGTTTACATGTCGCTTCTTGTATAACCTTGGTTTGTAATAAAAAAAAAGACTTCACCTCGCATATGTTTATAGGAGAAAATTCGAACAGGAGGAAAAAAAGCGTCGAGGGAGTCCACATACCTGAAACTGCCTTGCCCGATGTTCAAACGTGGACGGCAAACGGCGAAAGTGATTGCCGGAGTCTGGTCACGTGACTCTAGACGTTTGCGGTCACACCTATTCAGAAACAAACGTGGATCTAAAACTCTCCAATGAATTCAAACTGCGACTTCCTAGGGAATGTCTTGTGAACTGGAAACGAAACGAAACGGTATACACACCGACCCCTGAATGAGAATTTAAACAACAGTCACATTTACATGCAAAGTACAGAGGTTACCAAATATAACTGAAATATATTTATAATGTTCCATAATGTCTCAAGCAACTGTTCGCAAAGTTTTCAAATGTTAAAAGGCATGATCTCCGGTTTAGTCTTACTCTACAATTTACGCTAACGCATTAAAACTGATCGATTAATCCGTCCACTTAGTCTATCTCCTGCAAACATAACTATAATGTTGCTTGCCCTATTCAAGTTCTCCCTTACACTGTCGTTTGGCACGCGTCGCCTCAGTGCAACTGGTCTGTACTCTCACTGTGGACACTAATCCATTTCGACTAGGAATAATCTCTATAATTCGTCCAAGAGGCTACTTGCCTCAAGGGAAGGACTCGTTCTTCTTTTCTTATAATGTTGGCATGTAATCTCTCTTTCATCTATGCCAGAACAAATCAGCCAAATACAGGGCTTGCCTCTTTGCACGTCTAGTTTCGACTGATGGTAGATCACTTCCTTTCAATTGGTCTTTGAGGGGAACAACCCTTCAGCAAACTCGCTCACCAGCTCCAGTTGCAGCAGTTACAGTAACTCCCTCTTAATTGTTTGTTGCACCAAACATCAGTTTTGTTCAATTTCTGGCCTTCCTGATTAAGCTGACTCTGGTTTGCACCACAACTACGAGGATTCGTAGGGAGGAGGATGTAGCAGTTATTTGATGTTCCTTATTGCGCCCTTCCTTCTGGTATTTGAGGGTTTTTCTGGGGTATATTCTCGCATAGTGGACACCATTAAGACACTTGATACAAAGGCTATGTTCCTGTACTATCTTAATTTTGTCTTGGTAGGTTAAACCTGTAAATCTGCTACATCTTAATACTCCATGTTGGTTGGAACAGACCGGACAACCCTGCCCAGTACCATTCAGTCCGTGTGACCGCTGTGTTGACCACTCTGAGTGTCATGACGCACCTGTACACCAGTGGATAGTGATGAAATTTTGTGAGGAAGTCGATCACGTCCATCTCACCTTTACCTTTCTCCTTGTCTGCCTTCTCCTTCCTTTTATGGACCAAAACTCAAGGTCTTCCCCAAATTCGTTGATCAAAACAGGCTCAAAGTTGTGCATAAACGAGACATACCTAATCGGGTCTCCATTATATTACATATACTCCAGTTCAGGAGTGGAAACAACTTGACGTGGAATTTCTTCTCCGCTTCCTTGCCTCGGCGCACTAGTCCCTTGAGGTGAATGCTGTTCTGGGTGTGTCGACATGCAACTGAATAGACTCATAACTATTAATCTGGTGTGTTAATGGTAAATGTTCTTGGTTAGACCTGGTGCGTTTACTGGGTTCGTGAGCTCCAGGTCTTCTTTGTACTGTGTGGTCCAATTTCCTAACCACAAATTTGATAAGCATACATATTAGGGGAGAAATTGTGTATAGGCAAACATTTTCACTTTCTCATCAGATTTCAAAGCGTCGTGGGTGGCACTCATGGCTAATAAAATCATGAATATTTTAGATTGAAAAGACACTAAAGACACCCCGCACCACAACTTAAGAATTACCCACAAGTAGTTTAATTTCTTCAAAACTACGAAACACTTCTAGGTGATTGTCGGTGGTTATTGCATTTCTCACTCAGCTGGGATAACGATTTAAATCGCGAGCTTTTACATCGAAATGTTATTGCACGATCTAACACATTGTCATTTTGCATCGATCCTAGCCTCCTCGTTTAATTTCGTGTGAAAGCGATGCTGGACCTGAAAATAGAGAGGACAACCACGTTTATGACAACAATTTCGCCTCTGTTCATAGGTGACAAGAATGAGTACGTACAAATTAAAACCTCTAAACCTGCGCCGATTACTTTGATGAGGTCAGAGCACGACACAGATGATGTTTAAAGTTCTCGTGAAGTTTGATAGAGCATAGAGCGCTTCATTTCCAGTCCTATCTCACTCACACTTCCACGGAGCCTCTGAAGTAAACTTCCGCTCAACGCAGGGAATCAACACCACCTAAGAAATTCATTAATAAGAAGCGGTAGTATGGAACCTTATATGAGTTCACTTATCACTAAGTCTATTTCCCACGCGCTTTTTCTGCGAGTCTAGCTCGTAACTGAATATTACTGCTAATCTGGTCGTTTAGAAGCTTTTGAATTGGGCAGCTGGTACACTAAACCAAATTTTTTTACTGTCTATCCAGTTCTAGATTGATGCCCACTCTTACGAAGAGCTTCTCACTTTTCGTTACCGTACTCAGTTCGGCAACCTCTAAAAACCGCTTATCTCTTTCATCTCCATTATTGCTGATTATGGCACCGAGCGCTTATTTTTGAGATCGCAAAAAATTAGCCAGGGTTTATTTTTACGTTAATAATCAATCTGTTTTGTTTCCCTTCGTAGCCGATACAACAAAACAGTTTATGTAATAAACACTGTGCAGCATACAACGAAACACATTTATTGGAGAATTAAAGGTTTTAACTAAGAGCTGGTGCATACAGTTTTAGACAGAATTATCCTAAATAATTTTTTAAAGCACGACGTCGGGATTAAATAAAACACGTCTTTTCCTTCATTGCACTGTGATCTTATTGACTGAAAATTATCCGCCTTGATACAAAAACATAAACAATCACCTCGAATCGTAATTTTGAAAGCTGTCTGTCGATTCGTTGTCTTGCACCTCAGCACATTTTCCGGTTTTTACATTTTCTCCGCGGGTTTTTCCTTTGCATTTGGCAACTTTGCTCGTTACTGCCTCGTCCTCCTCAACGCTCCACTGAGTGATCGAGATAGAAAAAACAAAACGTGTCTGCGATGGGTTAATTTTCCCGGGAAATCATGACCCATCGTCATTGACGCTAGGAGGTGCCGTTGTCCCATTAGTTTGCAGTTTCAGGAGGCGGGATAATCTCCTGGCGTGGCGCGAGTTGTTTGCGATCCTTTATGAGCTAAAATCTTGCATTGATTTCGGGAGGAATACAACCTCTTTGAGAAAATTTATAGGGTATATAAATTTGACCGATTTTCGTTAAATCTCGCCAAAATATTCCAGGAATAATAACAAACGAAAGCGTGTCGGGAACTGATATTTGAAATATTGATACACCACATGTATCAATGATACAAGTGGTGTATTTGTATCCCTTATTTGCATCCCTTGTTTTAGCCTAGCCATGCAAAGCAAGCGGGTGACCAAACTAACTAGACGATGTTCGAACAATGCAAGACAATGGGTGGGAAATAAACCGTTTCGCGGGAGACAGGCAGCTGCTACGGATAGAGGGGGGAGGGTGGGGCTTGGAGGGTTGGAAATTGCCTGTGTTGATGAGTCCCATTTCTCATTTGGTCGGCATATGATGAATTTCCTTCTTCATCATTTTAATCTTTTGAGCGTGTCTGACTTAAATTTTAACTTCGTATGTAAGAATAAGCAATCGTTTTTCGGGGCTACGTAATCCATTCAGACGTTTAGTTGATAAACTCCGTCATTTTAATCAGGCTATGAGACCCGTTTTGCGTCCAGAGAATTTGAAAATTAGGTTAAAAAATGCAATTTCAGTTCCCAAAGACAAAGGGTCTGAACAAGTTTGAACGACATTGACAAGTTTTCAATCCGTATCTGAACAAATTTGAACGTCAAGAGCAAAGCGGTGTACTGTATTTTTGATAAAAGCATATTCGTTTTGAATCTACCATCAAAAAAACTGACGGCGATGAAAGTCCGACCGACACTCCTACCCCGTCCCCGCTTCATTTTCTTCCTGTCCTACCGGCCATGCGTGTCCTTCAAGAAAGGGGTGTCAGATTACTTCAATGGGCGTAAGCGTCGTTTAGTGCACGCGAGGAAGTCGAGTGAAATTAAAAAATGACTTATAAGACAGGATTTTAAGTCATATTTAGACTGTAAATCAAACGAGGTAATGAAACAAAACAGCTTGAAATTTCTATGGAAACGGAAACTTGAACTGAATTCAAGATGTAACTCAAACAGGACTCTTTACAGAGACACGGCAGAATAGCGCGACATAAAATAGTTCCCTTTTCAGACTAATTTTCACCACGAATACTGTTTAGGGTGAAGTGTAAAAGCCTAACTGAGGCTGAATTTGTTTGGTGTTTTTGCTCGCTGTCATTTTAGAGACGCTTAAAATTATGCAAATATCAATTATTTCGTCACACTAGGGGACAAACAGTAGGGTCTTTTTCTTAACACGTGCACTCAGTGTTTTGATTTCAAGTCATATTTTAGCTGCTCCAGAGGGGCTCAAGCCGACAATTAATTAAATTTTCAATACAAGAATCATTTGTTTTTATCCTGAAATACAAAAGAAGCGTTCTTAGGTTTCCATGGAAGATTGTAAATTATACCTGTGACGCGCGAAAAGCTGGGGAAAATTCCCCTAATAGAGAATAAAAAGATGATAAAATAAACACAAAAGACATGCATTCATTCAACCGCCAGGCCACAAGCGATGGCGGCGATGGTAGCAGTGTTTTTCTATATATTTTCCTTCATATTTCTCGTGCTTCACATCGTAACGGAAACAAAACCCACAGGTAAGAATCACATACGCACATATTTTTAGTTTTTCGCCTGAGTGTGACCCGAGCGCGTGGTAGCAAACCTGTAAGAACCCATGAATTCTATTTGATTGTTAACAACGCTGGCAACAGTACACGTTTCGATTTCCTCGATGATGCAACTGACGAAGTGACCAAAGTTAAGAATGCGCAACTTGTCTGCTTCATACTCAATCAGTTCAGGTCAAATTTTGTTACGTGGAAGACTGAGAGATCTGTCAATGTAAATCTACGCACAACACAGGTACACCTAGTTATAAAGCGACGATTTTTTTAAATTTTAAAACGCGCTTACGAGTCCTTATTTGTCTCAATTCACAAAACAAAAAAAGGTATCGCGTAATTACGAATTTGGAACGGTAAAGAGAAAACGCCAGTTGCCTTGCAGCACACGCGCATTTAATAGTCTTGAATGCATATTCCAAAAATAAGGTAACTTTATCCGCGGGGAATTTATGGGAAATAACAACCCTAAATATTTGTTCTTGTATGACTCATTTTAATTTATATTGGATGATAAATCTTCGAAAAATGTTAATTTTCCGGCACAGATACCTTACCTAGCGTTGGAAGCGATCTAGATGAAACCTGAAAATAATATTTTGAAACGCATTGAACGAATTTCGATTTCAATTCATCTGTAGCTCTCAATTATCTCGCTCTTACTCAAAGCTAAATGAAAATACTTCGAAAAGAAAAGTAGTTCTCATTCCCAAGAATTAAAAAAAAAAGAAAATTCACGATTTTACGAAATCTACCAGCTAAATTATTTGTCAAATTTATAGAATTTATTTCAATAGTCTTTCAGATATCGGTTCCTTTGAGACTCAAAATCGAGGACATTTATTTGGCCAGCGGCTTAGGACAATAAATGTCACTCTTTTAAATATGGCGGCAGGTGTGAGGCGATCGAACTCATGCAAATTACAACAAACTATCTCGGAAAGGAATAGCAATTTGGGACTTTTTTAAAAGATTTGGCTAATTTTCAGAATACCCTGCCACTCATTTACATGTCAGTGGATAAGAAAAGCGTCTATTGTGTTATGCCTCGTTCTTGAAAGCCTCACGACACATGTAAATGAGGTGGACTAAAGTGGCAGGGTATTCTGCAGTTACTCCAAAGATTTTATCTTGAGGTGAGAGGAAAAGCTGATTAGAGCTATTTATGACGAGTTGATTCAATACGTTTTTTCGTTTATCCAGCCACAGGAGGTGCAGTACAGGAGGTGCAGTACAGCCGCCCTTTGGTCAAATATTTGTCAAATGTTCCTGAATATGAATTTCTCTTCTTCAAAAAGCTCAGTTCCATACACGCTTCAACGGAAATGTTGTTAACCTGTTCGTAACATGTACAACTCATCGAAAAAGCCTAAGAGTGAATTCAACTGAGAACATGAAATCTATAAAACTGTGTCTGCTGTCATACCTGATCAGCAGCAATCATTTTTAATTTACCACAGTAGCTGCTAACAAAAATATCAGCCAGATACATGTAGGTCTTTGTTTTACAGTTGCACAGTATACTGATTTCATTTACTAGTTTGCAGCAACAGTATTTCCTATTTCATGGTATCTGGCAAAACTGAGATTTTTGTAATGTAATTATCATCCATGAAAGAGGCTGACTCCCATGCCAGATGATTATCTCTGTAATTCAGAATATCAAGAGGGTAGAACTGAAAGGTAGTGAAGCACAATAATATCAGCTGAAGAACCTTGTGATTACTAACTTGTGAGGGCCTGTTTATATTTGGGTGGGGGACCCTAGGTAGGTGAGGTAACCTGCCTAGCTGTGGTTGAAAAAAGAGCCTGGGTTTACATACAAACTTTCAACCCCAGGATCCTAAGAAGGGGTTTTTGGTGGGCTTGTAATTATAACATGAACATGGCCCTAGCTGGGCAGGTTAACCAACCTTGAGGCGGTTACATGGCAAATTGCAATCCTGGCTGACAGAGTTACCCTAGCTGGTAGACCAGGCAACCAGCCTTGGCAGGTCACCCCTCCTATCATGAAAACATGATCAAGATTAATTAAGAGATTACATGGACAGGTGGGTATCTCACCTACCAGGGGTTCCCCACTTTCATGTAAACAGGCCCTAATTAAAAGTTGGGGAAATGCTTCAAACTGCAGAACATTGTTTTGATTAAGTAGTCTGTCAGGGATGTTACACTTGGAAAGAGGCAGTTGTGAGGAGTGAAATGATTCATGTAATTGCAAATGTGACAGGGGCTCAAAAAAAATTTTCCTTTGCTCTTCAGTAGTAGTTTTGTCTTCTAGTATGTTACCACTTCTTCTTAGTGTTGATCATTTATGTTAACTTAAATAAAAAGATAGGGATTCATTCTTTTATTTTGATTTTAACAGATGTCAAAATACCATCGTATTGTAAAGGTGCCATTGGGTTGAAGGATGTTGATATTATTTGGAGACCGCTTGCACAGAGGAATTCCTCATCTTGGGCTGTCTACAGAATATCATATTGTCCTCTGTTTCCAAGTTGCACAGAAAATGAACAGTATCAATTGGGTTGCATACTGAACACAACACAGCATCAATTACAGAAAGAGTTGCAATGTAGAATGACTGAAGAGTCACTTTTCCACAGGATGTTTTATTATAATGTGGAGTTACATAATTTATCTGGAGTCTTCAAAAGCCAGAAATTAGCATGCCGCCTAATGACAAGAGGTATGGTAGAAAGGGAAACACCTTAATAACCTAGACTAAAACAAATTCCTTGAAAAAAAAGACTTTTCAGATGCTATCCTCAATTGCAGCCAGAGTTTTAGCCTGAGTGGACCAACCAGTTGTACCTTGGCCAGGTGCAGCATACAACTGTGAATTGTGATTATCAGTTGAGTGAAGTGCAATAAAAGCTTACTACAGTGAGATCAAATGTCAAACATGAAAGCCCTCCAAAAGAAGTAGAGCGACAGGCTACCACTGGACATAAAGTCTGTGAGAACAACTCAATTTTAATGCCAAATTGTGGTCAACAAACTTCTGTTGCACCTCACCAAACCAAAAATTGTAGTTGTAAATGAAGCAAGAATAGGCTTTAAACTACCCACCATGGCAAACAACTGCTCCAATAGCAATTTACAACAAGCCATGGCCACCTGTTTTCCCACTTCCAAAGTTGCATCTAGCAGTGACATGTTTCTTCCTTGAATTATTTTGCCTTGCACTCTGCAAAAGTAGAAATTAAATGTAAGAGGTTTCCATTTTTTTTCTCAAAGTTTTCTCCAGGAAAATATTTTCTAGTCCTGCTGCATGGGTTGTACTCTGATTAACCCTTTTACCCCTAAAATGTAAACATAAATTCTCCCCACTGTTTTGTATTGAATTTCTGAGACTTTAGCTGTGAGAATATGGTGTTTATGGTATACATATCCTCTAGTTACTATTTTACTTTCTTCTCATCACTTTCCTACTTGAAAGGGTATTGTTATTGCAGGGCTTAAATTCCCTTTTGGTCACACCTGGGTGTGGAATGGTTAATGTGGCACAGTTGGTTATTTATTTCATTTTAATTTTTACTTTGTTTATATATAACTTACGTATATATTTTTTTTACTTTGATGTAAGGCCTCTATATTACTGTACATATGTACCTTTCTATTTCATAATTTGTCCCCAAATAGCTCATATAACTATAGTGTATTGAAACTTAAATATAAATAACTAAAGTTTGTCATTATTAGTTTTATTATTATTGGTCTATCAAAAATTATTGGTTGGAGCCCCAATCCTATGGTAGTGATTAAATTCTGATCCCTATTTAATAGCCTTCAACTGGTTATTTGCATGCAAAAATTGTCTAGTTAAACATATTTTGGGTCAGATCATATTTTTTAAATCACAACTTTGCAACTTTGTTGTATTATCCTAACTATGGTCTCTCGTTGATTTGTCAAAGTTCACTGTACAAGGCCTAAAAACCTGACAGCCAAAGCAGTTAGGAAAAGAGCTATGTCACTTTCATGGAAACCTGCACCTTTTATGGGAAGATATACTGACACCTTGTGTTATAGAATTTGGTATGCTGCAGCACATGACAAGAAAAATGAGGTAAATTTTACTCCTTTTTTTTTTTTTTGCTCACAGCAAAAATGAAAAGTATTTTGAATTTCTGTGATGATTTTTACTTGCTACCTCAGAGAATATCTGTTCACCTCCTAAGCATTTTTTTTATTCCCCTTCCTCCTCCCTCTGGAAACACTGGTTGTTCCTCCCAACTTCTTTGACCTTATGACCTCTTGTTTTTCATGACCTCACTTCCTCCTCCTCCTCCTTAGAGCTTAGTGACTACTAGTCTCAACCTTCTCTCTACTTTTTGTTGAATTTTAGTCGGTACAGATAATCTCAGGGGGTGAATCACGGATCATCGATGACCTTTCTCCGTACACAGAATACAAGTTCTATATCCAGTGTAGCTTGTCAAGCTGTGAAGGCAGCTGGGGATTGGTTGATGGGCCTGTTACTGCCCAAACTCTTGAGGAAGGTGGGCTTAGCTCAGCAATTAATTTTGTTTCCAACGTTTAATCATGTCACTAGTATTTGTAAAAATCTCAGTTGATTTCCTCAACAAGACTTTTTTCTCGTTCTATTTTGGTCACCTGATTGCAGCAATACTCACCTCTTATACTTTTATGTAAAAAAATAGTTTACTATGGGAAGTCTGAAGGAGGCTTTTTACAGCAGGCCTATAATAAAATCTAGTTTAGTCACAAGAAAACAGTTAACCCTTTAACTCCCATGAATGACCGAGACAGAATTTCCCCTAACAATATCAATACAAAACCAAACAGACAAGAGATGAGAATAAAGAAAAATATAAATTAGGGGATTATAAGTTGATCTGCTACCAAATTCTCCTAAGTAACATCACAAGAACTGTATGGCAGACAGTAAGGAGAATTACTTATGGGATCTTAGGAGTTAAAGAATTAAGGGTTGGTTATAACCATCTAAACAAACTCCATGTGAGAAGTAGAATAAAAGCAGAACATTTCTAAAGAAACTGCAGTGCTGTGTCAGTGGGGGAGTGTATCAAGGTAATCTGGTTTTATCAACTGAGTTGATAATGTGAACTGGTCACCGTAAAGAGTTTCAAAGCTGACATTTTGAGCGAATAACAAGGGCTAACACCTGAAACGTCAGCCTTTAAGCACTTTACAGTGGCCAATCTACACTATCAACTCAGTTAAAAAAACCAAATTATCCATGTAGGTAATAGTTTTTTGGCTGTCAATGGTAAATAAATGGTAAGTGGATCCAATTAAGATATTGGTTTATTGTGCTAGCAGGGCAAAATGTTTTTACTAGGTAATGGAATTCTGTCAATCAACGAATAGGTTTTGATGTGACTAGTTAGACCTGGTAATGCTTAACTCGCCCAAAGTGAGTGTTTGAGTGTTTGTTTGTTTTTAAATTTATTATTTTAATTGATTGCCTTCAGCACCAACTCAAGCTCCACAGTTTAGCAACTGGTCAGTAACTAACACACAAGAAGAGGAACGGGATGTTACAGTTGTATGGCAGGTAATGCGTGCCTCTCTTTTTAGAGAGCAAAATATACATTAAGGTATACTTGTTTACTTGTTTTTTACCAGGCGTGTGGTAAAAACGGTAAAAGATTAACCCTTTCCACTCTAACATCCATACTATGCTCTATACTTTTCCCAAGGTGCTGATAAGGAGAATTTGTTTATCAATCAAGAGCTTCTTAAGTTGGTGATTATTTCCTTTATACTCGTTACCTAAATGTGCGATTCGGGGATGATATTGGAAAGAGAAATTAGGTGCTAATCACACTTAGGGGCTAAAGGGATAAGCCAGCGCTCAGCTAACCGTTAGTCTAACGCTCTTCTATTGGAGTTTATGATAAATAGTGAGTTTAACCCTGTAACTCCCAGATCAAATTTGTAATTGTCCTTACTGTCAACCATACAATTCTTGTAATGTTAGTTCAGAGAATTTAGTATTGGATTAACTAATTATCCCCAAATTGATATATTTCTTTCTTCTAATCCCTTATCTGGTTGATACTATATTGATATCGTAAGGAGAAATTCTGTCTTGGTTACTCATGGTAGTTAAAGGGTCGATATGGATAATATGGTTCTGAATACAGGCGTGTGGGAAGAGTGATTTAATCATTATGTACAACAAAAGAGGAGCACATACTGCACTTACTTTCAGCTGACAATTCAGCTCAAATATCCCTGGACGTCGGCTCGCCCATTGCGTATAGCTTTGTGAAAACGTAAGGCTAAATTATCAAATAACTTTTATCGTTCACAGCTGCCACCTTTAATTACGTGGAATGGCGTCCCTAATAGATTCAACATAGACTACTGGAAGACCACAAAGCAAAATGATTCGTCGGTTCCAATCCCCAACTCCATAAAGAGCCTGCAAATTAACGACAGCTCGGCGACTGAAGCAACTTTACGGGGGTTAAATCGCTATGTTGAGTATCAAACACAAATCAGTATGTGCACAGCCGAGGGATGTGGACCGAAAAGTGTTCCTTGGCCCTTGGAAGGTTTGTCGTTTTGTGTTCCATTTGAACGGTACTTTTGCAGTGGGCGGATAAACTCAGGCTTATTGTAATTTGTTGTGAGATATTGTTAAGAGGTAAAATAGTGAGAATTGAAGCGACTAAGCGGCAAGATAACATTGTGGCTTTTTCTTTTTTTTCTTCAGGCGAGGAGGCCGGGGAGAATGAACCCTATGTTGATAGTCTTTCTCTCGATAGTCCATTTATCTGGATTGTACCTGTAGTAGTAATTACTTCTCTGATTTTATTTGGCGTCTTGGTTGTGATTTACTTGTACAGGAATAATAGAGTTAGGTAAGTCTTTTTGATAGTTTTTTATTAGTACTTTTATTATTTTCCTTGTATTTTTAAGGAGATACCTTAACTGTTTCGTTCCGTAGGAGAAAAACCACGAAATTTGTGAGTTGAAAAGAATCTTGTTATCTAACGGAGACTAGGACCAATCCAAAGATGGTTTTCGCTCTGAGACATTATCTACAATTTGTAATGTAGAGGAATTGTTGACTTTGATGTACATTCCTTTCCGTAAGCTCCTTCCCTCTTTCTGTCTGAGTTGCTCGCTGTACTTATCTATGTATTTGTTTGTTTGTCTATGTAGGCGACAACAACCATCATTGCGGCAAAGAATACAGTTGGTAAGGAATGTGGTGCGTCTTCTTCTTTTTTCTTCTGTAGTATGCGCAAAATTTTGATGTTAGTTGTAAAATTCTAGTGATTATTGTTAAGTTCTAGTGCAGGTTTTTTTTGTAACTTTGAGATTTTTCTCTCAACGATCTCTTCCTATTTAGGAACCGCTGTATGGGGATTTAGAAAATTCAGCTTCAACGTCGGAAAATTCTTACTACGACCGTATACATTCCCATGGAGACCTCACGGATCCTCAATTGATAATCCAAGATGGTGGTGATTCAAATTGTCATGTTTTAGTAACGGACGATTTACATGGTGCAACTTTGTCGCGTTTGAGAAACTTGTAACATGCCTACGACACTTCTTAGGACCATTCACACGCGCACGACATTTCTTCTAACGACATACCAAAATCGCGTACAACTTAACTCCTTCTTAAAATATTATTGTGCCGGCTATTGAAAAGGACTTCTCCACTCCACAGCGAGATTAAATTTTCTGTCTCATCCTCTAAAAAAGTAACCTTCGCTTGTGTATTCGACGACTTACCATCAACTGCAACTTCGTCATTCCGCCATTTTGGCGCAAGAAATCTTTACTTTCCTCCTCCCCCCCCTACTGAATGGAAATTTGTCACAAAATACGTTGTCTTACCGCTTTCGGCTACGTTTGTCGCAGCGTTTTATAACATGTTTTAAAATCCAACTATCTTTTTTAAGAGAACTTGTTACACTTATTTGCTTATTTAGGGTTTTAGAAGGAACGGTATGAAAATTCCTCTTTTATGTTCAAATTCATTGTATCTTAGGGTTTTTTTTAATGCTTCCTCGTTTTAATTCTATTGATGTGTTCACTTTGACAATCTTGCTCAGATTTACTATCAAATCGTGTTGCTCCCCCCTTATGGAAGCTTAAAACTGACGATGAAGAAAGATTGATTCGATTCTCAACAATGCCTATACGCACGCGTATCCTTAATGTTATTCTGTTCCAATATTTGACGATATTTTCACTATAAATTGAGCAGTACACGTTGAAAACACGCTTAGAGAGAGAGAGAGAGAGAGAGACGAATGTGGTGCTATACAACCAGGCATTTCTTAGAAGTGAATACCTTGAACAAATTATCCAAAGACTCTCAAGCATCACAGAAAAAACTGAGAAGAACAAAGTATAGTGTTAATGACTCCAAATTGGTATCCTCTTGGAGCACTTTGAAAAATATTTTTAAAATGTATAAAGGGAAAGTGTACAGTTTTAGTTTTTAGTTAGTTCTGGTTTAGAAGGTGAACTTAAGCTTTCCGCTATTGAATTACCAAAGAAATCTGTCCTGTCTTTGACGCCCCACTTCATCGGATTTGTCCGTCCGTCTTAAAAGCTTAGACTTCAAGTTATTTAAAACCAAAATAGTCGGTTCTTATTTGATATCCTAAATTATTTTTGTGATATAGAAATGAGACAAGGATTAGATTTCCAAGAAATGTAATAGGGCTGCTTTAAATACTCAAGAGTCCTGTACCTCATGCGGAAAGAAGAGGAATTTTAAAAACATAGTTTTGAGTTTTCCACTTTGACTGCATGAACTGAATAGTGAATATTAGCTGACTTTTCATCATGGAAATATTAAATGCAGTTAAGTCTAATGAATGTCACTGTTCGATGTAATTTTGTCGGTCTGTAAATAAAGTAACTGATTTTCAAACAACGTTTCATTGCATGAGGGGTTCGTTGACAAAGTTCACAAACAGAAACTTAACACTTATGGAAAATGTTGTAGTTGGTCTTGGTTATGTAGATAAATGAATGTTTAATCTTTTGCCTGCCAATGTAGAGTTAGGCTGGAGATTGCATTGATCGAGAAGTTTCGACTGCTAGTCCCCTGGTCGTCTGGCGACGAAATCAATTGTTTAAGTGTCGCTTCTTGTATTACCTTGGTTTGCGGTCTATGAGGGCGGTTCGGTGCGCTGTCATTGGTGTACTTTGATCATATCATTGTTCCAACCACTAGATGATTTTCTGATCGGCAGTTGTGCTTTTGGGTAGAAGGCATCCATGCCGCAGGAATTTCGATTCCGTCGTCTCTATTGAGTGATATTAGGATGAAGTCTCATGTGGATTATGATATTTATGGTAAGAATGTTCAAATTTCCTGAATGTTAGTAGTGCCAAATGAAGACGAGACGATGTCGTGACTGGTAAAGGGGAGGGATTAGGGGAGTACAACAAAAGGAATCCTTGCCTAACCGGGCTACGGCAACGCAACTTGTACTTTTAATTCTCGTGCTCTGTAGGAGGCCCGAGTTTTTGATTCGAGGTTTTTTCCCGTTTAGGTTCTTAATGCATGCGTTAGTACGAGTTTTCTGCATGTTGGCTTCAAGTGCTGTTTGAGAAGCAGTTGAAAACACGAGATGACATTTCCCACATGCCTTAAAAGGTTTTACCTTACACTTAGGTATGCATGTAGTTCACCAAAAAAAAAAAATTATATGCTTCGAATTGTCGTTGCGACCTTTCTTCACTTTTAATCTCCGCCTGGTGTCTGTTTCTACTTAGTTTCCCGACTTACGGTCTTCATAGTACGATAACATAACAGCCCGCTCCATATTAGCTAAATTAAATTTCGGAGTACGCCAATCATTGATCCTAAATACGAACCATTTGCTGCGAAATATCGTGCTTCATGGAGGGATACAACAGCAGTTGGCCTCATTGCCCGAAGGCACACAGCAGTGTGAAGTGGAACATCGGAAGTGACGACCTAGTGAGACACATCATGAATAACATGCTTTCAAAGAAATGCTCTTTTTTGATTTTAATTTTTTCTGTTAATCTGATTTTTTTGTTTGTCATTTCGTGTAGTATTTTGATTTCTCCACGCTGACCACCTTAATTTAGTTTTCGTCACGAAATTTGATTTACATTTAAGGCAGAAGACGTGCTCCGAGTTATCTCTAACAATAGAAAATGGTCGACCGGATAAAGGTTAATCGGGATTAAGATATACACACTCTTCAAGGCACGAAAGCTTCGCGACTCACGCACAACATTTTGCTTCACGTTTCACAACTCGCTGCAGCGCACGCCTCTCACGGCTTGAATGTTTCCCTATGGACTGATTCTCCGTAACCAATAGTCATAGCCCGATGTGTTCGTGGCAGATTCTCGCCTCAAATGTTTTTTCTCAGAATTTTTCTGGTGGGAATTTTGTTTTGCTTTTCTTTCTAAATTTAGGAGCTGAGAAAAATTAGAAGTGGTCAATGACTGAGAACGGCTCGTGCGGGCGGGTAATTACGTCACTCGTCTCAAACATGTTTCGCGGTTCACGGTTCACGCCTTACCGCTCACGCGCTAAGTACTCACTGCTGAAACAGTGCGCTACTTTCTGCTTATTTTTTCCCCTTCGCAGATTTCAATTGGGCTGCTTCCTCTCCTGTGTATGTTGGATCCGATCAAATCAGCGACTTAATTAATTTTCTGTCATTAAGAATTGTATTTCAAGACAAAAAAAATGACCATTGTCTTCTTGAAAACAGAAAATGAACTAAACACTTAGCTCGGTTTGCACATACGGTGCTGCAGGGAAACAAACGAGAAAATAAACGTGGGAGAATTTCATCATTAAATGAGACTGCAGTAAATCCTGATACCAACGCTGCAGAATCCTCCTCCCCTTGTCGACATCATGTGTTGATTTATACACTGTTCATGACACCTACTTTCCGTCGTCTCTTTTCGTTGCCGGAAACATCGATTAAACTGCATCCTTGGGTACTGTCTCCATTATTATAAGAACGGCAATTTGTCGCCCAGTATGTTTTTGATGCAGCGTGCTAATTCCAAAGTTGTCGTCTAATTGATTAAAGACAAAAGTTAACTCCAAGCTGAACTTGGTTCGATTTTCAATAATTTTGCGACAAGGACTGGGCGACGGCGATTATGAGGTTAAAAAACAGAAAACAAAAACACCTCTGAGAATGTAATTGTCTCAAGTTAAACCGTTCGATAGTTTATAGTTGTTGAAAGGCAAGAAGATAAATTTCGTGTTAGAGCCACAAAAAAAATAAAACTAGAGCCTTCAGAAAGAGCCAACAAACTCAAGCTGAATCTCTAAACTCCTTGCAAATAGTATTCGGAGCATTTTATCTCGGTTAGGGCTTTTGATTTTTTTTCTTGTGGTCAAGGAATGTTGGCGTTTCAACGCGATGTCGGACTCAAAATGCAGTTTTTCGGCAGCCATATTCACAAAAATTGAAAGAAAACAGTCACTGAGCAAAAACATTGCGATTTCCGAGAGTATAGTTAATTTCAATATCTGCCGTGTCAAATTCTCCACCTTTCGAAGAATCGGATCCTCCTGGAGCCTTTTTTGAAATTATGAAATCATAAAAAATCTTTATGCGCGGTTTAAAATTTATCGATAAGAAATTTTTAACTATTTCTCACGAATCTTTTCTTCTTTTGCTGTGTAATTGCTCTAATTCATTCCCGCGCAACAAGGCTTCTGTTGCCAGCCAGGATGTCTTAACTTTGATGTTAATGGTGACATCGCATTTAATATTTCACGCTGCTTTTTAAGTTATTTGTGCCAAACGCCATCGATAAAACCACTCAACGATAAAATGGCAACTTTGCCGGACAATTTTGTTTATCAACGTGTTGTTCTTTGACGCCTACATGGAGGATGTTTTGTGTTCTCGTCTTCAATATTAATTACACGTCCGTTTAGAGAAGTCCTTGTTGACCGTGTCGCCGACTCACAACAATCAACTGCCACCGCATTGGTGACATCTGAAATCTCGTAAGCATGTTTCCTTCACTCATGTTCGGTTTACTCATGAAAATTCTCGAAAAAATTTAATGAAGCCCACAAAACCACCAAAACTGTCACACCCTGACTGATTTATATTGACTTTGAGGTTAGATTTGTCAGCGGGAATTCCGTAACAAAACACACCGCTAAAAATTGTTATGGTTTGTGGTCAGCAAGCTGTTTTCCAAGCAATATTCAATACACTATAAACCCTCAGAATAAAGTTTTACCATGTTTACGATATTTGATTTTAGCCGTGTAAACCAGTAGTTGGAATGTTTCTTCACTAGGGCGCCACTGGAAGTGCCACAATCACGATCGCCCTTGAAGTGACTTCCTTTCGCCTTTTTATTCAAATGTCTAAGCATAATTATAGTGGCTACTCCATTTAGCGTATCACGATCCACCTGATTCACTCGTTCACCAAAACATGATAAAAATTTTTCTTTAACAATGTCTTAATTGTGTGCGAAAGTGTTACGTTCCTGCCTTACAGTCCTCCATCTCTTTCAATGCAGATTATTAATATAACATTTGCAAGTAAACCTTGAATTTGATGGCTATCTTTAGCCGAAATATCTTGAAATTCTGGATTAGGAAACAGCTGTCTAAGTAAAATTTGGTGCGTATTTCATCTTCGCGAGAAAAGATTCGATATTTTCAATGGGTCTTATTTCAAGTAATCCGGTTTAGCCCTTAAAAGACCTTGTAACTCCTCGAGATTAACAACTCACTCCTCTGGTTTTCAAGAAAGTGATATAAAACTTGTTAAAGTATTGCTGATATGGTAGCTTAAAAAGGGGAGTGAAAACGAAGAAAAATATAAGGGAAAATAGTAAACTGAAGAGTTTAAAGTAAAACTCATCAAAACTGACCTTGATTTTTATCTTTCCTTCTGTTTATCTTTTCTTTTTCTTCCTCCGAACGGGCTTGCGACTCGTGAGTAAATCGAAATTCTCTCACAAAAAATTAAACAGGGTTTTTCGATGATTCAGTCAGTTGGGGTGATTCACTCAGACTAGAAAATAATTTTCCATTTTTTTTCTACAATAGCGCGATTGAAACGAGACAAACTTAAACACCGTTATTTCAAGTTTTCACCAGTGTCATTTGTTACCAGATAGCAAAAATTTTATTGTCATATTTAAATGAGTATTAATGTGTTCATGGGGATTTCTCGATTTTTTTGGGTTATCCTGACCTCTAGATAAACCCAGGTTTAAGCGGTAGAGGTTTTTATTACTACGCGGTATATGTATTGTCAAACTTACAACTCTCATTAAATATTCGCTCATTTCAATTTCATTATAAGGTTCGCAAGATTATCGTCTTAAGTGTGTGCGAATGCTTTTTTAAAGGCCATATAGTCTCTTTTAAACATCTTCATCACAGAAATGGATTCAGAAGAATTTTTTTTTACAATTACATCGGCATCGTCGGAAACAAGACGACTGACAAAGGAAAATCTCATCGAAATCAAATTTTCTCGATCAGTAGCCTCTAACTAAGGTAACAGTTCATATTTTTGTGACAATTTTTCCTGAAATTTGTGAAGATGAATGTTTAAAAAACTCACCTCAGATATCCATATATATATATATATATATATACTACTGATCATTATTAATCTACCAAATGAAAGTCGACCCGAAAGGTGAACCCGCCCTCCATAATCGATGTCATTGGAACTAAAAGACGGATTACGTTGCTGTGATCTATTTGAAAAATATGAACTTCATTCGTACATACGTTCTAACATGCAAAAAATTTTAGCTTTTAAGGATGAATTCTTGGGAGAGAATAAAACATCAATGGTTTAGAAAAAAATGAAGATATTTCATTCTACGAATGGCGCAATTTAAAACAGCTTACAGAAAAAAGGGGAAAGTATTTTGCATATCGAAGTTGCTGAAAATGTGTGTATTAGTGATGAAAGTACTGTCCAATTTTTTTATTTTTCTCTCTTACTAAGTTTATTCATCGAATGTAGCGTATTAACCTGAAGACCTGAAGGTAAAAAATATCTTCCTTTCATTTTATTCCGGAGGAATGAATAATTTCAGCCAGTGTTCAGTAACATGTACTGCTCGAGACAACTAGGTTGACGCTTGCGTGTTTTAATGACTTTGGTGTTATTTTATTTGGTCTTCAAACTGTAATGTGTGTTTATAATTGCTGCTAATGGGAGAGGATTCAATCGAGAATATTGAAGAGAGATTCTACTTTTTCGCTATGTATACTTTTTTTTTCTGGTTTATTATTCTGCCTTGAAACTATCTGAGTACGGTGAATGCTGAGTTAGTTCATCTATTAAAAAAAAAAAAAAACTACTGAAATCTCAATGCCTCGACGGCACGCGGCGATGCTTTATTCGTGGATAGCCAATCGCAGTTTTCTTCTGCTTTATTTTCTGCGTGTGGCCAAAAGCAGCTGAGATTAAGATTCTTTAGAGGAAAGGACAAAAGAGCCTTTAATGTTTTTCTGCACAGTGTTTTAGCTCGCGCAATTGTCATCTTTTGGCCACAACGCCACTGCGTTCCGTGTCCAATTCATTTGAATTTTCTACCACTCACGAAAAAAATCACCAACCCGTGATTCTGCGTTTAATTTTTGCCTGCTGTTAAATTGATGCTATCTTTACCGCGCGAATAATTAGGTCCAACAAGAAAAGAAAAGGTTGCCGATTAACATCTATCATTTAGCATTTAATATATTCTTAAGGGTGAAACGCAATTTGTCACTCTAGGGCAAAATCAGCTTTGATAAGTTTACAAATACATTATTCATATTCAGGAGAATAAAAGTTCTGGATGTTTAATTTCGTGCTATTATGATTTTTTCCTATTAGTAGTGGATATACTTTCCAGCATACAGGATGTAACCTAGTGCATCTTTTAACTGGAATAACCGACAGTTCTCTTTGAACGTCAGACGTTTGCGTGGGTGTTCGTCAACTTGCTATCAACTTTAGCTCCTATATAATAAAGCCATTCCTTTATTTCCATAGGAGTAAGGAGGATTAATTTACCCGAAAGCCGGCGACCTTAATTGTAGCTTCAAGCATGGCTAACGTGAGCGTCCAAAATTCCAGTCAACCTTGGCAAAATGATTGTCAGTCGGCAATGTGCGTGTTTTCAAGAGGAGTGCTCAACTTTATAGTGGTTTCTCTGTTTTCAATTACAGCGATATCCTTGCTTGGAAACATTCCTATCCTGGTCGCCATTCTGTGTTCTTCAAAGCGAAGGAATAAGTCGAATTTATCCACCCTCAACTTAGTTGTGTCCGATCTGCTCATCACGATATTCTGCATACCGTTTGTGACAGTTGATTTGTTCATTCTTGACGCTTGGATTTTTGGCCGAGTAATGTGTCGTTTGGTTACTTTTGTGCAGAATACTGCCATGACGGCTTCTGTGTTGAATTTACTGATCATCACCTGCGAGAAATTCCTGGCTGTTCGGTTCCCTTTTAATGTTCGCCTCAGAAAGAAACTTGTTTGCTTTCTTCTACCTGTGGCGTGGATCGTTGCAATGACCGGAGCGGCTTGCTACGCCAGGTTCAAGGAAATTTATGAAGTTGGTGATAACACCTATATCTGTGGAGAGGACTGGTTGAATGCTACTGCACTGAAAAATACGCAAATCGTCATATTGACGCTTTTTTTCGGCCCTCTATTTTTAATTACGTTATTTCATTCTATTACCATTTATACCCTGATCAAAGGAAAGCGAGACCTTCAATTTCAACTAAACAGAAGTGAGAGGGACTCATTCAAAAGAGTACTAGTCAAACACAAACGACAAAGGAAGGCTGTAAAGATTATCCTTTTGACTCTGTTATCCATAATCATCTGCTGGGGGCCAATGTATTTTTTCCTCTTGTTCTCAATGACCGTCTTTAGAGAATCAAACCCGAGAGCTATCATCATCGCTTACACAGTCTGTATTTGGTTGCTCTTTAGCCACTGCTCCATTTTTCCGTTGATTTACTTTTTCTTGACTCATAAAGGGAAAGAAACGATTGCCTTCTGTACTCTTTGCCTGAAAAACTGCACGCTGCGAGGAACAAGCTCTGGCATGGGATCCATGTTGTTAGACAGCTCTAATTATCACGGTGGAAGTACAAAGATCGTTGGGAGCCTGAGGAATTCCAGTTGGCGAAGGAGTTCCGCGCCAGCTTCCACGCCAGGGGCAGAGACACGTTTGTAAATAATGCCAGTCAAAGGGATGATTTTTCCACCAACAGATTATGGTAATCAGCCCCAGCACAGATGGCGATAAAGTCCAACCTTAAAACACAAAGAAACACAGAATCCTAAATTTAAGAGTGGGTTTAAAGCGTTGGGTTGCTTTCCGAACACAACTTGTGTTCAACTTGTGTTACACCGACTCTTAAATTTAGGATTCTATGTTTCTTTCTCGTGACGAGGTACCAAAAGTCTGTTTTCCGTTTTCTTTTTTTTTTTTTTTTTTTTTGATAGACTTATTTCCTCCACCAGGAGATTTTTTCTTTTTCTTTTTCTTTTTTATTAATATCACTTCTCAAAGAAAGCAAAGACGATCCGTTGCGGCTAGAATACCATAAATCAGTTGTCCTTTCTTTTAAAAGACTTAGTTCTCTACTGTGAGATTGTTTAAATTTTTTTTTACATTTCACTTTCCAAGGAAAGCACAGGCGATCCGTCGCGGCAAGGAAATGCAACGTTATAAACTCTGTAGGATAACTTTAAAGCCTTAAGGAGCATTCTGTGACACAGTTTTCAACTTCCACATTTTAGCACGATTGCATGGCGACCATTTTTATCGCTTAGCCGAGAATTTTTACGTTACTCCCAGGAGGGTCTCTATGGGGTAATGGCTGTTACGGCTAATGTTTGACATTTTAGCCATTTTGGAGCTCATTACCGCTGTAATAAAATAATGGTTAGCCTTTTAATCATTTACGATTAAAATTTGGCAATTTTTACGCCTAATGGCTGAATTTTTTCGCCGTTTACGGCTAACGATTTACCCTATTGAGACCCTTTTCTGGCGCTTTTGTGTTTTACTGGCCATTTTTTTCTGATGTCACAGGTTTCTCTAATCATCAGTTCCCTCTCTCTCTCTGACTTTTATTTTCCAAGTCGTGTACCAAAGATGTGGATTACCTTGCACTGTTTTGGGTAACTTGATTGCACCACTGACAACACCAAAAAAAAAAATTCCTCTTGTAATATAGATCTTTGTCGTTCGCAAATATTAACGGCGGTTTTTAGAAAACGATAATCGACAGTGCTCAGCACGGATATTTGATAGTTTTTTTCTCTCCTTTGTTGGATATAAATCTGATGGAACTTGTTACATACAAACCTACTGAGGACTTACCTCACATCGAATTTTCTGTAGACCATCAGTTTGAAATCGTAATGGCGTGAGATTCGATTCATTATCTTGAGGGACTCAGATTTGCTCCTTTTCCCACGCTCGTGGCCATACGAATAACCTGTTGAAGATATAACCTTGTATATAGAATGGAAACTGTGATGTTAGAATTTAAGCGAACCTCCTTCAGTGATGTAAGCTCATGTATGGTCCAACCCAAAATGGAACTCACATTTCGTATATTAAGTAATTACTATTGACCGCAATTGGCCAAAGGCATCACTTTTGTTGTGATTAAAAAAAGGCTGAGAGCTCTTACACCAGTCAAAATAAGGCCGTGGACATGATTATCCACTTTGAAGGTTATTATGCCGAAGGCACGATTGAGCTCAGACTTTAGTCAATAATTCTGTATGGCGATTGGCATTGTAGAGAAATTTGAATTCACAATGTTCTATGCTCAGGTTGAGAAATTGACTCGACTGAGACTAAAGCAATACAGAGTACTAATTTATATAGAAGCACGTAGCACGTGTTATGTAATTTTTAAGCTTTTTTTGATCAGAGACAAGGTGCAGTGTAATTCGCCTCGAAATGCGAAGATATCTGAATTCTGTAAAGATTGAGGCAATGTTAATAATACATCTTGGGCTGGAAGGTATACTGTGACTTCTGCTAAAATCACAAACTTCATAAATAAATCATCGCCTCTAGTATGAAAATTATCATAACTTGAAGAAATTACCTTCCTCTGAAGCATATGATTTAGAATTTCAAAGCAACCTTTTACTTGGTTGTGTGAAAAAGACAAGCAATATATCCGTAGAGAGGGTTTCAGGAAGGTAGATGTAGTCATATTTACGTCCTCTGAATGCAATTGTGCATTCATGACTCCTGTGTGAAAAGAGATCGCACTGTACTAAGGGAGTAAGAGAAGGTAACATAAATCAGTCAACCAAGAAAGTACCAAGAGAATAGCTTTAATACAATGTCATGGCTGTGATAAGCCCATTTCATGATAGATTAGATTGGTGAATTTCTTTTTCCCGATTACGAAATAAAAATACAGATTACGGAATGAAAATACATCATTCCGGTGGGGGTTTAAATTTCCTTTGTAGCTCAAATATTAGCGCGTTTCATTTTCACCTGCTATTTTGAGAAAGTCATATTTTGTCGTTTCTTTTTTTTTCTTTTCCTTTCCTTTTTTTTTTTTCTTTTTTTAAATTTTTAGGGTGAAGATATGAAGCATATTTCAGCGATAGCCACTTGTTCCATCTTGTACTTTGCGTGGTTAATCGCGTGCAGTAACGAGGAGATGAATATCCGTAATTGAAGCCCAGCAGCGGATAATAAAGACCAGATTAGTTTTAGCTATTCATTCAGGTTCACGCAAACTCGTAGGCTGGTAGAACAATTTCGTTTTTAATCATTTTCGAATAGTCCCCGTAAGGGTCTTCTCACATGCGACGTAAATACCTTTAGGACTTAAAAATTGTAATTTATATTTGTAGCTTTTCTTTATTACTTCTTATACAATTGCCACTTCACATCTATTTAGACTGAAAGTTGATTTACATATGCTTTTGTCCTTCGCAGTTTTGAAACAAAAAGAACACTGCTACCCTCATTATTATTAATTTACATGGCTCACTCTTATTATCAACACAAAAATGAACCTATCAGCAAGCAGCACCCACTGCTTTCAAAAGAGTCCATCAATCAAAGTCGTTCGATTCTGTTTCATATATCAATAACTGACTACAGTGTGCAGGTTTCGCATCTGAATGTACTGCCAGCTGTAAAAAGTTCTAGATTCACCTCCCTATAAGGTATGTAGTCTCTATAACTGATTGTGGTAAGAAGGAAAAGTTATAGGCGGCTGAAATCAGCCAGGTAGGCACGGAAAAGTGAGTGAACCAGAAAATCCTGAAGAGCTTGCATTTGAAATCATGTGTATTTTTGTAATCAACCAGCCTTTAAACTAAGATTTTTAAAATTGCTCGCCGTTTACGAGCACAAACGGGGGCCAAGCATTGTCTGATTAGCCATTTCCTCGAGAAAAAACATAGAAAAATGACTTTATGTAGTAACACCAGCTTTTGCTATTAGCACAGGTATCTCTGTTCATGTTTTCCAAGAAGATTGAAAAATTTCTTCCAGCTGGTAGGAACTGTCCCCCGCGTGTTTCAAGTCCGTTCGTTCATAGTCAGAATCGATTGTTCAAGTAAGTAAAGAGATCAAATGGCGTCAAGCACAAGAGAGATGTTTTCCTGTCGATGTACATTTTGAATTTTCCAGCTTCACCAAGGTTTTTATGTCAATAGCACACTAAAGTGTTAGCTTATGTCATGCACTGGTGTCTTACTCAAATCTTGCTTTATTTGATAAAGAAGATGCGACAGCTTAGTGGTGAGCTCGCTGGATTCTGTGTTTGAGTCCTGGCTAAGGTACCAGCAGAGTGTCACAGAAACGAAACAAAATGTTGAGAGGTTGCCTTCGATGAATTAGCATATCAATTTATCCAGGAGGAGTAGAATTACACTTAGTCACTTCGCGCTACAGGAACCCCGATAAGCCCGTAGGGGATGTCAAGAGTAGGGTGGCAACTTAAACACGGCGTAAACTTTAGCTGAAATTCTCGCCATACGCTCATGATATGATCGATACACAAAGCAGTCCTTCTGCTAATTTACTGATAAGGGCAGAGCGCTTGGCTTTCAACTAAAGGTAAAATCTTTAGACCACTTGCCCAATATCAAAGGAAAAGAGAAATTCAAGAAAGTTTAAGGATACGAAAGGACATCTTTGGAAAACCATTTTTCTCAAGAAATGTTGAGTTTTAATCACCCGTCGTTTCATTTGCAAAATTACCATACTAAAGCATTTTCAATAAAACCATTGGAATTTCAATTTTATTGTTCTCTATACTCTTCGGAAAAAGCTGATTATCATCGATGACATTGTTATTTGCAATTTTGGAAATTCAACATTAGCTTGCACATTATCTCTTAAGAAGTTCATGGCCAGACCTCAATTATGCAATGTGTTCGCGGTTTAGACAACATGCTTGATATGTTTGCAGCTGTTATGATCTTCGTTTTCCCTTAAGATTCTCAGCGCTAACAGATATCTGTTCCCAAAACCTCTTCATATAGAAGGCCCTGGCTTCGTCTTCAGCTTTAGTAACTGCCGGAAAGTAAAGGCATTTACCATCGATTTTTGTTCATTCGTGGACGTTGATAAGGCAGACGGTTAAAAGCGAACTTCATCGATGGCGAAGACAATTAAAAAAATATAAACCATTATCAGCTTAGTTCTTTGATTTAAATCTTTTTCCAATGCTTCCAACTGTACAGAAATGTGAACTCTACTGATGTTATCAAACATGCCTTATCATGGTAATTGCGCAAATAAAACGTTAGCTGATTGGAAAACGAACATCTCTTCTTGTAAATGGCATACATTTAAAGATGTCATTGACCGCCCGACCACCGACTTGAGTTTTCCTTGCCTCTCAATAGAGGGTAATATATGTAAATGGCATTCACCTACACCTCGTTTGACAGTAATTTTTTACTTCTTTTTTATTCTCATTTAACTCAGTACGCTGTAATATAGTCGTTTTATCTCCAATAACTTGAAGATAAAAAGGAGAATTGAAAGTTGCTGGGAGAGACAACATTGTCGGTGGAACTGCCGAACTAATAGTATATGAAATAGGTTTTCGCTGTCAGAACTGAGAAAAGGTGTATCTTGAATATCTTTTGTAAAGAGTGAGAGAAAAAGAGGGAGGGAGATGAAACACCTGTTTTACTTCTAAGATGATGCAGGAAGAAAATTATTTT